CTCGATAGAAAGATAGATAGATCGATAGATAGATAGATAGATAAATATATAGATAGAGAGATAGATAGATAGGTAGATAAATAGATATATATGTATAGATAGATAGATCGATAGATCGATAGATAGATAGATAGATAGAAGGATAGATAGGTAGGTAGGTACGTAGATAGATAGATAGATAGATCAATATATAGATAGAGAGAGAGATAGATAGATGAATAGATAGATATGTATATATATAGATAGATAGATAGATAAATAGATCGATAGATAGGTAGAAGGATGAATAGATTCATAGATAGATAGATAGATAGATAGATAGATAGATAGATAGATAGATAGATAGGTAGATAGATAGATAGATAGTTCGGGGAACAATATAACACTATTGGCCTTCTGCTTTTTTATGCGCGGGTGCTGTGAGACCAGGGGTTCAACATTGAATTTAAAAAACTCAATGGGCGCAATTGAAAATGAATGAAAAAAAAGGATCTCACAAACTCAGTTCGGTAAAAAATCTTGTCTTGGGAGGGGCTTTATTATTAACCTCCCAACATTACTCTGTGTGTGTGTGCTTGTGATTGTTCCACTTTTCTTTTTTAGGTGGTGTACTTACTGGTGTGGCTGATTGAACAGAGCAATTACTGGATTCATTGTCACACAACGAGGAAAATCAAGCCTTAAAAGCGTCCATCTTGCCTTTCTTGTTTTTTTTAGGTGCTTGTTGAACCCTTATTGACCCTGTGCCATTCCATCTTGCGGCCATGTTGGGCCTATGCCAGGCTTATGCTGACGCTTTGTGGCATTTGTTGAAAGCTAATTGATCCCATGTCAGGCCATCTTCCCTCTATGTTGGCTCTATGCTGCGTTTATTTCATCTTCTAGGAAACAGATTCGGAAAAATTTGCCTATTCCAAGAACACAGAAAGTACACATTTCTGGGCCAAACATGAGCTCAATTTCGTCCATGTCGTCCACTTTTCAGACGCTTGTTGAGCCCCATGTCAGGTCATCTTGCAAGTTTGTTGTGCCATTGTTGCGCGTATGTTGCTTTTTGTTGGCTTTTGACTTGCTGGCCCCAAGTACGTCCATGTCAGCTATGTTGGGCCTACATATCTTGGAATCATCTTGCAAGGGCCTGGTCCAGGCCTGGGTGCCTGCCTGTTCTTATGCCCGCCGGGCGTAAGCGCAGGCGGGGCTTTGGCAGCGCAGGTTTGGCAGGGTAAAGGCTGTTTTTTCATCATTTTAGGCCCAAAACCTGTTCGATGAAGGGCCTGCCTGTTCTTATGCCCGGCGGGCATAAGCGCAGGCGGGTGAAAAGGAGACATTTCATCCACAGGATTGTTTTGCCGTGGATTCCCATGAGAAATGGAAATTTCATCCATGGAATGGAGCCAGTTTGCAATGAAATGGCCAATTTGAAATGAAATCGAGCCAGTCTGGGGTAACTGGGGGTGTAAGCCAAGTACATAGACGACAGTCCATTTGGATGACTTAGTAAACCAGAGCTATGAAACATTATAAGTGGTATGACGTGTCCAGTGTTGCTTTCTTGCTTGGCTGTGACGAATTCAGAGCCAACAAATGCCCCACAGAATTACGACCGAGTTTGTGAGCTGAGTAGAAAAACTCGGTCGTAATTTTTTTTTCCTTCTACAATGCCCGAGAAAGGATTCTAGGTGTATGTTGCAGACCATGGGGCCAGTTGACTATGGCCACTAACCAGATAACTCCTTTGTATCCATGTATGTTTGTAAATATGTCTGTCTGTCTGTCTGTATGTCTGTATGTATGTATGTATGTATGTATGAATGTAATGTTATGTAATGTGATGTAATGTTATGTCACATTAAGTCGTGTAATGTTCTGTTATGTTACATCATGTATGTCTGTATGTATGTATGTATGTATGTGATGTAATGTTTTTTTCACACTAAGTCATATAATGTTATGTTATGATACATCATGTATGTCTGTATGTATGTATGTATGTGCGTATCTGCGTATGTGTGTATGTGTGTATGTCTGTATGTCTGTATGTCTGTATGTCTGTATGTCTGTATGTATGTATGTATGTATGTGCGTATGTCTGTGTGTATGTATGTGCGTATGTCTGTGTGTATGTATGTATGTATGTATGTATGTATGTATGTATGTATGTATGTATGATAGATATATAGATAGAGAGATAGATAGATAGATAAATAGATATATAGATATATATATATATAGATAGATGGATAGATAGATAGATAGAGAGATAGACGGATATAGATAGATAGATAGATAGATAGATAAATAAACAAATAGATGGATAGATAGATAGACAGATAGAAGCATCGATCGATAAATAGATAGATCGATAGCTACATAGATCGATAAAAAGATAGATAGATAGATAGATAGATAGATAGATCGATAGGTAGATAGATAGATACATAGAAGGATAGATAGATAAATAGATACATAGATAGACAACTAAATAGATAGATACATGGATAGATAGATGGATAAGGAGGTAAGTACATAGTCAGAGAAAAAGAAAGAAAGAGATGCGGACCAGGGGGGAATCGAATGGGGGAGGGGGGGCCAAGAACACAGAAAGTACGCATTTCTGGGCTAAACATGAGCTCAATTTCGTCCATGTCGTCCACTTTTCAGACGCTTGTTGAGCCCCATGTCAGGTCATCTTGCAGGTTTGTTGTGCCATTGTTGCGCGTATGTTGCTTTTTGTTGGCTTTTGACTTGCTGGCCCCAAGTACGTCCATGGCAGCTATGTTGGGCCTACATATCTTGGAATCATCTTGCAAGGGCCTGGTCCAGGCCTGGGTGCCTGCCTGTTCTTATGCCCGCCGGGCGTAAGCGCAGGCGGGGCTTTGGCAGCGCAGGTTTGGCACATTTTAGGCCCAAAACCTGTTCGATGAAGGGCCTGCCTGTTCTTATGCCCGGCGGGCATAAGCGCAGGCGGGTGAAAAGGAGACATTTCATCCACAGGATTGTTTCGCCGTGGATTCCCATGAGAAAGGGAAATTTCATCCATGGAATGGAGCCAGTTTGCAATGAAATGGCCAATTTGAAATGAAATGGAGCCAGTCTGGGGTAACCGGGGGTGTAAGCCAAGTACATAGACGACAGTCCATTTGGATGACTTAGTAAACCAGAGCTATGAAACATTATAAGTGGTATGACGTGTCCAGTGTTGCTTTCTTGCTTGGCTGTGACGAATTCAGAGCCAACAAATGCCCCACAGAATTACGACCGAGTTTGTGAGCGGAGTAGAAAAACTCGGTCGTATTTTTTTTCCTTCTACAATGCCCGAGAAAGGATTCTAGGTGTATGTTGCAGACCATGGGGCCAGTTGACTATGGCCACTAACCAGATAACTCCTTTGTATCCATGTATGTTTGTAAATATGTCTGTCTGTCTGTCTGTCTGTCTGTCTGTATGTATGTATGTATGTATGTATTTATGTATGTATGTATGTATGTATGAATGTAATGTTATGTAATGTGATGTAATGTTATGTCACATTAAGTCGTGTAATGTTATGTTATGTTACATCATGTATGTATGTATGTATGTATGTATGTATGTATGTATGTATGTATGTATGTGATGTAATGTTTTTCACACTAAGTCATAAAATGTTATGTTATGTTACATCATGTATGTCTGTATGTATGTATGTATGTATGTATGCATGTATGTGCGTATATGCGTATGTGCGTATGTGTGTATGTATGTATGTATGTATGTATGTATGTATGTATGTATGTATGTATGTATGTATGTATGTATGTATGTATGTATGTATGTATGTATGTATGTATGTATGTATGTATGTAGTATGTATGTATGTATGTATGTATGTATGTATGATAGATAGCTAGATAGAGAGATAGATGATAGATAGATAAATATATATTATAGATGGATATGATAGATAGATCGATAGAGAGGATAGAGGATTATAGATAGATAGATAGATAGATAGATAGATAACATAAACAAAGAGATGGCATAGTAGATAGACAGATAGAAGCATCGAGCGCATAAATCATAGATCGATAGCTAAATAGATCGATCAAAAGATAGATAGATCAGATAGATCGATAGCATAGATAAGATAGATACATGAGAAGGATATAGATTAGATAAATTAGATACATAGGATAGACAACTAAATAGATAATACATGCGATAGATAGATGATAAGGGGAGGTAAGACTACATAGTCAGATGAAAAAGAGGAAATAAGAAAGGAAAGAGATGCGGACCAGGCGACGGGGTGGAATCGAAATTGGCGGGGGGGGGCCCCCCCCCCCCAAAGTCTCCGTTCGTGACTCTCGGCTCTCAATTTCCGGGAAAGGAGCACCCACCTCCCCCAGTACTAAACTAGTACTAAAGTACATAGAACTCAGGTAGCCTAGGCTACCTTTCGTGATGTGTAGCAGTAGCAGGATTAGAATGGATCAGTCTTTAGATTCATTGGCACCGGAAAGAGGATGCAACATGACAACATCATGCAATTGCAGTCGCTTGGAACTTTCCTGTCGGTGATTTGGCTTATTTTGGCTTCAACTGTTCAGCTTCAATCTTGACAAGTGGGTCTCCACATATCACTTTGAGGCAGCGAGGCATCTCAGAAAGGGACTGAAACAATGCCGGTTGCATGACAAAGATCATTGCAAAATTGCCTCTTGCCTCCGTCGCCAGAAGCCCGGGCCATACAGTTGAGAGCAACATCATCAAGGCCTTTCCGACACTCCAAAAGTGAGAATCCAATCTGCAACGCTTGTTCTCTGGCCAATGGGATTGAGAAATTGGCAAAGCCTGATCGTGGCACACCAATCTGCCTTCCATGTCTGCGAGAAGAAATGCAGCTTTTTGCCACTGATCTGAGATCTGGCAGTGTCCTTGCCAGCAGCGACATGTGTGGCCAACTTGGAGTGAGTTCGTTTGGACCCTAACATGCCAAGGCTTGGCGTAAAGTGTAAATGTTACGCCAAGGTTGAAGACATATCCACAATCGACAAGTGGTCGATGTATAGTTGCACGCTTGATGTGGAGGAGTCCAAGCTACATTCCTCAACTTGTTTAGATGAGTGCTGGGAGCAGCTCGTAACATGCCATGCCCAAAGCTGAAAGTGGTAAATTGCACACAGGAATTGCGCCCCCAGTAAATCGAACCACTCATGACCGCCCTGGCCGACTTTCAACGATGCATCCAAGCCGCCGGCTATGGTGCTGCAGCTAATCAAATCTGGTTCCATCCTGTAGTTGCAGATTTCAGTGCCAAAACATGCCCCCTCATACCCATGGGCAAACTAGCTGAACTGAACACAAAGAGTCCTTGTGACGGACATATCTTGCAGCATGCAAATCGCATTGCGCCAGCTGCTCTTCTGAAAGGCCTTCAGTACCTCAATGCCAAGTTCATTTCAGCGCCAAGGATTCTTTTGGAACTTCCTCTGGGGATCTTTTAGGGAACTTTCCCGTTGGAACTCCCCTGCTCTCCCTTTTGTTCGATAGCAGGGATCCGGGATCCTTTCAATGGAACTCTCAACGGGGGCTTGTATACAGAATATATGGATGTAATATGGATGTATATAGGGGACTTCTTGAGGTGTTCTTCGGTGAATTTGTCAGCAAATGCCAGCAGTTTTTCTTTTGGTTTGGGATTTTGTGATATTTTGTGACCTTTGTCAACTGAATATTACTTCCAATTCTGCATGGCATGGCCGGGATCCTTACACGGTGAACATGAAGGGAGGTGACCAGCTACAACGCGGCAGAGGTTGAATTCGAAGCCCGAGATGCGGCACAGCAGCCAATCTGCGTTCTCAGATGCTTGGCAGTTCCATAGTGGCTGCCCCACAGCGACAGTGCGAGACGCCAATCTTCACCTGCAAGTTACGCCCAGCTGCCCAGCTCAGCAACCAGGAGCAACCAGTAATAGCCAGGAGTAACAAGCAACAAGCAAAGGCAGGGAAGTGGTCTCACTCTCACAGCATAAAGCACAGTGGGCAATAAATATGGAAACATGTCAAGTCATGCCCATTCCTACAGCAATTCAATCCTGGCTCAAGTTTCTGCCTTGAGCGGCAGCCAGAGTTGCTCCGAAACCAGTGGCATCTGTTGCCAGTGATTGAACTGGCATCTGTCGGAAGAAAAGAATTGCTTTTGTCCAAAGACCTCAAATTGTTGTGACATCGCTAACGCCATGCTTTCGCATGCTTCCGTGAGCCTCATCTTGAGGGGCGATGCAAATTATTCTGGGGCATTCTGGCATTCTATGTGCATTTCCAAACATCTGTTCCACTTGTCAACAAGATCGGCAAACTGGAAAAACAATTATTGCAACAATGGAAAACAACTACGTACAGTACAAGTGGCGGGAAACTCTTTCGTTTCAGCCGGGCTGCTCGAATCTTTGCAGGATGTGATTGCTGTGTGGATACTGCAGGCATCTGGTGGCAGCCTCTCCTGCAAGAAAGTATGGCTTGCGAGACTTCAGTACTGCCAGTTTGTCCGACAACAAATCCTGTGCCGCAAGCTCTGAGGAGCTGAATGTGACAGGCTTGGTGTATATATAATAATAATTATTATGATTATTTCTGGTTATTATGATTATTATGATGACTATTATAATATAATATATATAAATAGATATAAATAGATAAACCATGTGTGTGTGTGTTCGTATAATTACACATATATATTCATGTTGTTGGTCCTTGATGCTTTGCAACATTGGCAAAACTTCCAGCCCGTGAGTGAGAGTGTGCAGCTGAGCCAAAGAAAAGCAAAGACATCATACTGTGAACAACGGCAGATATGCGTGTCTTCGATGTTGAACGCGATCAAACGCTGTCCTTCTGCATATGTCTGAGCCATTCCGCAGCACCTCTCCAACTCCGTGTGCCCCTACAGCTGCTCATCAAGACCTCACGGTGATGGCAAGTCCGTCGCATTCAAGCCAGGGAGCCGTCAAGACACGCACTACATCTAAGCACTCGATATGTGGGCGGGAGACATTGTAGTGGAAAGAGTTCAAATGTAGCCGCTGGGCTTGAAGTTCTCGCACGAAAGATGGTTCCAGCTCTGCCCTCCGACTTTTGACCTTGTGAATTTTGCGTTGGATCGATCATGCTGGATCATAGGGACAATGAAGCTCAAGCTAGGAGTACTCAGGTGCCGGCGACTGTTTTTAGCTTTTCAGTCAGCGCTCTCGGATCCATGGTGTCCATCGCCGCAGCATGTTACAGCATGTTGCAGCCACTAAAAAACCACAGCCAAACCATGCCAAAGCCACCGTGGCCCGCGCCACATGCCATGGTTGGCTTGATGGTAATGGCTACCGCTGTGAGCAAACGGTGCTGACAGCAGGAAGAAAGCGACCAAGTTACCAACTTCATCCAACTTCAATTTCCTTCATTGCCATCGAAGCATTAAAATTGTGCTTGCCAGCTTCAGTAGTCTTCAGTTCTGATAATCCCAGATCATGACATGCACACAAATTCTCTCTCGCTCTCACTCTCGCTCTCGCTCTCTCTCTCTCTCTGTGGGGCGTGACTGTCACAATTTCTATTCACAAACCAGGTCGGATGGCAGGCAGCACTTTTGGCCGCGAAGACTGTGAAGACAGGATGACGGGATGAAAATCACACAGCAGGCTCAAGCTCAGGGAAGGTGCTTTGGAAGTCCTGCCCGTCCCATGCGATCGACTGAGAATCTGGGCATATTCAATTCATGGCATGGAGCTGGCAACCTTGGCCCAACAGTAGCCTTAAACAGAGCACAGGAAATCAAACGTGCTCTGGTCATTCAGGATGAATAGGAGGATATCAACATGTACGAGATATGCAGTATGCCATGTGTATGCCATGTGTATGTAATTGTATGTAAACACAATAATTAAATAGCATTAAATACTAATAACATATAATAATCTCTCCTGCAGCTCAATCCTAATCGACGGTCATCTATGGTCATCTTCTAAACAGCGTCCTTGATGAAGAACTCCAAATCTGGCTCGACCTGCGTGACAGTGGCATACGACACCTGTTCCCAATCGCTACAGCTACAAGTCCCGTCAGAAGAAATGAAAAGTGCTGCGCCCAATTAATGTCTTTGCTCACAATGTCCATGCCACTGCATTCGGCACCTTCTTCTTGCTTGCTTCGCCCAAGCGGTCTGTAAAGACCTACGCTGCACCGGAACGCAGGCAATGAGCTGTCAAACTTTATCAACTCAGGGTCTGACAATACCATCAAGGTGGTCATATTCGTGCAAGAAAAGCCGTGCCTGCGCTGAATAGGGTGATGACAGGCATACTGTGGCAAACCATGCGAACGGCCAATTTTATCGACTTTTTTCCCCCCCTCTCTGTCTCTCTCTGTTACTGTATTTTATCTTGTTCCAGGGTCGAAGGCAGGCAGAGATGATCGCACGCCGGTCGGCATTTTATTCTCCGCATTCATTCTTTGACTTCTCATGGGTACTTCGCTCCCGTGAGTTGCCTCAGGCGACAATTGGGGATCTCCGGGCAAGGAAATTATGTAGCATGCAGTATTATATTTGAGGGCTTTCTAATTGTCTTCAGGAAGGGTCCCATTGCGTAGTTCTGTTCAGTGGTGCTACTTGCATGCCATTCTGATCTCCATTCTGCGATTTTAACTGACGTTTTGGAACACACGGAACGATCCCCAACAAATCCAAACACACAATTTTGCCATGCATTGTCCAGCTGCAGCAATTGATCCCACAAACGTCTCCGCGATGCTTCTCCCTCACCACAACAATACGAATTTCCAGAGCCAGAGCTCTTTTGAAATTGGTCCTGCAAGCGGTCTCAAGGCTTCAAAGAGTCTCAAAGTCACTCAAAGTCCTTCTCTCTCTTTCTCTGCATTTCTCTGCCTTTGCATTTCTGACTTCTCGTGATGGTCGGGTCCTGCGTCAGCATCTCAAAAGACGTGGTTGCAGTGGAGACTGGAGAGCCCCAGCTGCCCCAACCGGCTCTCAACATTTTGGTGTCCACCGTGCCAGGGTCCATGGTGTGGAAGCACAGCCTTAGACTCAAAGAAAGCACAAGCTATGGAGACCTATCAGGACTGGCTACGGAATGTGCCGTACGCAGATCCAAGCACACCTAATTCTGATCAACCAATGATTAACCAACCTTGCAGCCAGTGGACTTGGGGGGATCACCATACCGCGCGTGAAGCTCCATTGTGATCATAGCATCCTTACTTTGGCCAAGAAAAAACGTTGCATTCTCATCATTCTCTTCTTGTCACGATGCACGCAATCTGAGGCAAAGAGATACGTGTTCTTACATGTTCTTACACTGTATACCTCTTGCATCCTCTTGCCTACTGGTCAATTCTAGATTGTGTATGTTACATTATGTTACAATGTTTGCTGCCAAATCCCAGTGCACAACCACACATCGTCTAGAATTGGTCCAGGCGTCGCATAGCTTGCTGAGCTCGTAGGCTCGGTGGTCTGACCACCGTTTTTGGCACTTCAAGTCGTTTAGAGCATCGTTTGAGCCAGCTGAGATAGAGGAGGTGATGAGCACACGGCCTGCGACCGCAAAGGAACAGGACGAACAAGATGTTGCAGCATGTGTGTTGAACTTTAACGAATTCAAAGTTCAAGCCGTTGTGTTTGCCCCTGAAAACTCCTAAAAGGACATGGCCGGTGTTCTTCCATTTTCATTCAGATTCTTGTTTCATATTCCGCCCCTGTCGACCACACTTCCAAAGCTGCACATTGGAACATCCAGCCTGCACCTGAAGCACGGACATTCTCTAGGAGGAGCGATGTTAGCAGAAAGGGCGCCATTACATTTACAGCCAACCTTCGAATCGGATGGCAGCAAATCACAGTTTCAGTGGATATGCATGGCAGGTATTGGCAGGTCGGTACATCTTGGAGCCCTCACAACTGGTGCACACTGAGTGATCTGAGTGCTGAGGCTTGACTTCCAAGAAACGAATACTCGTTGCCCTCCAGAGTTTCTTTGCGCTGCCCCGTGTAGTCGCCGGCAAAGGTTCCAGCATTGTTCAGCAAACCATGTATGACCTTGTCTAGGACAAATCCAGGAGATGAAAAACTTTTCGAGGACCGTCAGATACAAGTCCGATTCAAATACAACCGCTCTCATCCCATCTGTGGGGCTGGCAGGAAACTCTTTGGAGACCTGTTCCCCCAACTTCCGGACATCCGACATGAGGCTCAGGTCTGCTACCTCAGGAGTTTCACTTGCCAGCCCACGAGCATTTCAGAACAAGATTGTTTACCCGCGCTTTTAGGAATCCAGATGTCTCAGGACTTTCTAATCTGTTATACCGGTTTCACCGATTCTTACTGTCAATGCCAGGGCCACTAACTGTCCCGTTTCAAGCTTGGCTTCCAAAACTCCTGCTCCACATGTGTCCACATCTGATATTCTTCACCTGTGCTCAAGTAACTGAGCACCCGGCAAACCCGTGCACTTTGGGGGTGTAACGTTGAAGGCGCTTCACCAAAGCATCAACCTTTCCCGGATCCCTGCCATGGACCAGCAGGGTGCATCGCTCCTGGCGCGGCTGCAATTGATCCTGCTATATTTTACAATTTAGATCAATTTAGATACTTTACTCCAGTGTTCTTTGGTGTGCTCCTTTTACTCCAGATCCTTCAGTGTTTAAAAAATCCCAACCCAGCCTCTCCTTTGCCAAGAGCTCAGCTGTGAACTCTCCGATGCCAGAAGTGGCTCCAGTGACGAAGAAGACTCGTTCTTCCACAGATCCCATGGCAGCAGAAAGTCGAGTAGTGCCAAGTCTGCTATGGAGTAGAAAGTTTTAATCTTTCACTGAAACTTGTGGTGCATTCATGTGCATTGTGAAGGCCACATCCCTAGTGCCGAAGTGGTTTCTTGCTATCTGGCCACGTCTGGCCACGTGCATCTAGGAAGCAAATGCTGCTTTAAAGCACTTTAAACAAACCTTAAAAAACAACTCTGAGAGAGCTCGAGTGAACTGAACATACTAACATACTGACATACTCATACTCCACCCAAAGCTACCAAACTGTTCTTTTTCTTAGCCGGTGCATCTAAAAGATCATAATTCATGTCTCTCCAGTTCTGATCTGAACTGAGCCAACGGCAACGCATTCATTGATCAACAAGTACCAGTACTGCGGAGAGCCAACTGGTTTCAATGGCTTTCTTTCCCATCCTTCACGGCATAGCGTCCAAGCTCTCATTTGGTCTCAGCTTCGCAGCACAGGAAGCCTCGAAACCATCAATGCGGCGCTGGAATGGATTGCCATCCCAGTCGACTGCCTGCAGCAGCTGAAAGATTTTACAACATGCCAACACTGCCAGCATTGCCACTGTGTAAGCTGCAACAGTTATGGAAGGATGTTTTCTGTTTGGGGATTGTCTGTGGACATCCTTTACAGCAGGTCCACAACGACCCCATAGAGTCACATGTAGAGAGCACTGAAACACCTGCAATTTCTTTTCCTGAATCCATCACCTTGCGTTTCATTGGCTTGCTCACTTGCACGAATAGCTGCGTTTGCAGCTTTTGAAGTGCAACAGGTTCACATGGTTCACTATTGTACAGTACATTAACAGCAAGAGCTCGCGGCCACAGCAGATCATGACTTCATGCTGATACTGGACATGAACTCTTCCCTTTGAGTACTCTTTGGGGGATGATGCAGCCAAAAAAACAAATATGTCTATCCTGAGAACAGGTCAAAAAACATACACAGCAAACTTTGTCAATTTGAAATGCTTGCTAATCTTGCTAACTTACCCACATTTTTGACATCGTAGATCTCCTCCAAAGAGGCACTAAAAGTCACTGTAAGTCACATCTAAGGGGCACTAAAGGTAAAGATCCTCAGGCAGAGCAAGGCAAAAGCGCTTCGTGTGCCTCACTGCAAAGGTCGGCAAAAATGTGTCGCTCGACTTTCCTTCACCTCAACCTACGAATAGTCACGCATATAAACAAAATTAAACAAATATCCAACTGGGGTTGATGTTGATAGGCTATTCGATAGGAGTTTAGGAATGTTTAGGATGGTTTAGGATGGTCTAGGTGCTGGAAAATGATGCGCTAACAAAACTACCAAGATCGATCCAACAAGCGCAATCAGAGCTGGGTCAGCTGGCCTCATCTTCTGAAACACCGTCAGGGTCCTCCAGGGTTTCTCGCCACCGCTCCTGCCAACCATCAACCCATTCCTTGAGCGACAGGTTTGAATGGTGAACCACTTCTCACTTCAGCATCTCTGGTTTTCAGCCGCAATCTGGCGGACACATGCGGACACTTATGACATGAATGGAACGTCGCGCAACCAATGAGAGGATCAGCATGCGAGGCAAGTTCGAAAAGGAACTCTCTGCCATCAAATTCAGTCAAGTGTCAAGGCTTTCAGGATTTCGATTCTCTTTCCTCTGCGGCATTCAACTGACACAATACAATAAAAAAGAATCCCCAGCAACAAAAAAGAGAAACACCCTGTACCAGGACTAATAAAATGAAAGAAACCCTGCACCACAAATCTCTGCAACAGAATATATACATACATAGACTCTGGCAATCTCTGGCAAATGCTGCGAAGGTCTGGCACAGGTTTCGTTGAATGCCAACATATATATATATATTACTCTTCCCCCCCCTCACGACGATGTCAACGATATTTCAGTATATTTGTTTCACTAAGTTGTCTTAATCATACTTAATAGACATGAGTTATACCGACAATGCCGAATCTATCGTGCCTGTCTCTTTGGCACTGAACAGGGCTGAGATTCAAGAACAGTTTTGCCAACTGGACTTCTTTGGCCAAGTTGAACTCAGGATGATTTCGCCCAATCTCGATGTAGGAGGATGGCCGGTAAGGCATTCGTGCTTTGACGAACAGCGCCCGATGAGTTGGAATCAAATAGACGATCCAAACAAACATTTGAACTCCGAAGCCGAAGTACAAAATACCAGCGAAGGCCAGGTGAAGTGCCACTTTTGCATTGAAAGTGACGTGTCGGTGCATCAAAACCTCCACCAATGGAGATGTCAGAATGATGGATGCCCAAGGCAAGCCCATTGCAAGGAAGAGAATGAAGGCCACGCGGACAACTAAGTTGAAGATTGGAAATTCGTATTCCCAAAGCTCTGGAACGGTTCGGCACTGTTTGAAATCCATAGGCAGAGCTTCCAGAAGACGAAGAATCAAATACGTAGGGAAGAACCACACAACAACCACCAGCACTGCCTGAGCACAAAGCACAGCTTGCTGAGTCAAAGTGGTGTTCATGCTATATACTCACATCAATTTACATCAATCTTCCTGCTTGAGAGCCTCTGGATGCCTGTGAAAAACATCAAAGAGCTCCTAAATCTCCGAAAGGAACAAATCATAACAAATCTGATGAAATTCTTTACCAGGCAAGCGGCCAGTAGCAGGTTCAACGTTCCGGAGCCAGCCTGCTTTGAGGACAACAGAAGCTCTATGGCCCTCGCAGTCACTGGGCCAATGGCAACACCAACGCAGGCCGAGACCACCTTGAAACCAACTGCATGACGTGGCATGACTGTGAATCGTGTGAATATGTGTGATTTTCAGTGACCAAATGTGAACAAATGTGACCAAAAGTGCATCACCAAACAGGAGATATTCTAGAGATGTCTAGTGTCTGGAAATCAGAGGTCGCATTTTTGATCAATGGCGCGGTTCGCACACGTCACAGCTATATAAAGACACTCTAAATGCAAATGAGCAACCCCCAAGAAGAGCACATAGCACAAGATCTGGTGCACTGTGTGCAAACAGCGTAGCTGATTGATAGCCAGTTGATCTTGCCATTCTTCATGGTAGTAGCCGTGTGCAGTGCCGATTAGGCAGGTATTGGAGTCCACAGCGCCGGACTTCAAAGCCAAGCGAAATGGAAGGTCATACCTTGTGGATCTTACAGATTTTGCGTGTGGCGTTATGACAAAACAGGGTAAACCATGGTAAACCTATGTACGCCTGAGCATGCCTTAACCATTTCATCTCATCTGGAGGAAGGACGGACAAGTCTCTTCGTATACTACAACTCTATCCCGTCTGATTTTTGACACGCTGCTGCTGGTAGTAGAGGTAGTCTCCAACCAGCGGCGCGCGATGAACATTCTCCAGTTTCTTCACAGCATTGACAAACAGCAAACACGGGGTACCGATCGCCAGGATTGCTTCCAGCTCAGGAAGAACGTAGTAACAGGCGCATTGGCCCGGCACAATCTCTGCCGCAAAAACTTCTACTGCACCCATGCTCCAGAAAAAAGCCAAAGAGACTGCCATCAGCTGAAAGAATATCGATATGCAGCCTATCCTCAAAGTGGTGTATTCATGGGCACCGCCAAGCAAGAGCCAGTCGTGAAGGACTTTGGCAATTGACCATCCGGCTATGCACCACACGTAGAGAACGCGACACCATGAGTTGTGCAGTGGATTGATGATTCCTCACAAAAAAGGCCCCTTCCCTCACAGTTGGTGCACCTTATCCTCTCTACAATCGTGACCGTTTCAGTGTCGCCAAATCGATCAAGAGTTATCAAATGCTGGTCAGCGATCTGTTTTCGTCGCTCTGTATGAGATTCGTTGTGAGCTCTGCAGAGGCAGGAGTAATTAATCCACAAACGAACCAATGCCATACATTTAAATGACCGACATTAACCAAAAATAACCAAAATATCTTCAAATTGCTAACAGTTACATCAAACCTCATGATCCTCATGGCATCTCTGGTCCCGCAGATTCAGATGCAACCGAAGCTCGTTTGCGTGCCCAGGATGAATCGCAGCGATGCCGCATTTCTTTGGCCGAGAGAGTTGGGCAAAGTGGTGAGAGAAATTCACTGCTCAACTCACTCTGGCTGAGATTCCCATTGACGACCTCAAGACTGTGCAATGAAAGAGCTACACCGTGACAAATACTGACAAGGCTTCACAGCTGAGATTGGCACGACATCAAAGGCCTGTAGCTAGGCAACCCAAACAAGGGTTAGCAAAATCAGTTCGGAAATACAGCATCTAAATGACTCAATGAGATAAGTTGCCTTGGATAGGCGGAATCCGTCCACGGTTGACGGAACCATGCCGCTTCCGAAGATTTTCCTTTCTCAGGCATCAAGTGGCATGGCGAATGAAAACGGTGCGAACACACGCAAACACCTAGCAGGTCACAAGTCCAAAGCAAGTACAACGCATTTTCATGTCGAAAACCACTCAGCTGCTTTGATCTGCCTTGACTATCTTTGGAGAGACGAGCATCATAAATGTGCAGGCTCGGTGGCTACATGGGACAAACGTGGCTTCATCAATGCGAGACAACTTTGTCACCAGCAACGCAAAGGGATAGGTCGTGATGATAGTGTAGATCAGTGCCTCACCAAGGATGCTTAGACGGTGGAGAGTGAATCATATATGGGAAACCAATGGAAGCCAGGGAAAACACAATCGACCAACGCCATAAAGGCTGCATACACATGATATGCAATATCATAGGTAGTGCTAATAAGCGCGGCATGCACTGTAAAACATCGGAACACATTTAATTTGAGCTCGGAGCTAGCCGAATATAGAATGAATTTATCAATTTTCATTTTATTTTTTCGTCGCACCTTTTTGATCCCCGTTGGATGTGCCACACAGGGGCAGTCCAAAGGTTTTCAGCCAAAAACCTGGTTGAAAACCTATAGGGCCAACATATTTTGGCCAAAATGAAAACCTATGGGTTGACATGTCACATGTTGGTAATGTTTTCACACCATGAAAAAAAAAGGAAAAAAATAAAAACTTTATGACCTGACATGGGGTAAAGTTCAGTCATGTAATTTTTGCAAAATGGAAACCTTTAAGCCTAAGACGATAGCCTACAACATATGTTCAAAAAAACAAAAATGAATCCCTTGAGGCTTGGGATACTTTAGGAATGATCAAATGCCTTTTGCCTCTCAAAAAAAAGGTTAAAAACCTGGTTCCAAAAAAAATCAAAAATGAATCCCTGAGACTTGGGATACTCAAGACATCCTCGTTGGGCGTTCAACTTAGGGTGCAGCCCCAGGCTTTCAGCCCAAAACCAAGAGTAAAAACCTGCAGAGCCAAGATACACAGACAAAAAAGGGGACACAATGAAAAACTGACCTGGCCCCAATCTCCGAAAATGAAACACCAAAGCACAAAAGATTAAACCCAGTGTCCCTGGGGCATGTTGAAAATCACAAATAACACAAGAGATGAAAACAACAGTGTTCAACATGTATTAAAAAAACAATGGAAACTTAAACCTTAAACTATAAAACGAGCAATTCCCCGGGGAATCTTCAATCACAGCCTTTTCTTCCAACCCAATTTCCACTCCCACATCGTATCAATGCCTTGTTGGCATCACAAATGCCAAACCTTTCACCTTTAGCATATTAAAAAAAAGGTAACAACTCTCCATGTCACACCACGCATTTGTGCCAACCCATCCTGGACCAACGTCCCAAAGATACACCACAAAACTTCAGAACCCAAGATTTTCATCTCACACATCCCTGTTTTGAACTTTGCCGGGACAGCTCTTCATGTTACACCACGGATTTGTGCGAACCCATCCTGAACAAACGTCCCTCAAATGCACCACAATGTCACAAACGACTCATGACTCAGTTTTGAAAACCCATCTTCATCCACCTCCCAAGATTCACCTCCCAAAATTTCAATGTTCACCTTTTTTTTTTGGCGGCAAAAACGTCTACATTTTGAGCGAGTTGGGAGCCTTGCAAGAAGACACCGTCCAATAAAAACCTGGTTGCGACCCTCACTGCAAAATTGGTTCTCAGTAAGCTTCGGCGGCTTAAGCTACCTGCGCCCAACCTGTTGCAAACATGTTCTCAAGAGGTGTTCCCTCGGCTGAAATCCTTTCGCTGCTTGGTTTGTCTAAAAAAAAACTATAAGATATGTAAAAAGGCACCAAAAGCTGAAAAACTGAGGCCAGCATTCTTGAAGCTAATTTTGGCTGACATCTGGCTAAAAAATGAGGCTGCAGGCACCTACTTTCAGCCAGGAACCCCAGACGGGGATTCAAGACATGGTCAAATGTCTAAATGTCCCACATGACACAGGGTGAATTCCTTTGACTCAATCTTTTGCGAAGACCATAGGTTTGAGGTATCACATGGCAAAACATTGATCAAGGTGAAACATGTTTCTCGGCTGAAATCTTATGGGTTCAATATTATCATGTTCCTTTGTTCCACAAAATTTCAGAATTCAGAAATCTAAAATCCTTTAGGACCCAAGGTCTTCTTGGAACAAAGTAGCAAACAAAATATCAAAATGAAAACCTATATGCTGAGATAATTTTAGCACAAATAAACACTTAAAGCCAACTTTTGTTGGCCATTTTTTGGCTGAGAACCATGAGAACCATTATCCTGAGCTCTTAGGATTTCATCTCAGTGCACCAGACGGGGATCTTTTTGCAACTGTGCGCGACTCAGTGAAACGACAGGCGGCTGGGCCCGGTAGGCTCAGCGCCGTCGTCGCCAGAGAGGGCAGCTGAAGCCACGCGCGGGCGGGCAGGGCAACGTGAACCCCGTCCGTCGACCTAAGGGTCAAGGTAGCGGGCTCCACGCGCCCCGGGTCGAGAAGGAACGGGCGGGGGGCGCTTGAGGACTAAACGGGCCCTTGAGTCAAAAAGCCGGGGGTTACATCGCGGTGCTACATATCCAGCACACGTACGTTTGGCTTATGGCAATGAACCACCACATGACTATGTTCGGGCTACAGATCACACCCGCGATCACCGCCCCCCGCGCTCACCGCCCCCCGCGCGTCTTCGATCACCAACGCGCCTGCGTCGGTTATCAAGACAACGGCCGCCAGCACGTGCCCGGCCCCTGACTCCTGATAATAGTATCCTGCCGTCGTCGCGCACTCCAGGATATTCGTCCGTACCCTGCGTAGAAAAACGCAAGGTAGAAGCGATAAGTATCCACCAAGACTGCCCTGTCTGACGCTGAACACGCGACATGCGCGTGCCAGCGGATACGATGCGAATCCGATTGCGGCCAAAAGGATATCTACTCGAGAAGTTCATTAAAAGCAGTCAGCGCCCACGCTCCGCTCCACTTCGTCGCCGCGCGTGCCGCTTGTCTCTGTTGTTTGCAAAACGTCACTGACGTTGCGTCACAGGCCCTTTTAGCAAAGCCACAATTTACAGTCTCGCCTGTGCTACCTCCTTGCGCGCTGTAGACAACAGCGTTGATGTAATCAACGCACTTCTGACGCGTTGTTTCGCAGCCACCGCGAAGGTTATACCTCCGAAGCTCCAGCCAAGCCACCCTGGGTGAATCTGCCTTGGCTATTACAAATTCTCATATCGCTCAGGCCCGGCAACGTCTGTATACAGGGGCGTATGTAAATAAGCCGCACGCTGCCCCGTCGTCGTCGACCTCCAAACAATGAATGCCCTTGCCTGGAACTCTCAATTTCGGGCCAAGTTCATAGCCTTGTCCACTTCTCGTGTTGGATGTGCTGTATATTCCTCCCTGCTCAATGGGAAAGCCCATTTGTTGTTGTGCTTGTCCGAGTCGTCTGATAGGAGCCTCCGAAACGCTTGCGTTCACCTTGAGCTGCTCAGCCACAACTCATACAACTCCAGGAGCCAGGAAAAGGGGCTCGCGGCCAGCATTACCGCCATTCGCGGCCGCCAAAAACGGCAAAGAGCCCGCAGCTTCAAATGCGCAGGGCCCCAAAGTTGTCTTCTCGGAGGCTGTGCAGCAGATGTGGCGGCGGCGGACCGAACGGGGAAGAGCCACTGATTGACTGGTTCACTTGGGCGGGCTGGAAGGCGGCCTTCCAGATCAAAAACAGGGACGTCACCAAGACCGCGAAGCGAAACAAAGTACACGCTTCACGGGCAGTGACACGGTCCTCATCACGGGGCTGTTGAAAAGCATCATACAGCCGCCCGTACTGTGCTGTAGACATCGCCTGTAGCTGCAGAAGCTTGGTTGCTCGAGGGTTGGCGGTGCTCGGGAGCGGTCAGACCCTCTTGACTTGAGCCAAAAATGGCTACGGATATTTTATCCAAACATAATCAGATGGAAACATCTCTCATAGATTATCATGGTAAATAACGTAAATAGATGCTCACAAATATTCAATCATATTATCCATAGATATCCTATGTATCCCAACCATCAATCCCCGCAAGACCTTCGCAAAGGCGGATCGCTTCATTCAGCTTCCATGCCACACAGTGCCACACTGCCCCATGGCCAAAGCTTCTCCGTAGGATTTCGAGAGAAGATAAGTAAACCACCCATGGCAATATTGGGGATGGTTCATTGTTGATGTGCCACATTTTCTTCCAACATCTTTAGGGAAAGCTGAATCTGTCTGAGCGGTCCAAAATAGAATTCTGGTACCAGAACTACTTGCATCATGCTGGTATATCAGTCTAATCATCTTTGGGTTCATAGGTTCGTACCCCTTTGAGCATTGAATTGAAAACAGTCACCAATCCCAGGTGTGGTTCCCGTAGATAATCATTCAATTCCTGCAGGTTCCGTTTGAACTGCAGCCGTCTGGCATTTGGGAAACTCAAGGCTCGTGCGCGAGTTGTTCTGGTTCCGATTTCACAGGCAGGAACATCAAATTGTAGAAGGCTAGGCAAAAGCTAGAATATCGATGGATATGTGGCACGGAGATACAATGGAAATCTGAATCCATCTAAGAGCATCCTGTCATGAAGTGTCTCAACCAACATTGACGTGACGCACCTCCACCTCAACCCAAGTTGGTCGCTGCACAGGTCCCTTAATCCTGCGCCAGCTGCAGAGAGTTGCTGCAAACGTGTTTGACACAACGCAACATCAGCGAGTTGCGTTCCCCGATGACCGCGGACGGTCCTTGGAAAGGATAGGCAACCCTCGGCCTGGAAACTCAAGCATCAAAGTCTTGCATGCATTGCTGACGCAGCCGCGCTCCACGTCTGCATTCTTCTTGCGCCCAAATTGAACACGGATAAATACGGATAACACTCTCGACTTTCATGGCAGGGCAACTTCCCCCAGCCTTGTAATCCTGTTCCTTTCCGTAACTCATGATTCGAGGATTGACAAACACCTTGGCCGGGAAGGACATAGGTGGACTATCCATCGCTGTCTTTCTCCCCGAGTCCTGAAAGGATCCCTTAAGGTCCCTTGGTATCCCTTCGTCGAAGGTCACTTCTGAGCTTCTGTCTGTCTCCTCGTCTCTTGTTCTCGGGTTGGGGTTGTAAACCATGACCCGTAAATTGATCCCGACCTGGCGGAAAGCGAGGCAGCGAGGCACTAGGACTCCAGGCCACATGTGTTTACTTCAGCTGATGCGAAAGATATGAGAACTGCTAGAAAGACATAGAAGATAAGAAAGCTCGAAAACCATAGGAAACCATAGAAACCCATAGAAAACCTGGATAACCTTCTAAAGACAGGAGCTTTGTCAAGCAGAATCCTTCGTGCAAATGTCATGAGAACAGCTTCAACCATGTCAATTCCAGGTCAAATATGCCAGAGTACTGACACGCGAGGATTACCAGTAGTACCGCACAAGGCGGTGGCGGAAGTTTCAGAATAGGAAACCTATAGGAGACGTTGGTTGTTGTGAATCACGGATGGCAGAGCGAATCCACTGATTGACCGAAAGGTGGTTGGAGTTGTGTTTGCTGGAGTGGTTGCAATGCTTGCAGTGGTCACCTCACCCACAACTGCTGGATGTAGTGTGATGTACTGCAACTGTAGTTGTAGTTGTAGCGTAGTGGAGTTGTAGCTGTGGTGTAATGTAATTAGTGTAGTGTAGCTGCAGTCACATAGTTGTAGCTGTAGTTGCTTTGTAGTTGTAGTTGTAGTTGTTGTAGTTGTAGTTGTAGTTGTTGTTGCTGTTGTTGTAGTAGTTGTTGTTGTGTGGTTGTAGGTGTTGTGTAGTGTAGTTGTAGTAGTAGTAGTTGTTGTTGTAGTTGTTGTAGTAGTAGTAGTAGTTGTTGTTGTTGTTGTTGCTGTTGTTGTTGTTGTTGTTGTTGCTGTTGTTGTAGTAGTAGTAGTTGTTGTAGTTGTAGTTCTAGTTGTAGTTGTAGTTGTTGTGTAGTTGTTGTAGTTGTAGTTGTTGTACTTGTAGTTGTTGTGGTTGGTGTTGTTGTTGTTGTTGTTGTTGCTGTTGCTGTTGTCGTCGACGTTAGGGTAGTTAAGTTAGTGAAGTTAGTTAAGTTAATCAGTGTCTACTTTTTTGACATCTTCACGTCAAAAAAGGCTCAAAACCCTCAGTTTTTTACACTTTTGACTTGGAAATGTGCTTCGCGCCACAATGGCGTGCACTTTTTCGACATCTGAACCTCGAAAAGTGGTCCGAGACCGTCAGTTTTTAACACTTTTGACTTGGAAATGTGCTTCGCGCCGCAACGGCGTGCACTTTTTCGACATCTCAACTTCCAAAAGTGGTCCGGAGCTGAGGTGTTTTGTACATTTTGACTTGGAAATGTGCTTCGCGCCACAACGGCGTGCACTTTTTCGACATCTCAACTTCCAAAAGTGGTCCCAGGCTGAGGTGTTTTGTACCTTTTGACTTGGAAATGTGCTTCGCGCCACAACGGCGTGCACTTTTTCATCGCTCCTGTGGCCAGCTGGCTCCGCACCCGCCGCTTTAGCGAGCCTACTTTTCGACCCTCCGGAGCCACAAATCATTGGAAAAACACAGTGTTTCGCGACTTTCCTACCTTTTCGCGCATCTGCATCTTCTTTCTTCTGATCTTTTCTCTTCTGACTCTTCTCACCTCTGCTTTTCAACTGTCCATATTGTCGGAAGTTTCACTTCTAAACTTCCTTCGATCAAGTTAAATATGTTAAATACTGAAATTAAATTCATGAACTTACAGAAAACTATGCCATCCTCTGAAGAACCCAGAGCGGTCTGAGAGGGTCTGGAAACAATGACCCCACATCCGTCGCTGATGCAACACAACCAACACACCCAGCGACCTGCGGTGCTGCAAGGCCAATGCCATCACCTGCGTTTGGGGGCGACCACACATTCTCATCATCTTAAATGATCTCTCGCGCAAAAGTATCTCTCTCTCCCTCCATCAACACAAGAGTAAACACACACACACGCATAGACGTATATACATAATTAATTCATAATTATACATATGAATTTACATGTAGCAATGTAACTCATTCTAGCATATTCGAACTAAATATGTACAATATATAATTAAATAGTATATTATTTATATTATATATATTTATAAATATAATAAAATGTATTTTATATATGCATGACTATAAGCACGTACCCGCCCACCCACACACTGTGGGGTAATGGTGAGTGGAACGTTTTAATGATGTCATAGGTTTCGCCTGCTTTCCTGGGTTACCTGGCAGTAGTGTTGCAGCGGACGCGGAATCGCGATCGAAGAAACAACGTACAGCTCATGAACAGAAACAGAAGGTCAACAGTTTAAACCATAGCAGGTACGTAGGTCAGGCGTCCCTGACCTATATCCTTACCACATGTCACCCAGCTTCGTTGGCAGAGGAAGTGACATGGGCACCTCTGCCCCCTGCTTTATGAGAATTGCACAAGCGCGATATACAGAACTAAACCGTTTGTTATAACGGTGTACACACACACACACAATGGCCCCGAAATGGGGCAAGACCGCAAAGCGCCTAGTTTTTACCTAGGAAATCTGACCTAAAGAGCCTGCCTAAGAGAATGAATACCTGGCCTAAAAAGGGACCTGATGACGATGACGAGTGATGTGAGAAGCAAAACGATGAACCATTTTCTATAAGTCGTGAATCCCGACATTGCAGAAAAGTGCGTGTGCAATTGCTTTACATTTTAGTTCAAAATTGAGACGATGCACAAGATTGTTTTTTTAGCTGGAGTTTCGGAACTGCAGAAGAATCTTGAGTTTGAAAAGGTTCCGACAGGCTTCAACTCAATCTGCATAACAAAATTATGTAGTCATGATCAACTTGAAAAGATCTCAATAGTAGCGAACATTCAAATTTCATCAAAGTATCAGATCCCAAAATATACAGCAATATCCCATTGTGATTGATCAGTGACACCTCCTAGAACTGTTCAGCAACTGAACTAATTTAACCTAAGAAGCCTACCTGAAAAATGAATACCTGGCCGCCCTGAAAAGAACCTGATGACGATGACAAGTGATGAGAGAAACAAATGATGTGAGAAACAAAACGTTGCCTAGCAATACTGACCTAAGGAGCCTGCCTAAGAGAATGAATACATGACCTAAAAAGAACCGAATGACGATGACGAGTGATGTGAAACTCATGACAATGCAATTGAGATTCCGACCAAAGCACTTGTATTGCACCCGTGGTGCGGAGAACTTCGACTTATGTCTACTTTGTCCTAATTGGACGAAACTTCTGCCTTATGGCTTCTTCGCCTTATGGCTGCTTCGACCGGATTTTACAGTGTAAAAAAAATCTTGACTTCGTCATATGACGCTTGAAATGCACTCGGAGTGCATACGGCTTCGGAGATTCATACTCCACTCTGAATACGGGAAAATGCCCGCTCATAACTTTTTGATTGGTCGAAACCAACCGACGGTGCGACCAATTGAGGTCAAACACCCGTAACACACTGCGGGGTAATGGTGAGTGGAACGTTTTAATGATGTCATAGGTTTCGCCTGCTTTCCTGGGTTACCTGGCAGTAGTGTTGCAGCGGACGCGGAATCGCGATCGAAGAAACAACGTACAGCTCATGAACAGAAACAGAAGGTCAACAGTTTAAACCATAGCAGGTACGTAGGTCAGGCGTCCCTGACCTATATCCTTACCACATGTCACCCAGCTTCGTTGGCAGAGGAAGTGACATGGGCACCTCTGCCCCCTGCTTTATGAGAATTGCACAAGCGCGATATACAGAACTAAACCGTTTGTTATAACGGTGTACACACACACACACACTCGCGCCCGCCATATCAAATGATATCATATCAACCAAGTTCTTCTTTTGGCATCTTTTGGCGGGATCAGCAGGGCCTGTGGCATACAAGGTGGCGAAAAGATTGTCTGCCAGCCTGCGAAGCCTCCTATCCTCGGCCAAAACAACTGGTGTGGCCAACCATGATCCAAAAAGATCATGAGTAAAATTGAGAAAAATAACATTACACATCATTAAACTACATTATCTAATTATATTCATTAATATAATGATATAGTCGAAATTAGTGACCCTCAGAATTTCTCAGCACAACCAAGTGCAAAGGCGTGGGCAAACGTCTTGATGTCTTCATTCTCTTGGCGAAGAGATGGGTGAGGATATCTCACCTGCAAGTGCGACAAGCAGGTGCCAGCTGAGACATGAGAAAAACATGATTGCCAACCCCTGCAGGATATAACTCCGCATGCTTTCGGTAGAGTAGAGGTGGATGCATGCACTCTACTGTATCATACTGTAAGCACTCTACTCATACTGTATCCTGTTGATATCTTCCGTATCAGCGCATTAGATGCCACGGACGGCAAACTTTCAGCTGTTCCAGGAGCCGGTCCAGACCCCAAAGCGGTTTCACCGTCGACATGATTGAAACATGAAGAAGCATGATTCATTAAAGTACAGTGGGGATGCTTTATGATCTTGTTACAATGTGATATTGTTACAATATGTTGCAATCGCATGGGATTCGGATGGGGCAAACAGGCGCTGCAATGCCGATGTGGCTTGATCTGCGCGCTTGGCAAAACAAACAGATTGAGCTCCACCACTTTTCCTGCCAATGGATGCAGCTGCACGGCTTAGCCGAGGCGCACGCTATTCTGATAGTGAAATGATGCCCCTCTTTGAGGCACTCTGAAAACCTTTCTGATTTCCATTTAACAAAGATGTTCCGTGAAGTTCAGAGTTGAATTAGGCACTGCCCCTCAAACTCGTCAGGCAGTGGTGGGGGGGGCTGAAAACGAGTCGACGAGACTCTGCTGCGAAATGCACGCAATTCCAAAACCAATTTCTCTCTACGTGCGGCTGCACCTTGCAAGCGCCGTTCCAACGACTCTTTCTTTTCAAATGCTCGTAGGAGATCGCTCTCGTGCTTCTGTGCTGATGTGACTTTGGCATTCAGGCGTTCTTCTGCTGATGCCAGCACCTGAAGGAGCTGCCGAATATCAGCACGTCTTTTTTCTCGTTCCTCCTCTCTTTTCTGGTCTTTGGCCTTTGTTTTGTTGGAGTTGATGTTGTTCATCCATTCCACATCATTCTTCAATTCTTGAAGCTGCTCTTTGGCCTCCCTCTTGGCGTACAACAAGAGTTCTCTTTCTGTTGGTGTTGGTGGCTTTGCATCTTCAAGCGAATCATCCATAACCATCTCCATGTTCTCAATGGGCTGCAAGGCCGAAAGATGACTTGAGAGCCTGGACAGGAGTGGAGGCCTTTTGGTTGCAGCACTTACAGCGACACTTGCAGAGGCAGACTGCAGAGCCTGTGAAGAGCTCTGATTCTGTTGCGCCTGTTGCGCCTGTGCCCGTTGGGCCGGGTTTCTTCGCCTCAGCTCTGCACGATGAGAATCGGGCAGCACTGACCACTCCAAGCAGCTCCGGCGACGAGAACGGTCGAAGTATGCCGCCACCTCTCGGGCACGAGCCCGTTGGCCGATGCAAATCAAATTGGCCAAGTCGCAGGGCTCACAACCGCTCACACCACCAGATCCACCAGATTCCTGTGTGAAGTCATGTTTCTTAGCTAAGCATTGAATCTTCTGATTCGTCTTAAAGATATGTTGCGCCATGTCATGTGACACTTCAGGATTTGGATGAGATACCAAGCGAGTCAATGCTTGGTGCAGCTCCTTTTCAATGATAGCTGTCTCAAGTGAATCTGTTCCTGGCGATATATTTGCCAGTGCCATGGTGTCTGTTACCAGGCGCAGCCCCAGTGACGGCATTCGGAAACCGATGAAAAAGAATTCAACTTGGGCTCGTTTTAAGATCTTAGATAAAGAACCCCAAAAAGTGGTGGCGAAGAGAATGGACAATGACGCAGGTACACTGAGTAGGATGATGCACTGGATCAGACTCAGAATCAAGTGAACCAGAGATGGCAGCCGAAAATAACTGTCGCCTCGCCGCGTATCAAAACGGATGTAGGTGTTCCCCGCAGTTGTAGCGGTCACAAAATCGGTGAGAGTGCTCTTAGAAGATTCACGCAGTGTCTCCACCGATAGAAGGCACAGAGGCCTTTCACTGCTAGGCACAACAGGAGTGTGGCCTCCCCAATTGAGGGCAGCTAAATCAAAGACATCATTGTAGCAGTTCACAGCAGCTGAAAATTCACCTCCTTGAAGCAAGGTGTTTAGGTTCCACTCCCAACCAGCCATTGCCAAAAGATCTGGTGGTGTAAGGATTATCTTCTCACCAGGCGCAAATGAAGAGAGCACATCATGACTCCTGCTGACAGCTATGCTGTGAGCGTCTCCATTAGTTTTCTTGTCCCCCACACGCGGGTCCGATCCGAAAAAATACGGTGCGGGCTGGGATAATCGAAATGTATAAGTCATTTGAATAGGTGCAGCACTGAGAACGTGATTCAAAAGGATCCACACATGGTTGCTTGAACTGTCCACACCACTTGCTGATATCGCTCCAGTGTTGAAGGATGTAAAGGACACAAGCTCAAGTGTGGAACTTCCGTCTAGCCTGAGACTCTGCGGGGGAACGAAACAGGACCTCTCAGTCCAGAAGGGGCAAGCTCTTGTACAAGCTTTCATGAGTTGGAGATCCAGTGACTGCACGACATCTTCGCTCAAAATGCTTGCCTCAGCACAGCTATTGACATATATATGGTTCCACAATTACAGATACATTCCGCAAAATGGAAGGCACATGAATCAACACAAACAATGGATGACATATGACATGTATTGAAATACACACCTTAGAGGACGAAAAACGAACAAGACGTCTTGATTTTTGCCAGCTGCGCACTGCTTGTAGACCTCGGTCGTGCTGTTTTTGCATGGGAAAGGGCCTCCTGCCGAAGCACAATATTGTGCAATGTCTGCGGGCAGGACCACATCTGCGTTGAGGTAGGGGGCGTTGTCGGCCACATCCACAATCAACTGTAAGAAGGGCGAGTTGTCAATGACCACTGTGTGTTCCTTTTGCACCGCAAGGATCGCGATCACGTAAGCCACGAGCGGGAGGTGCAGCAAATACCAAATGGCATTGATGCTACCGTTCAAAATGACCAGCTTCTTGGTAGTGTTGAGCTTTGGAGTGAAGTCCCCCAAATTGTCCAAGCAAGGCATTCCAGAGTGAGAGCAGGCCAGCGCTTCATGCAATGCGCAGCTAGTGACAGCTAGTGGCTAGTGTGGATAGACTTGGTTATGTTGGTTTGGCATTTTTTGTTACTGAAGAAAATAGAAGCCGCCTTGTTGGCGCTATCCGGCTATTTCTTCTGTTCCTTCCTGGCTTGACTTCTGACACAAATGCTGGAGCCGCAAGAGTCGATGCAAAGCCCTGAGATGTTACCCCCCTGTCTCACTATTCCAAACACCATCAAACCAAGCAATAGAAAACACCCCAAAGATTGGCAGAAATAGAATAAACATTCCTTTTTCTTTCATTTTCCCATCTTTTTCCAATATCTTAGATCTCACTCATGTTGATTCTGCAGGAAAAATCGCGGAGTGAACCCACTTCGTGAAGGATACAATTTCCGAGGCGCAGGCGATGTCAAACTGCATGCGCTTTGTGTCAAAGCCTTGGAATTACAAGCCGTGCTGGCTGGGACACTTAGCGAGGCTTGTGAGAGAAAACATGAGAAAACAATATTGCGTGAGGTGTACAATGCTGTACAAATCTGTACAGTACCTGTTACCACCGTGCCATGATATACCTCCTGGGCGCAGCAATGAAGACAATTACAGCTGGAATTTCTTTACAATCCTGTTCCATCCTGTTCCGATCTTTATAGCAAGAACCAAATTTCTCATCGCCTGCAGGCGCATAGGGACCACCACGTCCTGTCAAGCTCACATGGTAGGTGGTCTTCATATGTTTAAAGCCTGGATTATCACAAACGCCTCTTGGGGCAAATGCCAAGGCAATCCAGATCTTATCAGATCTTAAGGTGGGCGATGGTGGGCGGGTGCAATGTGAATGGAATGTATTGAATTCAAATGAATTCAACCATCTGCAGCAATCCATCAGCAAGCACCTGGCTCTTCATCGAAAACTTCATCAAGTTCATCTGCCTTTGCACATTAAGCAGTGCTCATCTGCAGGGACAACCCCTGTGTAGATATATAAAGACCATAGATCTGTATAGATCCGTACAAATGGATGTGACATGTTGATGCATGTTGTACCGCAACAATCCAGCACCAAACACCCCAAATCATCATAGGCGATCATATGAATCATAAGCCAGGGGAGTTTGTTCCCTGCTCAATTGTGGTTTAATTTGATCATTGCTAATTGCTTCATTGAGCTCCAAACGGGGCTACCCTTGGAGTCTCCAAACCTTGGCTGTCAGACCATGGGAACGCGGCATGCGAAGGTCCATTTCATGTCATGTCACGGCATCCCATGTCGCGTTGGAGATCCGCGATGATGAAAAATTTTCATCATCGCGGATTTGATACCGCAAACACATACAGAAACCGCGATCGAATATCGATTGGGGTTGGATTGCGGTAGAATAATTTTCTGTCGCTTCGGCAGTTTGTGTTGTTTTGAAGTGTGCAATGTGGTCAACAACTAGAGGCTTTGATCAGTTTCAATTTTGAACCAACGAGTCGTGGGCCACCAAAATAGCTCCATTTCATACGTATATACTGCCTATACTGTATACTACATATGCATTTCTGATCATTTCTGTGTGCTGCTACAGCTTTGTGCTTCTGCGATCACCCAAAGCCTCATCAGCACGATGGCGATCACAATGGGAATCTTCGCTGGTGGGCTGCTCCAACTTATCTGTTCTCTTGTTTTGTTCCCATCTTCCGAAAATCTTCGGATCATCTTCCCCATTGTCATTCTCTGTCCTCCCTGCCTCTACTATCAATCAGCCTTGCCCCAACATCCTTGTTCATATCACCCAGCTGAGCTCTTGACTCAAACATACAAACAAATAAATACAAAATATGTATATCATACTATATCATTATATGAACATTATGTGTATATATATATACATATATCTTCTCACTAGATATAACGTGTATGTTCTTGGAATACATTGGCCAGGTGCTTAGAAGTCGTGCGAGAACTTGCGAGCGATGGCATTGCAACTAGCTCTGCTAAGGCCACGGCAAGTCACCAATGAATCGCCGCTGGACGTTCCTTTTGCGAACTTGTGCCTTGGCAATGCGACGTCATGCGACATCCCCACAAAGCTCAACCCAAAACACAAGGAAAAATCAAGCTGATTCAATAATTCCTCTAGGTTTCATGCGCTGGTGAGTGGGCCAAACGTAGTCCACACCTTCAAAGTTGCCAAGAGAAACAAAACACGGAACTTGAAAGACATTCAACTCATTTAACTTAAAGAAGGATCAAGCCCAAAGGGGGTCCTGGATACAAGCTAAATGAGAGAAATCTGATTTCAAAGGAGCTGTTTATTTGCCCAACATGCTATCAAATGCTACAACATCTCCCTCAAAATCCGACTTGATCACAGATCTGAAAGCTACCGCACTCCAGTGTCCATCTATCCTACTTCTGCAAATCCATGTCTTTCATTGTAATTCTGAGATGAAGTGCCCTGTTAAATCATGCTACACCAGAAATCCTGGTTCAAGTATTGAGAACCTCATCTCACATATCTTACAGAACTCACCGCGAACCCACCAGGCTCAGCTTTGCACAAAGCTAGTCGCATTGCAAAGCGCAAGGACCTTGAGAAAGAGTGCGTGCATGCAATGAAAATCAATGGAGTCTGCCCCCTTTCAGCCACAACAGGCAGAGCTACATTATACAGCATGTCTTTTGTTAACTTTTGTTCCTTTTTTTGCCTCTGCAAATCGTCAGCGGTTTGTCGAAAGCTCCTTTGCGCGGAAGCTAGCCAAGTGACCTAGATGTATCTAGATGTGCTGTCCCGCTGATTTCAGCCCCGCTTCAGACTGCAAGTCCGCGGGCATAGGTTGCGTCAGTCCTCATCTGATGATGTTGCTTCACCACCAATACCTTCATCTGTCTTGATATACTTGGTCATGTCAAGCATTCTTACCTGTCAGGGACAAGGCCTCCACTTCTGAAAAATCACAGAAGAACTTCTCCAAGTCTTCACCATCAGCCAAAGCTGCGGCAACTGTGGAATTGATCTCATCACCATCCAAATAGGCACCTTGCAAATGCCGTGGGGCACCACGTTCGTAAGCTTCGCGACCATGCATGACTCGCCCATTGGACCAAATAGCAAGGTCGCCTGGTTTCCTGCAGCTTCCAGGGTAAAGGGTCTAAGTCTTCAACGGAGATGGTATTAGTGGGGATTAATGTGTTTGTACTATGTACCTACAGTAGATCGCCTGTGAAATCAAAGACCGAACGATAGAAAATCACAGAAAACTTTGACCTTTGTTCATGATCACCAAGGAGCAGCTCGATTCGAACTGTGAAAGCACCAGAGTTCGCAAGGCGATCAAACAGAGCCCAGGCCCGGTAATAGGCTTCGAGCTCTGGTAATTCTGGTGACAGCGGTGCTGCAGACCGATTGTTGAAGGTAATGCGCTGAATGTTCCCATTCTGAAGCTTTATGACGGGAACGGATGCCTGTAGAAGGACAGCAGCATCAGGGTCCCGGTATTCAAAGGGATGTGAGATGCCCGACAGCAAACGAAACGCATCGCCATCCAATGTTTTCAGTTCTTCAGCAACGCGAAAACCATCCGTAAAGAGGGTAGCGCCACCAGCTTCTGCACAGCTCAGGCAATGCAGCATCTGTATGCCTGGGAAAGGGTCACGGTATGGATTGTCAGTGTGGGCTGAGATCCTCTGATTTGTGAAGGCCAAATTTGTAGCATTGACCCCTTCATCCTTGACGTCAAATATATCTCCATAGTTTGTGACTCTGATGTGCCCGATCTCATTTCCAACTTTCCTGATGGTACCTTCACCAGCCCCCAAACCACGCAAGAAAGCCAAACCATATCGCTGCAAGTAGGTGCACAACTGGAGCTTCCCACTGGATGTGGAGAAAGCATCATACTCCATCCAAGGCAATTTCTGTTGAAAGCTCCCATCCCAAAAATGTTGATGAACTTCTTTGGGTTTTGCCTGTTTTGCCAGCCAGTTCCAGTCGTAATAGCTCTTCGCTCCATCGCTCCACTTGATGCATACACCATCTGAGCCACTGGTGAGATTCGTAACTTCAGAGCTAAGGGTCCCATCAATGACTTTCGACATCTCAAAGAGCCGCTGTTGGTTCTTGGTGCTACTGCTTGGGTCATGCAGTCGTAGCCAGAACGGTTTCAACTCCATAACTGGAGCCGTCGAGCCCCAGTTGATGGAGACCTTTCCGCACTTCAAACTGGCACGGGCAAATTTTGCCAGCCCTTCCATGGCGTCACTTCTGCAAGCCGAAGAAACCTACTGTATTCCAAGAAAGAAGTTAGCGGCAAAGAAACATCTGGCAAAACCAGTGTAGCATTTGCAGCGAGTGGAAGTGCTCTTCATGATTTCTGGTTGTAGCATGGTGAAGCTGAAGCATGCTGAACCGAGCCAAAGCAAGCACAACATGCATCAAACATCATGAAACATTGGCAAAGAAATGGAAATCAACCAACTTTGCGCACTCTCGTCTGCTCTGCAATTGAAGCATGGGCCTGGAAGGGCCTGAAACTCTTCAAATGACCACATGGATCCGAATGACGGGCCAGTACTGGTCTTGCTAGGTAGCACACCGTCACTGCAGTGGCAAAGGTTGTGTTGCAGCGCCGTCCTAGGATGTGATTAAATTCCAGATGATGAGGCATGCTGCATGGATCGCCGCACGTGAGAACCTAAAATGGGATGATGCATAAGGACAAACTAAAGAACAATCAGACTCAGACATGCGTACGTTCTGTTTCATTCCATTCCATTCCGTCCCATTCTGCTCCACTCCACTACCTGCCGTTCATGCATTGCATACGGTACATATTGAATTTGGTTGCATTACATACATTACATACATTACATACATTACATACATTACATACATATACAGCATACATTACATACACCACTACATTGAACACATTACATACATTGCGCAAACACACATGCATTAGAAAAACACACATATATACTTATTCTACATATACACACAGCATGACATGACATGACATGACACAACACAAAATAGTATATGTATGGGCATGTATACATGCAATATACTGTATATATATATAATATATATATATGTGTGTGTGTGTGTGATTGTGTTTGTGTGTGTGTGTGTGCGTGTTACATAGATACACATAAATCACATCTCTCTCTCACACGCACGTGTCACATACAACACATGGTTTGTCAAAATGTCTGTTCCCGGTTTTGTTGATAAATCGCAATTCCATGCGTGCCGCCTCATGTTTGCCTTTAAAAAACATGACCTACCTTGATGACGTAAAAACGTGGAAATTCTTCGTTACCTTTGGAAATCTGTCTAAAACCACAGGAATTGGCTAACGCACGTCGGTTCGCTGTCGCTGGTACTATCTCCTGAACCGTGTGTCTCTGTGTGTGCGCCTCTCTGAATGCAATATGCTTCTTGACATGCCTCCTGATCAACGCTGTTTCCTTACTGTAAGCTACCAAAGCGTGAACATGGCTGTGCCTCTGAATGGGCTGTGGGTGGACCGGGGCATGTATTTGCAATTTTCGCTAGCGCGTTGCTAGCGGGGATCTAGCGCGTAAAATACGTAAAAAAAAATGAAAATTTGGGAATATGTGGAAACTGACAGACTTGTAAGAAAAGCTGGCAAGACATTCACGACATGGAGGCCATGGCTGTCAATCAAACCTAGCGCAAACCTAGCGGGTTTGCTAGCGCTGCCTTGCAGAATTGCTGAATTTAGTTGCGTGCCGCCTCATAACGAAGAGGCAAAAACAGTAGATCCAGATGAATTATCAACAGCCAATACTAAACTTCTAAACAACTATTTTTGACAAATGGTCACATGCATATCTCTCTATATGTATACCAAACTCGACAAGACTGTTGCTATTCATCACAAATATGCAAAAGGGTGTAGAGAAGCGCAGCAGGGGCCCGTACGTCTGTGTCCCTCTTGAGAAAAAGCCTTGTCGCCGAGCCATTTCACGCTCCAAATCAACTTCCCGAATTTCAAAGGACAAAAACCAAAGCAAACCATGCCTGAAGGCAAACATTCAAGAAATCCTTTTTTGGGTTTATGTCTGCTGTATGTAAGGGTGATAGAAACAGGATGAGAGGAGCCGTCGCTGGCGAAAGAAAGCTGCCAACCCCGTTGGCAAACATCACGACTTTGGCAGTGCTTTGGCCCGGGCCATCTTGGTCTATCTTGATCTGAAGACGAGTTCAAACCGTGTGGTTCTGAGTTCTGAGGAGCACTTTCGTGCCTTTCTGTTGGACAGGCTGGCTTTTGGCTGCAATTGGCACACTCTGCTAAAACATGCTAAAACATGCTAAAACTATTTGAAGATATTTGAAGCATTTGCACGTGCAACTAAACATTGAACTGCAGTTCACATACCGGGCGTTTGCTGTTGTCATTGTATGGTTGTTTTCGCATTCTGATCAGGCTACCAGCCGGGGAAGCACAGCAATGCACAGCAATTACGTTGATATAATCTATAATTGTCACTTTGATATGCTTCGAAATCCTCAGGCCTCTGCACAGTTGGCCTTTTCATTTCCTGTTCTGATTCTCTCCACCGCTGCCCGCCCAGTGTGTGTGGAACTCAACTTTTTTGCGTCTCATTGCAGCACACAGCCAGCACTTCTGACCTTGGTGCACGCTATTCCACACTTTTCCTCGAAAATTGGCCCACCACCATGCCTCGCTTCAATGGTACCCAATGCATCCCAAATATCCCAATGCTAGTTCACAAGTATTCACCACAAGTATTCACAGTTTGTTCAGGGCCTGGGAATCAACCCCCAACCCACCAGGCCGGGTGCCGAAAGCCAGGCCAAGACTGGGCTCGCTACACCGCAGTCCACGGATTCGATATCAGCACCTTCGCCCGGTGCCCGGTCAGTGTGATGCAGTTGGGCAACGGAGACCCGGGGAGAATGTTGGACATTAAGGCTCTGGCCATGTTCAAGCAGCAACTGGCAAATCTCCGCATGCTTCCCCTTCGCAGCGTAGGCTAGAGGTGTGCCACTGGCGCTGTCAGTGGCCTCTACATCAGCGCGTAGCGATACCTACGAGTAGGGCAAAAATGCATAAAAATGCCAGGTGGCTAGTGGCAAAATGGCAGCAAATCTCCAGTCTTGACTTTTCGCGGTGAATCCCTTGTCTTTCAGTCAACATCAGGCAGCCACTGAAGCAATTGTCAAAACGGTCCGAAATTTCCATATGATTGATCTCCGCATATCTCCGCACACTTCAGTATGCAATCACCAGTCGCAGTCCGGTTGCTAAAAGCTTGCATGCCGAGACGTGGCCGAGACGTGCTGCGACTATCAAAGCAGTCTCACCTCAAGAGTCGCAGAAGAAACGCTGAGGCTGGGGTCTAGAGATCCAAGGGCCCCCCCAACCCAACCCTGTCCAAGGAAGGTGATAGAGAACAACTTTCTGTTGCTTGCAGCATCACTACAAGTACTATGGCATCCTGTGACTATGCAATGCCTCGCAGCTTTCTCAAAAAGAAACCAAAGCACCGGAAACTCAGGATCCTAAACATGATTTACAAAGACCAGCATGCTTGTTTCATGCCCCTTGGTGACCAATATTTGTGGAATTATGGAGGCATCCAGCATCACTTTGCATAATTTTACGTGCTGACATCTCCTCACATCGTTGCAGGCTCGTGACCCCTGCTGTTACACGCTTCTCGCAGTTGCGGTCGCAGCTGCAGCTCTTGACGGAGCCTTGGGCTGGATCACAGTATCACACAACCATTTGGAACAGTCCTGCGTCCCTGCTTTCACATCATGGATCATCATGGAGCATATTCGGACATCAAATTTTTCGGCTTCGATCATTCCCAGACTTTGCGTACATGTATGTACAATTATGGATCAATTATGTACATGTCTACAAGTGTCCGGTAAGCTGGACGGTCCCAAGCTCTCCCGGACTCCTCGGCTCGGGGGGCATGGTGCTACCCGGTTCCTGCCCACCAAGCAGCGTATGTGTATCTCCCATCTCCGCGGCCTGCAAGAGTGTTGCTGCTCCTTGAGAGGCCTCAAGTCCATGCGTTTATCATGTGAACATATGTGAACCACTGTTGCACCATCCTTCAAGCCAGGAACTATAGCAAAAAACAGCCTTACACTAGATCTTACTAGAATTTACTAGATCTTACTATAGATCTTTCTAGTGCTCAGAGGCTCACCTTCCGCGGCATTTCTCCAGGACTTTTCTGCCTGCACTTCAGAGGTGTGTCAAACTTGAGAACAGGAATGGACGAAGGAAATTGAATGCCACATGGCTCTGCGGCGTGAAGAATTCCAAAAGAGCATGGCCTATTTGTTGGAAGGCGTTGCCTCTGTTGTGAAAAGGGGTAATGGTACTACTACGGTACTAAAAGTATATTGTGGCAAGATCTTGCAAGAGTCGTATGAGGCACAATCACCGCCCTAGTGCTAGGCACATTCATTCAAGGAAATCTCATGACTGTACAATACGTATGGGGAACCGTGGGCAAATACTGCAACTGGGACAAATCAATACCTTTTTGTATTTATGTTTATAATATCATATATCCTTTCATGCCCTTCATACTCTTTTACATCCTTGTATCTACATCCTGCAGTAACTACGGAGTCGCATTGATTACAAAATGTCTTGTGAACATGATGAATATCGTCACTATGGGTAGTTTGGTGACCTAATTTTGGATCAATTGCATGCCCTGACTGATCTGTGACCCTATCTTGAGGTCTTGTGTGCTGCCCTCCTTTTTCCCTGATCTTCTTGCACTGACATTTTCTCAACCTGTTTCAAGTTCCCAACAGACTTGATGCCACAAATTCATTCAAACTCCACACGTCATCCACACGTCCACGATTTGAATCTCTCAGGACAGGCTGCGCGAAACGCGCGAGCCAAAGCATCGATATCAGCACTGCAGAGGTGGTCAGGACAGCAGCAATCGCTGCCAATGTCAAGTCATCCATGGCAATTGGACGGATGGACGGATCGATTGGATGGATTGGATGGATTGGATGGATTGGATGGATTGATATATAGATGAGAATCGATGAGAGATGAAATCTTTCTTGTTCCAACATGTTGCGTTCATACCTGCACATACAGTACTTTCGATGGTCACCCCCTGGCAGAATTGTTTCTTTGAGCTCTGTCGGTTTAAAAGCACAAACACACAACACTACGCGTGAAAAAGGGATGAAAAAGCAATGCCGAGCTGTCCTTGAAAGCTTGGAATGTAACCGCTCTTAAGCCTTGATTGTATAGCGTCGGCGCACCCAGGCATCTGGAAACCACTCAAGCCTGCAACTAGTGCCAACACGATGGATATCGATGGATATTGGGGACACAAGACTGAAACTTTCCCCCCAAAAGTCATCTCCAAACAGTTCTTTGCGTCACTTTTGGCACGACACAATGAGCTACTATTTGATCACCGGGAATCCCGGGAATCCCGCATGGCAGGAGTGATGACAGAAGGAACAAATGCGTCACGTCGAAAAGTGACAAGTGCCCGTCATTCTGAAACGACGCAGCAAATGTGCCACGAACAAAGCTCAAAGATGCTCAAAGCTAGGACACTATCAGGGCTGCTCCACGCTGCTCCAGGCGGCTTGCTTAGCAAGGGAGGAGCTTCGCATGTAACAACCTTTGTCGGTTTCATTTTCTCAGCCGGTTTCAGCTGCAATTTCGCTCTTGGGAAGTCTTGAATATTGATTGGAGCGCTGCCAGCCCCGGCTTTAGGGGCACAGCATTTCCACTTCAAGCTGCATCATACCATGTCTCCATTCCCATGGGTTTGCATAATTACACAAGTCTACACTTGGTGCTAAGTCCTCAAGTGTTGAAGTTTTAATCATCACAACCTTTGAATGTCCAAATAAGATTTCCTCAAATTTGATATATATATATATTCCCTTCAGGTCACGTGTGTTAACGGGCGAAAAGTGAGAGCTGGCAATGGTCAAAAGCCAGCGAAGTTCATGCAAAATGCGCTGCATGCACGTATCGCACACACATCTCTGTTCAAACATCACCTGAATTAGAGGACATAGCTGGAATCAGGAGTTCAGAAATTGAAACTCCAGGTTCTATTGTGACTGCGAATATCCTGATGAACCGGAGGATTGCTCCATCAGCGATCCACTTAGTGAGAGTGAATGACCCTCCGAGTCGCCCGCGCCCTTCTTGCCTGGGCTTATGAGAGTGACAACCACGGTTATCCCCAGCTACAGTAGATGGTTCGTTCATGTTGGTTCCATGCGTATCTTAGACTAACAAAGGCAGTATCTGTTGCTATGGACCCCTTGCGCTTGCATATGCACACAAATGCCTGACGATGTCAAACCTTTTGACCATGTTTGACCCACCAAAACCACTTTGAAACCATGGAGGCAGCCGGAGGCACCAACCGTCATCGGTCAAGATTGGTCAGGCTCCATGCCAAGCGACCCTTTATCATTGCCTTTGTCGCCCGAATCACCAGCTTCTCCAAGTGCTTCAATCTTCGGCGATGAGGACGAACAAAAATTATAGTGATGTATGATGTATATATAACTTATATATATATAATTTATAATGTATGAACTGTATGAACATGATATAAAGCGGAAGGATGATAAAGATAAAGGATGATCATGTGCAATACAGGTATCGCAAGCTGAATGAGTAATGTGCATCTGCTAGCCACACCCTTGTCCATGCGGAGTTCTTGAACTTGTAATGGTGCTCAATGCGGTTCGAAGATGTTCCAAGTGCACATCTCGCCTGGTTTCCAAACTTCCCTGGTTTTTGAATTCATCTTCTGGCCACGGATTATCAGCGTCTGTGGAGCCGCCATACCTGCGGATGATCCTCAGCCATGACAACTTCGATCACCGTGCAAACCTTGCAAGCCACAATCCTGTTTTGCAAGACATCACGTATTCTTCATGTCAGTGCAAAATAGTGCAACATAGTGCAACATGTCTTAACCTAAGCGCTTAAAGATGACGATGGTCACTTCAGCATCATGGCAGCGAAAATCCGCCGACCCCGGCAGACGCAAGGGGGAGCGCGCCAGGGAATAAGACAAGCAAAGACAAGCAAGTTTAGGCACACCACCACCAGAAGAGCCGCTCTTGAACGGTCAGCAGCAGCAGCAGCAGCAGCAGCAGCAGCAGTTGCAGTCGTCCAGCAGCTTTTAACAGCTCCTAACAAGGTGGAAATAAGGTGGAAAAATGATATTTTGTAGGATTAGAAGGGGTTTTTACTGCCGGGAGGTGTTTAGCATGCTAAGAGCAGCGGCAGCCGTGCAGCAGCTAGCAGCCAGCCAGCAGCAGCCAGCAGCTTTTAACAGCTTTAACAAGGTGGAAATAAGGTGGCAAAATGAATATTTTTGTAGGATTTCAGAAGGGACGTTCCGGCCCCGAAAAACGTAGATTTTGGCATCGGTTCGTCCTTTAGGGCCATGCTGTTTACTGCCGGAGGTGTTTTGCAGGCGTTCGCCAGCAGCAGCAGTAAGAGCAGCCGCAGCAGTGCAGCAGCCAGCAGCCAGCCAGCAGCAGCCAGCAGCTTTTAACAGCTCTTAACAAGGTGGAAATAAAGTGGAAAAATGATATTTTTGTAGGATTTCAGAAGGGAACGGTCAGCAGCAGCAGCGCAGGAGCAGCAGCAGCAGCAGCAGCAGTTGCATCCAGCAGCTTTTAACAGCTCCTAACAAGGTGGAAATAAGGTGGAAAAATGATATTTTGTAGGATTAGAAGGGGTTTTTACTGCCGGGAGGTGTTTAGCATGCTAAGAGCAGCGGCAGCCGTGCAGCAGCTAGCAGCCAGCCAGCAGCAGCCAGCAGCTTTTAACAGCTCTTAACAAGGTGGAAATAAGGTGGCAAAATGAAATATTTTTGTAGGATTTCAGAAGGGACGTTCCGGCCCCGAAAAACGTAGATTTTGGCATCGGTTCGTCCTTTAGGGCCATGCTGTTTCACTGCCGGGAGGTGTTTTGCAGGCGTTCGCCAGCAGCAGCAGTAAGAGCAGCCGCAGCAGTGCAGCAGCCAGCAGCCAGCCAGCAGCAGCCAGCAGCTTTTAACAGCTCTTAACAAGGTGGAAATAAAGTGGAAAAATGATATTTTTGTAGGATTTCAGAAGGGACGTTCCGGCCTCGAAAAACGTCGATTTTGGCATCGGTTCGTCCTTTAGGGCCATGCTGTTTTACTGCCGGGAGGTGTTTCGCAGGCGTTCGCCAGCAGTAGCAGTAAGAGCAGCGGCAGCAGTGCAGCAGCTAGCGGCCAGCCAGCAACGTTTAACAGCTCTTAACAAGGTGGAAATAAGGTGGAAAAATGATATTTTCGTAGGATTTGTAAGATTTCAGAAGGGGGTTTTACTGCCGGGAGGTGTTTAGCAAGCTAAGAGCAGCGGCAGCCGTGCAGCAGCTAGCAGCCAGCCAGCAGCAGCCAGCAGCTTTTAACAGCTCTTAACAAGGTGGAAATAAGGTGGAAAAATGATTTTTGTAGGATTTCAGAAGGGACGTTCCGGCCCCGAAAAACGTCGATTTTGGCATCGGTTCGTCCTTTAGGGCCATGCTGTTTTACTGCCGGGAGGTGTTTCGCAGGCGTTCGCCAGCAGCAGCAGTAAGAGCAGCCGCAGCAGTGCAGCAGCTAGCCAGCCAGCAGCAGCCAGCAGCTTTTAACAGCTCTTAACAAGGTGGAAATAAGGTGGAAAAATGATATTTTTGTAGGATTTCAGAAGGGACGTTCCGGCCTCGAAAAACGTCGATTTTGGCATCGGTTCGTCCTTTAGGGCCATGCTGTTTTACTGCCGGGAGGTGTTTCGCAGGCGTTCGCCAGCAGCAGCAGTAAGAGTAGCGGCAGCAGTGCAGCAGCTAGCAGCCAGCCAGCAGCTTTTAACAGCTCTTAACAAGGTGGAAATAAGGTGGAAATGATATTTTTGTAGGATTAGAAGGGGCTTTTACTGCCGGGAGGTGTTTAGCAGGCTAAGAGCAGCGGCAGCCGTGCAGCAGCTAGCAGCCAGCCAGCAGCAGCCAGCAGCTTTTAACAGCTCTTAACAAAGGTGGAAATAAGGTGGAAAAATGATATTTTTGTAGGATTTCAGAAGGGACGTTCCGGCCCCGAAAAACGTCGATTTTGGCATCGGTTCGTCCTTTAGGGCCATGCTGTTTCACTGCCGGGAGGTGTTTCGCAGGCGTTCGCCAGTAGCAGCAGTAAGAGCAGCCACAGCAGTGCAGCAGCTAGCAGCCAGCCAGCAGCAGCCAGCAGCTTTTAACAGCTTGTAACAAGGTGGAAATCAAGTGGAAAAATGATATTTTTGTAGGATTTCAGAAGGGACGTTACGGCCTCGAAAAACGTCGATTTTGGCATCGGTTCGTCCTTTAGGGCCATGCTGTTTTACTGCCGGGAGGTGTTTCGCAGGCGTTCGCCAGCAGTAGCAGTAAGACCAGCGGCAGCAGTGCAGCAGCTAGCAGCCAGCCAGCAACGTTTAACAGCTCTTAACAAGGTGGAAATAAGGTGGAAAAATGATATTTTTGTAGGATTTCAGAAGGGACGTTCCAGCCCCGAAAAACGTCGATTTTGGCATCGGTTCGTCCTTAGGGCCATGCTGTTTTACTGCCGGGAGGTGTTTCGCAGGCAGCAGTAAGAGCAGCCGCAGCAGTGCAGCAGCTAGCAGCCAGCCAGCAGCAGCCAGCAGCTTTTAACAGCTCTTAACAAGGTGGAAATAAAGTGGAAAAATGATATTTTTGTAGGATTTCAGAAGGGACGTTCCGGCCTCGAAAAACGTCGATTTTGGCATCGGTTCGTCCTTTAGGGCCATGCTGTTTTACTGCCGGGAGGTGTTTCGCAGGCGTTCGCCAGCAGTAGCAGTAAGAGCAGCGGCAGCAGTGCAGCAGCTAGCAGCCAGCCAGCAGCAGCCAGCAACTCTTAACAAGGTGGAAATAAGGTGGAAAAATGATATTTTGGTAGGATTTGTAAGATTTCAGAAGGGAGTTTTACTGCCGGGAGGTGCTTAACAGGCTAAGAGCAGCGGCAGCCGTGCAGCAGCTAGCAGCCAGCCAGCAGCAGCCAGCAGCTTGTAACAGCTCTTAACAAGGTGGAATAAGGTGGAAAAATGATATTTTTTGTAGGATTTCAAACGTTCCGGCCCCGAAAAACGTAGATTTTGGCATCGGTTCGTCCTTTAGGGCCATGCTGTTTTACTGCCGGGAGGTGTTTCGCAAGCGTTCGCCAGCAGCAGCAGTAAGAGCAGCCGCAGCATGCAGAAGTAGCAGCAGCAGCAGCCCTTTGTGTAACAGCTACTTTAAACAAGGTGCCAATAAAGTGGAAAAATGAATTTGTGTAGGATGCAGAGGGCGTTCGGCCTCGAAAACAGTCGATTTTGGGATCGGTCGTTTTAGGGCCGTGTTTACGCGGGAGGTGTAGGTGTTTCGAGGCGTTTTGGCCAGCAGTAGCAGTCGGCAGCGGCCGCAGTTGCAGCAGCTAGCAGCAGCTAGCACCGTTTACACCGCTCTTAACAAGGTGGAAATAAGGTGGCAAACTGCTATTTGTTAGGATTGTAAGATTCAGAAGGGAGTTAGTCTTTACTGCCGGGAGGTGGTGCTTAACAAGGTAAGAGGCAGCGGCAGCGTGCGCAGCAGCCAGCAGCCAGCCAGCAGCAGCCAGCAGCTTTTAACAGCTCTTAACAAGGTGGAAATAAGTGGAAAAATGATATTTTTGTAGGATTTCAGAAGGGACGTTCCGGCCTCGAAAAACGTCGATTTTGGCATCGGTTCGTCCTTTAGGGCCATGCTGTTTTACTGCCGGGAGGTGTTTCGCAGGCGTTCGCCAGCAGCAGCAGTAAGAGCAGCCGCAGCAGTGCAGCAGCTAGCAGCCAGCCAGCAGCCAGCAGCTTTTAACAGCTCTTAACAAGGTGGAAATAAGGTGGAAAAATGATATTTTTGTAGGATTTCAGAAGGGACGTTCCGGCCTCGAAAAACGTAGATTTGGCATCAGTTCGTCCTTTAGGGCCATGCTGTTTTACTGCCGGGAGGTGTTTCGCAGGCGTTCGCCAGCAGTAGCAGTAAGAGCAGCGGCAGCAGTGCAGCAGCTAGCAGCCAGCCAGCAACGTTTAACAGCTCTTAACAAGGTGGAAATAAGGTGGAAAAATATTTTGTAGGATTTGTAAGAAGAAGGGGGTTTTACTGCCGGGAGGTGTTTAGCAGGCTAAGAGCAGCGGCAGCCGTGCAGCAGCTAGCAGCCAGCCAGCAGCAGCCAGCAGCTTTTAACAGCTCTTAACAAATAAGGTGGAAAAATGATATTTTTGTAGGATTTCAGAAGGGACGTTCCGGCCCCGAAAAACGTCGATTTTGGCATCGGTTCGTCCTTTAGGGCCATGCTGTTTTACTGCCGGGAGGTGTTTTGCAGGCGTTCGCCAGTAGCAGCAGTAAGAGCAGCCACAGCAGTGCAGCAGCTAGCAGCCAGCCAGCAGCAGCCAGCAGCTTTTAACAGCTTGTAACAAGGTGGAAATAAAGTGGAAAAATGATATTTTTGTAGGATTTCAGAAGGGACGTGCCGGCCTCGAAAAACGTAGATTTTGGCATCGGTTCGTCCTTTAGGGCCATGCTGTTTTACTGCCGGGAGGTGTTTCGCAGGCGTTCGCCAGCAGTAGCAGTAAGAGCAGCGGCAGCAATGCAGCAGCTAGCAGCCAGCCAGCAACGTTTAACAGCTCTTAACAAGGTGGAAATAAGGTGGAAAAATGATATTTTTGTAGGATTTGTACGATATCAGAAGGGAGTTTTACTGCCGGGATGTGTTTAGCAGGCTAAGAGCAGCGGCAGCCGTGCAGCAGCTGGCAGCCAGCCAGCAGCAGCCAGCAGCTTTTAACAGCTCTTAACAAGGTGGAAATAAGGTGGAAAATGATATTTTTGTAGGATTTCAGAAGGGACGTCCCGGCCCCGAAAAACGTCAATTTTGGCATCGGTTCGTCCTTTAGGGCCATGCTGTTTTACTGCCGGGAGGTGTTTCGCAGGTGTTCGCCAGCAGCAGCAGTAAGAGCAGCCGCAGCAGTGCAGCAGCTAGCAGCCAGCCAGCAGCAGCCAGCAGCTTTTAACAGCTTGTAACAAGTGGAAATAAGGTGGAAAAATGATATTTTTGTAGGATTTCAGACGGGACGTTCCGGCCTCGAAAAACGTAGTTTTTGGCATCGGTTCGTCCTTGTTCGCCAGCAGTAGCAGTAAGAGCAGCGGCAGCCGTGCAGGAGCTAGCAGCCAGCCAGCAGCAGCCAGCAGCTTTTAACAGCTCTTAACAAGGTGGAAATAAGGTGGAAAAATGATATTTTTGTAGGATTTGTAGGATTTCAGAAGGGAGTTTTACTGCCGGGAGGTGTTTAGCAGGCTAAGAGCAGCGGCAGCCGTGCAGCAGCTAGCAGCCAGCCAGCAGCAGCCAGTAGCTTTTAACAGCTCTTAACAAGGTGGAAATAAGGTGGAAAAATGATATTTTTGTAGGATTTCAGAAGGGACGTTCCGGCCCCGAAAAACGTCGTTTTTGGCATCGGTTCGTCCTTTAGGGCCATGCTGTTTTACTGCCGGGAGGTGTTTCGCAGGCGTTCGCCAGCAGCAGCAGTAAGAGCAGCCGCAGCAGCAGTGCAGCAGCTAGCAGCCAGCCAGCAGCAGCCAGCAGGGAGGTGTTTCGCAGGCGTTCCCCAGCAGTAGCAGTAAGAGCAGCCGCAGCAGTGCAGCAGCTAGCAGTCAGCCAGCAGCAGCCAGCAGCTTTTAACAGCTGTTAATACGGTATAAAATCCACCCAGACACGGGGGCAGCATGGTTTCTCCAAGGTTTGCGGTGATTTTTTGTGTTCCAAGATTTGAAATTTGATATTTTAAAAAGCGCAAGAAAAAAAACTGGCGTTCCTGGTGTTTGATTTCGGGGTCGGCGGCAGGGGCGGCAGCCCTTATATGGAGTATGGAGTCTGTACATGTCTGTACGACAGTTCCGGGGTCAATAGTGGTCAATGAACACAAGAGAAACAAGGAAATCCCAGGAACCAGAACCGTGACAGGAGACTTGAAAAACACTTAGAGGCAAAACTACTAAGGGCTCAGTTTCTGGAATCTGACTCCCAGGTTTTTGTTTAATCGGGGAATGTTGGCCACGCAATTGATTTATTGATTTGGGTTTTGCATCTGCGGCACGGAATGTTAAATTCTGAACCGGGAGTATTGAATCGCAATTGCTTGTGAATCTACAGTAAGCTTGTGATGGGCATTCGCACTTCCCTATCTTCCATTGCAATCGCGGTAAGTTTCCAGGTAATGAGCGCGCGCGCCGGTCTGAGGCTCAGACTCGTCTGTTGTGGGGTTCAAAGTGGCCGGCTCCAGAATTTGAATCCCACCGGTCAAGCCGATGTCACCTTCATTGAATTCAATTCGCTCCTGGGTCGAAATCGAGCTTCAGATTCATAACATGGAAACCTGCACGCAGCTTTCTCACGGCATCTCTGCGTAGATGGTTATACCAGTAGTACCGCACAAGGCGGTGGCGGAAGTTTCAAAAATAGGACACCTATAGGAGAGATTGGTTGTTGTGAATCACGGATGGCAGAGCGAATCCACTGATGGACCGAAAGGTGGTTGGAGCTGTGTTTTTTGGAGTGGCTGCAATGGTTGCAGTGGTCACCTGGTCGGTCATCTCACCCACAATTGCTGGATGTAGTGTGGTGTAGCGCAGCTGTAGTTGTAGTTGTAGTGTCGTGGCGTTGTAGTTGTGGTGTAGTGTAGTGGTGTAGTGTGTGATGTGTGCAATGTGAGCGTTGTAGTGTAGAGTGGTGTAGTGTAGTGTAGTAGTGTAGTGTAGCTTAGCGTAGTGTAGTGTAGCCGTAGGTGTAGTTGCTGTTGTGTAGTGTGGTGTAATGTAGTGTAGTTGTGCAATGTTAGTGTAGTGTAGTGTAGTGCAGTGTAGTGTAGTGCAGTGTAGCGTAGTGCAGTGCAGTGGAGTGTAGTGTGGTGTAATGCAGTGTAGTGTGGTGTAGTGCAATTAGCGTAGTTGTAGTTGTAGTAGTGTGTGTGTGTGTAGTAGTGATGTAGGTATGTAGTGTAGTGTAATGTGCGTAGTGTAGTGTAAGTGTAGTGTAGTGTAGTGTTGCAGTTGCAGTTGTAGGTGTAGTGCAGTGTAGTGGAATGAAGTTTTGTGTAGTGTAGTGTAATTAGTGTAGCGTAGTGTAGCGTAGTAAAAAGGAGGATTGTTGTAGTTAGTGTAGTGTAGTGTAGTGGAGTGGAGTGGAGTAGTGGTGTAGTGTAGTGTAGTGGAGCGTAGTGTAGTGTAATGTGGCGTAGTGTAGTGTAGTGTAGTGGAGTGTAGTGGAATCTAGTGTAGTGTAGTGTCGTGTAATTGAGTGTAATTGAGTTCAATTGAGTGTAATGCAGTGTAGTGTAGCGTCGTGTAGTGGAATGTAGTGAAGGTGTAGTTGTAGTTGTAGTGTATTGCAGCGTTGTGTGGCGTAGTGGTGGTTGTAATTGAAAATGATACAAAACCCTCACGTTTTGCTCACTCTTGACAAGGTGCACAATCCCTTGCGCCTGGCACGACATTTGAACCTCCAAAAGTGGTCCGAACCCCTGGTGTTTTTAACATTTTGACTTCGAAATGTGCTTCGAGACACAACGGCGTGCACTTTTTCGACATCGCAACTTCCAAAAGTGATCCGAGAATGGTGTGTTTTGTACACTTTGACTTCGAAATGTGCTTCGCGCCACAACGGCGTGCACTTTTTTATCTCTCATCTGGCCAGATGGCTCCGCACCCGCCGCTTTAGCGAGCCTACTTTTCGACCCTCCGGAGCCACAAATCATTGGAAAAACACAGTGTCCCGCGACTTTCCCACCTTTTCGCGCATCTGAGCTTCTTTCTTCTGACTCTTTCTCTTCTGTCATCTTCTCTCTTCTACTCTTCTCTTCTCTCTGACTCTTCCCATCTCTGCTTTTCATCTGTCCATATTGTCGGAAGTTTGACTTCTAAACTTCCTTCGATTAGTTATACTTATTCTATATTGTGTGGATTGCAATGATGGTGGTATCTTACGAACTGCTGGCAATCAAAGCAGCAGGTAGTCTTGTCAATTTTTGCATTTCAGCCTGTCCCATCCTGTCCCAATTTCAGCCGAATTGAAGTTTTGACTGTTCATTAAGCTTCTCATCGCTTGTTAAGTGCTATCATGTGCTATCCATTGCTATCGTATTTTCCTCCAGGCTTTCGAGCATTGTGCCAACATGTCTTAGCACATCCCAGGCTCCTGAAACTTTAAGCTTGCCAGGAAAGATGCCCATCTCTTGGGACGTGCAGAGCGGACAGTTTGGACTGTAATACCAGCACGGAATAGCACAGCATAATTCTCAATATCTTTATACAGCTTGGTGAAAGCACCTGCAGCAGTGCTTCTCTTCTCTTCATCGCGGAAGGTTGGTCAAACACAAGTTGGTCAAAGACGAACGACTGCCATCGACTGCCTATACAACACTATACAACCAAGAATAGTCTACTGCTGGTCCGGGATGTCTGAGATGTCTGGGTTTCAGCATGTCCGGAACATGTGGAACTGTTGTGCGGTGGTTCGAGCCCAACTCCCTCATCGTGCCTGCAATTTGTGCAATGAGCAAGCTCCCCAGGAAAATCAAACTTATCAAAGTGAAGATCGCAAGCAAAGTGTAGATCTGAGGTTCTTCTCGGATAGCATCCTCCCAAACACCAGGTTTGCACGGATAGATGGAATATGAACGTGGAATATGGAAGCTGTAGGAATTTCTGCAAACAAGGGGCAAAACGTTGGTTCTCATACATGCCCAAGACAATCTTGAATAATGAGAGGGCTCCTGGCAAAGCTGAAACAAACATACCTCAAAGAACAGCAACTTGAGTCTCCCAGAAACACTGGCAAGCTATGGTGAGGTGTAATGCAACGTAATGTAGTGTAACGTAGTGTAATGTCATGTATGTGTATTCACCATGTTTCGTATGAAGGGGCCACCCACACCACGGAATATAGCATGAGGGCTAGGATTGGGTTGGGTTGCCCGCAGCGGATGTGAAGCGATGAAAAAAAGGTGCCTGAAGGGCTCTGCAAGGACGTGTGGTCAATAAGCATGTAGTAGGTGCTTAAGCTGAAAAAACAGAACGCAAAGCGAAAACAAGTGCAAATTCCGGCAACTTTGCGCTGCAGAACGCCAAAAACATTGTAGTTTACAATGCGTTTGAGTGCTTTTGACACTTCACGCAAAAACTAGTATTTTCCATGCTTTCTGACGCATAAATGTACACAACAACTTATTTGAATGTGCTGATGTGTAAATTTTGCACCAGCACAATTCAACAACGCCAATGCACAAAAGCACACCGCACAACCAGTGTTTTGGCTCATTTTGCTCAGCAGAACCACAAAGAAACACTAAACACTCAAGCATAGCAGAGCAAAACAATGGGCGCAGCCCAGCAGAAGTTCCAAAAAATCGGGAAATCCCGAAGAGACGGAAACACCTCCATGACACACGGACAATCAATAACTAAACCCCTGTAGGCTGAGTCTCAAGCATCCGCTAAATAAGATAATGAATGTTGTCTGGTACCCCCCCTACATCTGCGAGGCCTTTACTGATTTTACTGCCGGTGCCGGCGGATTTTAAAGCTGCGCTTGGTAATACTTCCGAGTTCTTTTCTGCGCGTCACTCCATGACAAGTCTCTTCTTGGATGTGTGAAGTGCCGCTAGGCTGTTAGGCAGCCTCATGCTGCTGGGCAGAGAGGCTCCTCGAATTTTCAGTACATGTCAATATACTGTAATAAATAATATGTAATATATTTATATTATATATATATATATTTATAATATTAATATATATCTGTGTGTGTGGCGGTTTATCCCAAATCTGCAAGCGGCCATTCTTCGCGAAAAAAACATGTGAATCTTTCGCGTACCCAATGTTTATCTTTCGTTAAAATCTTTCGCTAAATCTTTCGCCAAGAAAAATAAGAAAAGTTACTTTCGCCACCTCAGATCAACTTTTGCGGGGTCTCATGTTGGAACCCTGACGGCCGTTGTAATGGACAATCATGGACAATCTCTACATGGACCTGTAGACCAACAATCATATTTTGAGATATACTATATAAATTATACTAACATGCTTTGGGATGTTTTTGAATTCTTTTGGGAACTAAGTTGACACTGTCCAGCATGACACGGCGCAGTTCCAATGCAGCTCCTTCAGGAATGCAATCAAAATCATAGAGGCTGGGACCATAGGCCCCAATAGCAGAGGAGAATGCCAGGATCAGGAAAAGAACAGCAACTGAGTTCAGAAAGTTCAGAAACTTCAAACAGTCAGAAGTGGGTTGCTGCAATCAGCTACAGAATCGGTTTTTGAATCGATAAGAATATGGTGTTGAATATGGGCTTGAAGGCTTCTTGAAGGATCTTGAAGGCAACTAAGCTTAACTAAGGCCAAGACTGCTGTAGTGAAGCAGCTCCACCAGTACCCGGGAACAGGTCAGAAAGTAGCAACAAAGCCGTATGGAGAAAATACAAAGATCAGTAATGAGAAACCAATGCAGCCTGCAGCAATGATCGTTGAAGATGTGAGTCACTTCACTGAGCAGTGTTGCACAGGCATGCGATGGTATCCTCTTGCGCCTCACAAGTTTTGGAAACCTTGTGCAATTTGTCACAGCATCCTTTGGTTTAGCCAAGTGTCAGCACCGTAATTTCAGAGAGAACAGAATAAACCTCCAACGGTCTTGCTGTCTGTGCGCGTCTGCTTGCAGAGTCAAAAGTGTTTCCTACTGACTGGTCGCACCAAATCATTCAGTTTATGCACATAGAAAGTCACCTATACAGAAGATTGATCGCAGCGGCGTTTTGTTTCTCCGGGAGCAATCAACAACATTGCCCAACATTGAACAACATTGACCAACCACCAATGGGCTTGAGCATGGCTTGAGCCACGGAATACCCTTGGAATGCCCATGGAATGCCAAACCAAGCTGCATCCATGCGGGTTTCCGCTTGAGGACAGTGCGTGGTAAAGAGCCCGGCCCCAGCAAAGTCTCCGTTCCTCAGTGTTTCAAGCGCACAGCGCTGCTCATCTGTGGCCATAGCACTAGTTTGAGCTGCCAAAATCCAGAGCAACATTTGGAGTCTCCCAACTCCCCAAATCTCCCGCCAAGCAGCATGTTTCCCAAACAAGCAAAGATTGGCTCTTGGATCAACATTAACCTAAGGGCGACGCGACCGACGTCTGATGGCCAAAATGTGAGATGAACAGCGACGTCTGTAGATGAGAAAAAACATGAAAAAACTACGCTGAATCGATCGAAATTGAAACTATGCTGAAACCAGTCCAGCAATATGCATCTCAATCTTAGCCACAGCAACAGCATGCAAATGGTGACCACCACTTGGGCAGCATGTGATGGATCGTAGAGGTAGGTGGGCACCGGCACAGTTCCCCACAAAAAAACGAAGGAACGCGCCCTGATGTCCTTCACCAACTGCCAAATATTGTAAATTAGATGTGGAACAAAATCAAAAAGATACAGAGCGGCTCGACCTCGCATCGGACTGCAGTCACGCACAACCAGACACATGCTCAAGACTCTCAGGTGGCTAGCCGCTGCAAAATGCACAAAATGTAAAGTGGAAACAGTACCATTTGTGGTTCTGTGCCCTTGAGCACGAAAACACGTTAAAATCTTTAATATACCCTCCAGTAATCAAATATAGCAATCGAAAATCACCCACTTATCAAAGGAAGTTTCCTAGAGAAACTCCGAGTTACGGAAGGTGAACATTCTCACTAACCAGAGATCGTTGTGTCCAGTTGGCATGTGCCTTAAGAGATCATGAAGTCACATTCTCACTAGCCTAAAAGATCACTGAATCATTGTGTCCAGTTGGCATGTGCCTTAAGAGATCATGAAGTCATTTCTCACTAGCCTAAAGATCATTGTGTCCAGTTGGCACCTGCGTAGAGGTCGACTAGAGGCAGAAGTAGGGGTAGAGTAGAGCAAAGCTGTGTAGAGTAGAAGTAGAGTAGGGTAGCGCTGTGTAGAGTAGCGAAAGTAGAGTAGAAGTAGAGTAGATTAACCCTGTCTAGAGTAGAGAAGAGCAGAGGTAGAGGTAGAGGTAGAGGTAGAGATAGAGATAGAGGTAGAGGTGCAGGGTAGAGGTAGAGCAGAGGCAGAAGTAGAAGTAGAAGTAGAGTAGAGTAAAGCTGTGTAGAGTAGAGAAGAGCAGACTAGAGTAAGAGTAAGAGTAAGAGTAAGAGTAAGAGTAAGAGTAAGAGTAGGGGTAGGAGTAGGAGTAAGAGTAAGAGTAAGAGTAAGAGTAAGGAGCAAGGAGCAAGAGCCAGCAAGAGTAAGAGTAGGAGTGGAGTGATAGAGTAGAGTAGAATAGAGTAGAGTAGGGCAGAGCGGAGCAGAGCAGAGCAGAGTAAAGCAGAGTAGAGGTAGAGTAGAGGTAGAGGCAGAAGTAGAAGTAGAGTAGAGTAAAGCTGTGCAGAGTAGAGAAGAGTAGAGTAGAGTATATCAGAGTAGCGCAGAGAAGAGGAGAGATGAGTAGAGTAGAGTAGAGCAAAGTAGAGGAGAAGTAGAAGTACCGCAGAGTAAAGCTGCGTAGAGAAGAGTAGAGAGTAGAGAAGAGTAGGGTAAAGCAGAGTAGCGTGGAGAGGCAGAAGTAGAGTAGAAGGTGAGTAGGGGTAGAGGTTGAATAGAGTAGAGTCGAGAAAAGTAGAGTAGGGAAGAGAAGAGTAGAGTGAGAAGTTACGATTCTGATTGTGGTTTGCAAGTCATTCTGGGCAGACCGCGTTGGAACTGCTACTTGAATGATGTGTTTTGAATGTTCGGATTTACGCAAAACATTATGTTTTCCCGGTTTGCGGAGATTCCGTTGCGGAGAAAAGTTGGCTCGCGTGCGCCACGGGGTTGGGCGTCGTTGCTTTGCCGTCGAGTCCTGCCCGGTTAGAGCGTGCAGTGTAAGACTGAGGGTTCGGTGTCTTTCTCTATTTTCTCTCTTCTTTGTTGACGCTGTGCTAGCTGCTATTGTGCTTTGCAGCTCGGCCTCCGCAGATCGCAGTGGAATGGCTGCGTCCAGGTGTCTTGAAAGGTGCTTGTTCTTGAATACTGTCTTGCGATTCTATTGTGTTTCGCAAGTCCTTGTTGGCAGATCGCATTGGAACTGCTACGTGAATGCTGTGTTTTGAATGTTTGGATTTGCACGAAACGTTGTGTGTTTTTCCGGTTTACGGAGATCCTGTTGCGGAGCGAAGTTGGCTCGCGTGCGTGACGGGGTGAAGCGCCATCGCTTTGCCGTCGAATCCTGCCGATTTGGGCGCGCAGTGTAACCGAGGGTTCGAGGTGACTTTTCCTCTTCTTTGTTGACGCTGTGCTATTGTGTTTTGCAACTCCCCCTCTGCAGATCGCAGTGGAATGGCTGCGTCAAGGTGTCTCGAAATGTACTTGTTCTATTGTCTTGCGATTGTATTTTGTGTTTGCAAATCATTCTTGGCAAATCGCGTTGGAACTGCTACATGAATGATGTGTTGTGAACGTTAAGATTTGCGCGAAACATTGTGCTTTTTTGGTGTAAAGGGAAGTTATATAACGTTGCGGAGAAAAGTTGGCTCGTGAGCGCGACGGGGTTAAAGGCCTGGGCAGCTAGTTTATAAAGTGTTTAGTGACTTTATCTAGTTTAGTAACGTCGCCAAACTAAGTTATAAGCTAGATAAACTAGGTTATAAACTGAGACTGTTTGAAGTTGCTAAATTAGGGTGTAAGTTTATTAAACTCCCAGGCTAATGTATAAACTGCTGTCCAAACTAGTCAAACTGTTCATTGAGTTTAGCTAAATTGGAAAAATGGCGGCCCAGCAGCATGTCCTTTGGCCACCTGCCGGGCGCTTTCGTGGAGATTTTCTTCTGGTTTCAGAAAGCAACGTTAGGCACTATAGGCTGGCCTTAAACGTCTCCCGGCGCCCTCGGCTGCCCTTAAACCCTGCCCGGCGCTTGAGGCCATTCCAGCGGAGCCAACCCAGTTTGGCAAATTTAGCGAGTTTAGCTAAACTAGTTTAGGGTCGGGCTAAAGTAGTTTAGCTAAAGGCCATAATCTAGTTTAGGCTGGGCCGGTAAGCTAATTTATCTAGCCCACATACTGGCAGTGACCCAGTTTATAAACGCGCTACGCTGTGTATTAGACTAGCTAAACTGAACTTAAATAGTTATAATAGTTTAAACGTCTTAAACGTGTAAACTAGCCATTAAACTAGCTGCACTTCCAAGGCGGCGTCGCTTTGCCGTCGAATCCTGCTCGATTTGCACGCGCAGTGTGACTGAGCATTGTTCCAGGTGACTTTTCCTCTTCTTTGCTGACGCTGTGCTATTGTGTTTTGCAACTCGGTCTCTGCAGATCGCGGTGGAATGGCTGCGTCAAGGTGTCTCGAAAGGTACTTGTTCTCCAGTATTGTCTTGCGATTGATTTGTGTTTTGCAAGCCATTCTGGGCAGATCGCATTGGAACTGCTACATGAATGACGTGTTTTGAATGTTCGGATTTTCGCAAAACATTATGTTTTCCCGGTTTGCGGAGATTCCGTTGCGGAGAAAAGTTGGCTCGCGTGCGCGACAGGGTTAAGCGTCGTCGCTTTGCCGTCGGGTCCTGCTCGATTTGCGCGCGCAGTGTAACTCAAGGTTCGAGGTGTAGCCGTTGTGCGTCATTCTATAGCCTTCCAACTCTGTCTCGGCGGATCGCAATGGAATGGCTGCGTCAAGGTTCCTCGCTGCTGCGGCTGCGTGCTTACTACTAATGTCTTTTGCAGCTGAAGAGTCGTAAATCGTATTGGACTGGCTGCATCAAGGGTGCGATGGTGATTTGGCAGCTACTTTTTTTCCATTTCGGAGCTGCTGATTTTCCTTCTAAAATTCCATATTTAAAATGCTTCAAAATTGTCGCTTTTCCGCTTTGGCGCCGAGATCCCGGTTTTGGAGCTGCTATTTGCGTAGCTGTTGTGCGTAATTCTCTTGTGCTTTGCAACTCATTGTCTGCAGATCGCAGTGGAATGGCTGTGTCAAGGTTCCTCGCCACTGCGGCTGCGTGCGTAATTGTTGGCTGAGAGGCGTAAGTCTTATTGTAATATTTGTAATGGTTGCATGGAGGTTGAGAATGGTGATTTGGCAGCTACTTTTTTCCCATTTTGCCGCTGGTGATTTTCCATGATTTTCCTTTTAAAATTAAATTTTAAAAATCGCTTCAAAATCGTCGCTTTTCCGCTTTGGCGCCGAGATCCAAAGCTGTTGTGCGTAATTTTTTGCCTTTGCAACTCGGTGTCTGCAGATCACGGTGGAATGGCTGCGTCCAGGTTCCTCGCTGCTGCGGCTGCGTGCGTACTACTAATGTCTTTTGCAGCTGAAGAGTCGTAAATCGTATTGGACTGGCTGCATCAAGGGTGCGATGGTGATTTGGCAAGCGCAAGCTACTTTTTTTTCCATTTTGGAGCTGCTGATTTTCATTGTAAAATTCCTTTCAAAAAGTGCTTCAAAATCGTCTTCTTTTCGCTTTGGCGTCGAGATCTGGTTTTTGGAGCAGCAATTTCTGCCGCCATATTGCCGCCATGTAGGTTTAAAGTTTCATTGTGTAAAAGGTGGTTTTGTGTAAAAGCTTCTCTGCGTAAAAGCTTCTGTGTGTAAAACCTTGCTCTGTGTAAGCTAGCTCTGTGTAAAGCTTCTCTGTGTGAAAGCTTGTCTGTGTAAAAGCTTGCTCTGTGTAAAGCTTGCTCTGTGTAAAAGCTTCTCTGTGTAAGAGCTTCCTTGTGTAAGAGCTTCCTCTGCGTAAAAGCTTCGCAGTGCAAAAGGTTCACTGTGTAAGAGCTTCTCTGTGTAAAAGCTTCTTTGTGTAAAAGCTTCTCTGTGTAAACGCTTCTCTGTGTAAAAAGCTTGCTCTGTGTAAAAGCTTCTGTGTGCAAGAGCCTCTGTGTTTAAAGGCTTCTGTGTGTAAAAGCTTGCTAGGTGTAAAAGCTTCTCTGTGCAAAAGCTTCTCTGTGTAGAAAGCTTTTGTGTGTAAAAGTTTCTTTGTTTAAAGCATCTCAGTGAAAAGAGTTGAGAAGAGTTGACAAGAGGTGAGAAAAGTTGAGATGAGCTGAGAAAGAGGTGAGACGAGCTGAGCGGAGGTGAGAGGAGGTGGGAAGAGTTGAGAAGAGGCGGCAAGAGGTGAGAAGAGCTGAGACGAGTTGAGAAGGGTTGAGAAGAGGTGGGAAGAGGTGAAAAGAGTTGAGCTGAGTTGTGAAAAGAGTTGAGAAGAGCTGAGATGGTCTGAGAAGAGCTGCGACGGGCTGAGAAGTGGTGGCCACAATTTAAAAGGGGTGAGGCAAGATGAGGACGAATTCACAGAACAGAGTTGATCAGATGTGAGGCTCCACCCCAACTCCTATAGGTAAACCTTGCTTTTGGATCCTATAGTGCAACAGTCCTTAACCCTGGAAACTTTCGCCACCCGCCTCGCGCAGATTCTACTTGTAGATGTTTTTCCATTTGTAGGGGGTTTCAACTGCCATGTTTGACAACCGGAGGGTTTGTTGTATAATTACTGTTGTATAACATCATGTAACATCATATAACATCACTTAACATCGACCTGACCAAAGTGCGGAAAAGCATCAAACGAAAAGCGCAATTCTCTGCGCTTCTGTCTCTTCTCGCGGGTTCAGTCGAGGAAGAACGCTCTGAGAACTGACCACCAGTACCACCAAGGCAAGGTACCGCAGCCTGGCAAAGTGAGATCACACCTGGTCGTGTGAAAGAATGAAATTGATTGAATTTGATTTTCCGAAGCCTTTGTGCGATGTCAATATTGTCAATGGGAGGATCCTTCTAAGGTGTAGTTGGGCCATGCTGGGCCACTTGGCTTCACCGCAGCTGCCCTCGTGCCTGCTTCGCAGGAAACTGTATCTTGCAAGGCGAGCCCACAACAAATTGAAGACAAAGCTCACGACTGGGTGACCAATCAAGTGTGGGTCCTCTGGCGGTCGAGTTATCCCGACTTGGTAGCTTCTGGTCAGCTCATGTCAATTTCAGGACAAGTGGCGTCATATGCCATATTAATTCACTTCAACATGTTTACGTACAATTTTACAACTAAAAAATCAATGCCGTTGCCGAATCACTTTGCCTCCCTGCAGGGTTGAACAAGAAGCAATCTGAAACCCTGAAAGAAACATCGTTCATGACTCATGACCTCTAAAAATGATACAGTCATCGAATCTTTCATCAGAATTGATCGACGGACAAGAGAACAGGATATCCTCCGTTTTTATCTTTGTTCAAAGCTGTCAATGGCGACAAGGATCATTCAATTTGACAACAGCAGGGAGGTATGTGTTGAACGTGCCATCATCGTTCTGGATGAGGTGCTTCACGAAAAAATTGACTCTTCGCCTTCGTCGCACAAACACAAGCACTCAAACATCATTAAGCATCCATACCAACAGCAATTAGCATGCCTAGGTCGCGCATTGCATTACCAGGAATCTATGGATGTTGCGCGTATGTGCAATGAATGCAAATGTATGGATGTAATGCATTGATATTGATATCCTATCAATGTATTGTACTTGCGAACGTGCATACAAGACTTAACATCACATGATTCATGATACCAATTGATAATATATATATATACACACATCCCCCCCATTTAAGGGGGGCTGGGGGGTTAAGCACTGAAATATTTCAAATTTGGGGGGTTACCCTCCCCACCTAGAAATATGTCAGCTAGAAATTTCTGATTTATATACGGTAGAATAAGGCGATGGAAAATCTTAGCGGCTTAGCGCTGCCAGTTATGCATCAACGGGCACCTGTTGATGTGGTAAAGTACGTGCAAACCGGCTGAAGCACGCATTTTCATATGTTTTTCTCTCCCCAAGCTTTGCTTGTGAATTTTTTTGGGGTGGTGCAGAACCATGGTATTTTACAGCCCTAGAAGCCCCCCTCCAGAAATTCCATGGCAGCAGTAGGATTCCGTTTCTGGGTATCCTCAAAGGCCAGAGGCAGGAGTTCGTAGAGGTCATGCGCGGTTTGCTTTTTGATCTACAAGTCTGGCATCCGGAGCACCCCCCCCCATCTCTTTTGGAAGCCCGAAAAACACGTAGTGGGCTGGATATTTCACGTGCACGAAATATGTCTCATAAATTTCTTGCCTTACCTCCCGCCAAATATTCCAGGGTTAAAGGCAAAGGGGGGGATATATACACAATATAATACATGAATTCATACATTCAAATACTGTGACTCGACTGCGATCCACTGTGTACATCATGTTGCGATATCTCAAGGTTCAGCATTTTGGGTCATTCGATGGCTGGGCCAACCTTCACCTTTTTCCCATGGTATTCCCCAGGTATTCCCCAGCTTTAAGCCGGGCCAATGCGTGATCTTGTCATATCTCATTTTTCAAGAAATCTTTCCTTGGCCTGGCCCGTTTCTTTATTGCACGGCTTCAGGCCCGACACCGTGGTGTTTTTCAAACATGTTTCTTAATTTTTCCTTAAGAGAAAATTGTTCGTGCCTTCACGATTTGCTTGCTTGAAGCTTTCCCTGGCCATCCTAGGCCGTCCATCTCTTTTCTTCTAGGGTTTCAGCCCTTTGAGTGGCAGTGGGTGTGGCGAGGGGTTTCGTTTTTCCGGTCTTTCTTGGCGCTTTTCAGACATTTTTTCCTTCATGTTTCCTTGAAGAAATTTATTCTTGCTGAAGATCTGCTTGCGTGAAGCTTTCCGTGGCCATCTGTGTTACGTCGTTTCGTTTCCGAATTGTGTTTCATCAACAACTGCTGCTGTGACCATATATTAGCGGACACGCCAGCTTCCTTGTAAGTTATGATGTTTCATCACCTTGACAAACGGCCATTTTGAGACACTTCTCAGATTCTCCTTACTGTAGCATCACTTCTAGTAATGTCGTGGAGATCTTTCCAACGTTGGGAGCATCAATATATGTGATGTCAACCCTGGACTAAGCAACATCCAATTTATGTTTCATTTAGATTCATTTAGGGTATACCAGTCAGAACTGACAATCAACATCAATCACCTCCATTGTGGGAGCCCCCCTGGTTTACTAAGGGTGACCGGCCAAAAAACAACAACTTGGTACACCTAAAACAAGCAGGCTAGAGATTGCATGTGATTGTAATCCGGGGCAAACATTAAGCAGTAAGAATAGGGAAGCGCCACTATTGCACAATTAGGACCTAAAAATTATATATATATATATGTGTGTGTGTGTGATGTGTGTATATTTTTAAATACGCACATCACACACACACATATTTATGTATATATATACATATGCACATAAATTCGTATAATGTACCTACAAATAAACAAATACATATGTATATATATATACACTAGATAAATATATGTAACCCATACATATATATATATATATACACACCATACATACATATAGATATATAGATAATACATACATATACACAATACATACATATATATATATAACTGTGTAAATGTATAAATATACGTATATAAATAAGGTAGGTACAGTATGTGTGGCATGTATGTTTGGTATTGTATGTATGATAGGTATGATAGGTATGGAATGTATGGTCAAAGTTCGTATGGTATGGTATGTACGGTATCATTGGAATGTATGGTAGGTACGGTATATGTTAAACACATGTAGTGTTGTGAGAGTACACAGGTAGTAAATAGGAAGTAGATACATAGCACACGTATATATGATATGGCTATAGGTAGCACGTAGGTACTTTGAGGGAGTATGTGTGCTACGTAGGTCGTCTAAAGGGTAGCATGTACCTAGTAAATGCGAGGCTGGTAGTCAGAAATACGCAAGGACCTAGCAAATACGAGGCTGGACCTCAGAAATGTTGCCAACAGCTTGCAAATAGATGGGAAGGGGGTGCTATCTGGGGACCCATACCATTGGGGGGCAGGAACGCTATCTATGTATGTATGTATGTATGTATGCATGTATGCATGTATGCATGTATGCATGTATGCATGTATGCATGTATGCATGTGTGTATGTGTGTATGTATGTATGTATGTGCATGTATAGATAGATAGATAGATAAGATTAGATAAGATTAGATAAGATTAGATAAGATTAGATAAGATTCGATAAGATCAGATAAGATGAGATAAGATTAGATAAGATTAGATAAGATTAGACAAGATTAGACAAGATTAGACAGGATTAGATAAGATTAGATAAGATTAGATTAGATAAGATTAGATAAGATTAGATAAGATTAGATAAGATTAGATAAGATTAGATAAGATTAGATAAGATTAGATAAGATTAGATGAGATTAGATAAGATAAGACAAGGTAAGAAAAGACAAGATACGATAAGATAAGATTAGATCAAGATAAGATTAGATAAGATAAAATAAGATAATATAGATAAGATAGATAAGATAGATAAGATAAGATAAGATAGATAAGATCGATAAGATAGATAAGATAGATAAGATAGATAGGATAGATTGGATAGATTGGATAGATTGGATAGATTGGATAGATTGGATAGATAGGATAGGTAGGATAGGTAGGATAGATAGGATAGATAGGATAGATAGGAAAGACAGGATAGATAGGATAGACAGGATAGACAGGATAGACAGGATAGACAGGATAGACAGGATAGACAGGATAGACAGGATAGACAGGATAGACAGGATAGACAGGCTAGACACGCTAGACACGCTAGATACGCTAGATACGCTAGATACGCTAGATACGCTAGATAAGCTAGATAAGATAGATACGCTAGATACGCTAGATAAGCTAGATAAGCTAGATAAGCTAGATAAGATAGATAAGATAGATAAGATAGACCAGATAGACAAGATAGACAAGATAGACAAGATAGACAAGATAGACACGATAGACAAGATAGACACGATAGACAAGATAGACAAGATAGACCAGATAGACCAGATAGACCAGGATAAGATAGGATAAGATAGGATAAGATAGGATAAGATAGGATAAGATAGATAAGATAGATAAGATAGATAAGATAGATAAGATAGATAAGATAGATAAGATAGGATAAGATAAGATAGATAAGATAGATAAGATAGATAAGATAGATAAGATAGATAAGATAGATAAGATAGATAAGATAGATAAGACAAATAAGATAGATAAGATAGGTAAGATAGATACGATAGATAAGAAAGATAAGATAGATAAGATAGATAAGATAGAACAGATAGATAAGACAAATAAGATAGATAAGATAGATAAGGCAGATAAGGCAGATAAGACAGATAAGACAGATAAGACAGATAAGACAGATAAGACAGATAAGACAGACAGATAAGACAGATAAGACAGATAAGACAGATGAGAGAGATAAGAGAGATAAGAGAGATAAGAGAGATAAGAGAGATAAGAGAGATAAGAGAGATAAGAGAGATAAGAGAGATAAGAGAGATAAGATAGATAAGAGAGATAAGAGAGATAAGAGAGATAAGAGAGATAAGATAGATAAGAAAGATAAGAAAGATAAGAAAGAAAGAAAGAAAGAAAGAAAGAAAGACAGAAAGAAAGAAAGAAAGAAAGAGAGAAAGAAAGAAAGAAAGAAAGAAAGATAGATAGATAGATAGATAGATAGATTAGATAGATTAGATAGATTAGATAGATTAGATAGATTAGATAGATTAGATAGATTAGATAGATTAGATAGATAAGATAGATAAGATAGATAAGATAGAAAGATAGAAAGATAGAAAGATAGAAAGATAGATAGATAGATAAATAGATAGAGAGATAGAGAGATAGAGAGATAGAGAGATAGATAGATAGATAGATAGATAGATTAGGTAGGTAGGTAGGTAGATAGATAGATAGATAGAGAGAGAGAGAGATAGATAGATAGATAGATAGATAGATAGATAGGATGGATGGATAGATAGATAGATAGGTAGGTAGATACAGTAGATAAATAGATAGATAGATAGATAGATAGATAGATAGGATAGATAGATAGATAGATAGGTAGATAGATAGATAGATAGATAGATCGATCGATCGATCGATAGATAGATAGATAGATAGATAGATATGATAGATATGATAGATATGATAGATAGATAGATAGATAGATATCTAATAGTAATAATAAAATTGATAACAATAAGAGTAATAATAATGATAATAATAATATTATATACATATATAATGCATACGAGTTCCTTGCAGATCTCTTCGCGTGTCTGTGTTTATATTTAAATGACATCTCACAAATGTCGCCCCCATTGCAACGCATGAATTCGATTGAATTCGTATTCCAGCCTATCCAAGACAATCTCGTGTTCCCCTCTGGGCAGGCTTAAAATGGCTTGAACATGCTTGAACTGGCTTAAGTACATGGTTGCGTCCGAGCTTGCTGAGCTGAGGTGCATTTTCTTGATTGTCAACCTAGAGCGCCATAGCATTCCTTAGACTTTGAACATGCCCTTGGGCACTGGGCTGTGTACCACCCCTGGCAAATGAATGCAAATGAGACCATAGGGGTTTGAGCTGCTCGAGTTTGGTTCGATTTCGCTCGGGAGTTCGAGTTCAGTTCGAGCAATGAAATGAGAATGTGGAATGAGAATGAGTTGTACTTTGGAAACTTTGCGCGTCAGATCACATGAGACATGGCTCAAACAAAGGTTCAAACTACTGTAGAACTAAGTTGAAGGGACAAGAATGATTCTCTGTCCTAGCCTGAAGCAAAGTTTGCATGGAAAAGTAGTGCCTGCGACAATACACATGTCTTTGGCACTGCGTCTGTTCGTGCCGCGTTGTCACATGTTATCGTACGTTATCCACGTCTGTTGTGGAAGAGACTTCTGCGTTGGGATGCCAACCCCGTGGGATGACGGGATGAATTCCGACAAAGCGACCATCAAACAGAATAGGAAGCAGCTGCTGTCCCCTCACCCCACCTCGATGCACATGTTGCAAAACCAAGCACTTACATAACTTACAACAAATTACAGTAAGACAAATTATATTATATTGATATTGTAATCAATTGATATCAATTATATATTGTGTTCGCACTTGTTCACATATTTTACAATTGTCTGCTGCATTTTTCAGTAGATGTGTCTTTGCCGACCTCTGCCAAACACGTGGAAACACGGATGTTGTGAGCAATTTGTGAGCTAAGCTGGTAGCAGCACTCTTGCACAATGTCAGGATGACGTTCAAAAAGTGCATTGCATCCTTGCGCACGCAAAGCCATAGAGTAGTCACAGTCACCGTTTTGACAGGTCACTCTGCAAACCAAACGGCACAAGTCCGGAGAAAGCATCCTTTCTTTCCCTCTCATTGAACTTGTGTTGATAAAGTTCAGACAGTGCAGCTTGCAGTATCTTGCAGTCAAGTTTCCGTAGTAATAGTTGTCTCTGTCAGCACCTTAACTTACTGACTTACTGTTGGATACTGTTGGGATATGTTGGGATGCTGCTGAGGCCCGGCATGGCCCGGCAACCAAAAACAACTGAATGCCTCAGAAACTCATCGCCCAACATCCACAACAGTCCACAACCCAGGCACGGATGGTGAGAAGGTCCGCAATCATGGCACGAGCAACGTGAAAGCTGCCATTCCTCGAAGAGAACTAAGCATACCAAGCATACAGCTTGCAAGATTTGAAAAGATTTGATGTTAGATTACTTAGATTTGATGAGATTTGGAATCGGACTTTCCAGTGACTTCCCACATTTCATGACACATCGGCTGTTTGCAGCAGAGCCAAGCATCTTGATGGCCCAAAGCAAAGGGGAGATGGATTGCGTTCCGACCTCAGCATACTGGGAGCTTTCCCTTGGATCTAGCTCTAGCGTCTAGACAGTGGTTCTCAAGCAAGCATGTGGTTCATGACCCGTGCTCGCAAATATTCGTGAATGCGGTTGATTGAGTTGAGAATTGTTGAGATATGTTGAGCTTGAAGGAAGCCACAACCTGGGTGCCATATGGTGCCATAATATTATATAAATAGATAGTCAGATAGTCAGTCTCCATTCTCATGAGATTCTCATGAGTAGGATGCTTTCAACAGAGTAATTACTTAGTACTTGGCTTCCTGAGCCGTCGGCGGTGACCCTCAAAAGCTCCTGCTCGCGTTTTTTCCGAGACGTCACTGAGATAGCCTGCCACGGAGATCCGGCTGATCCCCCAGGGTTTGTGTCGTGGCAAAGTCACAGCTCTACGATAAAAGGCTAAAAGTTCTAAAAGGCACTCACAAATCATCTTTGCATCAGATTGCATCAAATTGCATCAAATTGCATCAGGAGTCATGAAATCATGAAATGTCCGTCTTGTCATTTTTTCCACGGACTTTCAAGGTGGCCTTGTGAAACTTCAGCGCGCTGTTGGTGTTGATGGCCTTCATGACCAAAGTGGAGCCCTGCCGGCTGGGAATTCAAACTGTTCAGCGTCTCATGGCATCCAAAGTCGAAGAATCGGCCAGCCAAGTCTTATCACGCGAAACCATGAAGCACGTTGAAGATACATTGAAGCATTAAGTGGCCATGAAACTGCAGCGCGGGCAATCCTGAGGATCTGAAAGCTAATATATCTAATATGTATGTGATTGTTTCCAGGAACCAGATGCATGTCACCGCAGCAATACTTCCCGAGTAAAGTTGAGGGGGAGTGCACAATACTGGGCTGGTAAATCTTGATAGCAGCTGATAGCAAAACAAAGTTATGCTGAGGAACAGAACGATGTCAGTCTGATTGTTTCCTGGTACGGGTCCTGAACTGTACTGGACCAGTACTGGATGACTTCAAACAAGATGGTTTAACATGCTTCAACATGGTTCAACATGGTTAAACATCATCAAATGATTGCCTCAACAATGGTTCGGATCAGAGATTTGGAGATCAGGGTCAGGGACCATCGTATCGATGCCGCTGTCTTTTCATCCACATTCCTCAGCTCACTTGCCAAGTGCATGGCCATGCGCTGCCACGAGCCGCAAAGATCACAGCACATCCTCCCCCTAAAAAGTCGAACCAAAACGCCAAGAGATGCCAAGAGATGCCAAGAGTCATGGCATAAATGGACTGGCTCCATGCCTGGCAAGAAACTGCATCATTTGCACAAGGATTCTGAGATATTGCTACAAGTTGCATCAATTTGCTACATACTCTGAGCATATTCTGAGCAACTCTACATAACTCTATAGTATTCTACAGTAATCAGCTTGATGTTCCCCGCCTCCACAAAGGGCATGAAAAGCTCAGTGGGAATGCCATAGCCCACATGCCGAAGACCCAGGGCTGAAATTTCCTCCATTAACTCCCGAGGTCTTTTGTAGATCTCCATGCACATCTCCATGACCTGCCAAGGCGGCAGCTGACCTATGGCCTATGGACGGCCTATGGACCTTTGGAATCCTTTGGACGTATCATGACATGTCTAAATCATTCTAAATCTATTAAAACACTGACGCCTTCAGAAGAAAAATTGAACAAGCGACACAGAAGAATGTAGTGATGTGACTACATGACTGGTGACTGGGAGACATGAGGGTAGCGTTAGTATTGCGGTAGTTGGATGTAGTGGGGATCCAACGGGTCCAACGGGCCTAAGTACCACAAATCACAAAACTCCCGATGACTCCCGCCTTGCTTGCGATGAAGTACAGTCGTGTGGTCGACTGCTTAAAATAGTTCTGCCCGGTTGGAGCTTGTTCAAAGAAGCGCCTGTATACATCCCGGCACAGTCTGGGGATGCTCTCCTCCGATAAGTTCCTGATGAACCTGTCCACAGCGCGCTGCTGTCCTGGCACGGGCTTTCTTCAGTCTTCCCACTGTGAAATTTGATTCAGTTGAATCCTGGAGTTTCACAAGCAGCCCATCATAGCGATACAAAGTGATACAAACCTCGTATTCCGGGCCTTTGAGCTGACCAAGCTGGATCTTCAACATGCGCTCCAAGTTGTCCCAAAACCAGGTCCAAGCGACCTGTGGTGTTCACCGTGCTGACAAGCAAGATGCAGGAGGCGCCAATAGAAAACAGAAAACAATCGTGCTCGCAAAGATGTATGTCATGTGTGTGTGATCAAATTATATGCGGAGGTGACAACTCCCAGGATGTCAACAGGGCTTCATGGAGCCGGCCCCGTGCCTCGTGCTCGACACCCCAAACCTTGGGGATCAAGGAGCGCAGCGACGCAAGCATCACTGCCTTTCACATGCGGTGCAGACACACTTTGGCGTCGGGGTTGCTTGCCCACTGAGTCACAGTCCCGCAAGGGACGACCAAGTTAAAACTTTATGAAAAACAGCGCCCATTCCCAAAGCCAGGCCTTGAATTCTGCGAAGACAACGGGGTCCTTCATAAATCAGACTCTACAAATGCATAATAAATGATTATAGATGCATGCTTACGCCAACTGCAATTAAAATAACTAATCACTTCGTGAACTCAGAAAGATTGGGAAACGAAACTGCGGTGATGCAATCTGATCTCAGGTCCTTGATCTTGATCAACCGAAGAGACAAAACGTCGCACTCCTCTTGGAGCCGGTTGGTATTGGATGCATTCCTGGCAGAGGTCAGTGAAGTTCAGTGAAGCATACGTGAAACATATTGAATACTGTCATGATAAGGTTATGTCATGTTATGTCTGTTCAACTCAGTGAGGGTCAACGCTTGCCTGGGAGCCGCCAACCCATGAACACCCCATATGCGTATGACGATTAATTATGATTCATAGATATTCCTGGTAACTTGTCCACTCTGCGACAAAGTATCAGGACCATGTTTTCGAACTGGTCAAGGACTGCTTCCATCCAGTTGATGCCCATGTTGAAGCCCATGACCGCGGCGTTGAAACAAAACATCTCCTGCCATCCCATCAATTTGCACTTTGCAGATTGGAAAGAATTGAGGAACCACTCTGCAAATTGAATCAGGCTAAAAACACTAAGCTACTGGCGTTGAAATTTTCAGGAACCTTTGTCGCTTGGATCTTTTTTGCCTGAGTCTACCAACAACTTGAGACATCTTGCCTTGCAGTTCAAAATATTCAAAGCACATTTTTTGGTAAGCTAACCCTCTTCTGGAAGTGTTCAAACCCATAAACGGCCAAAACAGATCAAAGACCATCCAAATCTGCCAAGTTAATCTAAGTCTCGCGTTTACTATTGCTGGCGGGCTCTGCTTCTCCTGTCTCTTCAACACACGGCAAAGCAGACAGGAGAAAAAAACAACCAGGGCGGCACGTGAGGCGAAACATGAAGCCGGCTCCAACAATTCTTGTCATTTAATGTTGTACCGATTGTACTGTCCCACTTGTATCCAGATGTCACATGATTTCCTGTCCAGAGTCCAGATGTCACATGTTCGACAAAGATGCACCGACTCGTCCTTCGAGAGCAGCAGCCGGGAGGCGGTCCATGGACGCAAGAGGCTGACCATTGGCAGCTTGCTCCTCTTGCTCTGCAAGTCCTTGGCAGATACTGCTCTGAATAATCTGAATACAGGGCTTCAATACTTCAGGTATGTTTCAATGATGTTGCTTTTGATGCCATGCCCTGGAACACCTATGTGGCATGATGAGCCCACTTCTGGATTGCAGCAAGGAAGCTAGCGTGAGAAGCCTTAGGCAGCTGAACAAAAACAAAAACAAAAACAAACCCAAACAATTGCAAAGAGCGGCAATTCCCGCTCGGGAATAAAGCGCCAACGAACCGTTACTTGTACAGTGCAAGGAGCTGCGATCCAACTGGCGCGAAGGATGTTGATCCTGTCTGAATACTCCCTCCGGACGTAGATCATGGCCCCGGCAGTGTAGTTCAAGAGCGCCTGCAATCCAGACAAAGCCTGAGTGCCCATCAGGCCAATCTGTGGCACCATACAATTTCTCAGCATAGCTATGGATAGCTTCCACTCAGCACAAGTAAGTGCGCATGCATCATCATATTCATCATGCATCTGCGAATGAGAATGCTATCCCTCTTTCTTTGTTTCTTTCTTTCTTCCTTCCTTACTTCCTTCTTTCTCTCTCTCTCTCTCTCTGGGTTTCTGACCAGCGTTGTCAAATTGGCACCCAATTCTTGTTGCAAAAGCTCGCAAATGGCATCTCGAAATACACCAGCCCGAGGTGTCGTCACATCGATGTCCAAATGCTGAAAGCTAAGGGTTTCAGTATTAGCCTGGCAACATATCTGGCTGCACTACCAGGTCAAGGCATGCAAGACCTAGGCCTAGGCTTATTCACTTTCTGGATGAACCCCCTTCCAAATCTGTCCAACTGTTTGGGACTAGCAGTGCGGCGGCCTTAAGCACTGTAGGCCGTGGCAAGTCCGCGACCAGCATATTCAAGGCATTCACAAACTTCATTGCCATCACAGAACGCGCTGTCCTAGTCAGGAAATGAACCAAAGGCCTTCGAGACAAGTTCCAAACCAGGCAAGAAAAACCATCCCAACTGGTATCAACGTTTTTGTAGGCTTCCCTGAAGACCGAAAACCGTAGAGGCCGTGGCCACGCTGAATTTTGACGAGTCTCTTGAACAGGTATTGCAGTTCAGGAGCCGCATCAAAAATTGCACTGTAAATCGCATCTCCAGCTGAATCTCTCGAAGGTTGCTGTGCTAGGAAGGTATTCCAAGCAGTCCTGACATTGGAAAGGGCCGTTACACGTGTGATCCAGTGGTGCTACCACAATTTCCCAAATGCAACTATCTGCACAACGAAATGGAACGTTTCTGGATTCTGAAGAGGGGCCCTTTGAATCAGAAAATCTGCTCAACACAGGCCAAGCTTCTGAAGCTCGGTCACTACATGCTCTGGCAGTCGCATTTCGCCAAAGACATGATCCTGTACATCAGTCACGAGTGCCTCAATGTCTTCGACCTGCCAAGCATTCCAATAACATGCGTGCTCCTTTGCGAATACCGTATTTGCATCTATGTTTGCTCACAATCACACACATACATGATGTATATAGGGCGAAGCGTAGATCCTTTACGGTACGGTTCGCATGAATGAATTCCAAAAGAAAAGCATGTGTATATAATATAGGCGTCTACCGGGTACCGTCATTGACCTACATTTGCACATTCCGGCCAAAAGTAGGTATGTGGTATGCGCATATACAACTCACACACACACATAATATAATTATATATATATATATGTGTGTGTGTGGGTGTTTTGCATATATACATATATAATGTTATATTATATCTATCTATCTATCTATCTATATATATATATGTGAGCCGCCGTCAAAATCAATTGCTGATGCTTGGTATGAAAATATAGGTTATCGCTTTTTTTGTGGGGCCCTATCGCATTTATCGCTTTACAGTGTTTTGTTCAAATCAACACTAAATAATGCAAAAATGCAGCGGAATTGGCTTCACAGATTCAGATCTCTAAGCTGCCGGGATTGGATTAAGGGGCGCTCGTTGTCTTTGCGTTTGCCATCATGTTGGGGAGCTATCTAAGCACATTCCTAGACTCTTTCAATGGTTCCCAACGGTTATAAGATCACTAATTCTATTTTTTTCCTGTTGCCAAGGCATGAGGAAGAAATCTGCAGGTTCTGAACAAAAGATTAAACAAAAATAAAGCAAATCTTCCATGACAAGTGCCCGTTAGGCACCTCCAGGTGTGCAAAACGAAAATTAAATTGTCTATCAGGCCGACATGTGGCATAGTTTCAACCTTTGGTTGAAAATAAATCTTCTCTTTACCGATTGAAGGACTCTACATGTAGTAAAGTTAGTAAAGGACCGAATTAAACTCCAACATCAGCAATTGAATTGCGAATATTGGCGAAGGCCACTACAGGCTGCCGAAAGGAATAGCGAATAATAGCGAAGGCCATCACAAGATGGCGCCAAAAAAAAATGCCACCTCGCAATCGCAATTGTCCCTCTTTGATAAGCCATGGCGTCAGAAAACGCCACACTTCCCCGCTCAAAAGCTCTAGAAATTGAAGATGGGACCTCATAGTTCCAATAAAGAAGTGTTCGTAGCTATGAAGAAGTGCTTAAGGCTTCCCAAGTCTCAAAACAACCTGATGGCCTAGGGTTGAGAACCTGTTCGCTTTTATGTTGAGTTCTTCTTGTTGGGATCAAAATGGGTCTATCCCTCGTCCGGGGTTCCTTTTTCAACAAAAGGTTATCGCTAAGGGTATCGCTAAATTAGAACACCTTGATGATCAAGAAAGGAAAAGAAAAAGGAACGCGGAACAAAAAGCAAAATTGAAAAAATAAAAGGAAAAAAGAAGGAAAGAACGAGAAAAGGAAACGAAGGAAGAAGAAAGGACAAATCAAACAAAAGGGAAATACAATAAAATATGTAGATGAAATGCAGAATTGGATTCAAAATCAATTTTGATTTACTTCAGATTTCCAAACGAAATAAAAGGAAAATGGAAGGACAAACAAAGAAGAGGAAACATAGGAATAGGATATTCAAATTAAAGAAAAAACACATAAACTGAACTGAGAATTAGATTTAAAACATTTTAAAACTCTCTGTTAATTTAATTAAGCATTCGGTTGCATTTAGTTGAGTTTATTTCTACTGCTTTAGGACCTGGGAGGAGAGAAAAAAAACAACTGCCTGCAGAAAGAAACGGTTCAATCAGCTTGGACAACAAATGGTATGGCAACTGCAAGACACGTGGGCACTGCAGGTTGGATTTTCTTCATCAATTTTGCACATCGCGTGAAGGCACACAACAATATTTGCTTGGTTTACACCAAGTTTAATGCACTCTATATGCACTCTCATATACGGTTACAGTTATTGTTTTTTTGGGGGGCCCTATCGCTTTACATGGTTTGGTTCACTTTCTCAACACAACTGGACCCTCCCTTACTAAAGTAGTCTACGCTTATATTGACCGCATCCATGCAGGACTGCAATCTGCTGTGTTGTTTCGGCGCGTGTTTTTCGCAAATTGTGAGCACACCCAGAACATTGATATATTCCCGCGTCTGACTGCATTTTTGCGCTTGCCTAAAACGGTGCCAAAATCACCTTTTGAACCATGTCTTAAACATATTCTCCGCAATTTGCAGTGTTTCAAGCCGTGAGCTAAGACCTTGACAAATGAAAGAACCCGAAAAAAACCCAACCCTCAATGAACAGCAAATAAACCCTAACCAAACCCTAAACCAACCCTACATCATCCATAACTAATCCTAAAGAATCCCCAAGACAACCCTATAACAACCCTAAATAAACCCTAAGACAACCCTTAGTAGCGCCAAACATCAATTAAGCAATCCTTAAATAAACCTTGAACCAACCCTAAAGAAAATCTAAACCGTCTAAACCAGCTTCAAGTAAACCATAATACAATCTTAACTTAAATCCTAAACTAACCCCAAACTGCTATGCTAAACCCCTAAATAAACTTTGGGCGAACGTCCGCCCCGGAGGGATATATATATCTATACACAGTTGCGGGCTCACGCACGTGTATATACATAATTGTATATATATATATATAATATATATATATATATCACACACATATCTATAAATCCATGCGCACATCCATACAATTTCAATCACCATAATAAATATCACAAATGATTGCAGCAACATGCCATGACATTGCACTACATTGCATTGCATTTTGGAATCATAGTTGTATATGTAAGACTGTTGCGCTACCTAAGAGTATTCAAGCAAAAACATATGGACAATAGAGATCAATAAATATAATATAGTGGATCCAGTTGCAAAATCCATGCGTAAATCATTGTAAAACAACATATGTGTGCATATGATTACAGTATAAATATATATACATATGTGTATTTGCACATACATGCAGTATTACATACACACTCGTTCCATTCTTGCCAGCCTCAATCCCGTCCGCGCTAGCTTCTGCCTCTTCAGGAATGTCCTGAAACAAGCGGCTTAAACCATTGCCAGCGCTTGCGTCCACCATCCCAAAATCCCAGAGCTTGCTAGATCGAAACATGCGACCACACGCTCCTCCTCAGCAAGGTCACCAATACTGAACGCGCTCGCGACCTCATCGCCACAAGCGTCCTTTGCAAAACATTTACAGGTTCCAAGTGTTAAAAAAATATGTGCACACTGCCCATGAACTCAAGTCACTTTGACCCTGTGTGTACTGATGTCTATTGGGCACGGCGTGATTGGTTTTCTGTTCTCACTGTGGTCACTCATAGTATTTCACTACGACTTCAACCTCCTAGCCGGTAAAGAAAATCTATCGCGGATCCTCTTGTTCTTCCATATCTTCAGTGGGCTCCATGCCTGGCAATCACATCAATCAATGCTTTGATGTTTACTTTCCCACTGCATCGGACAATGAGGTACTTTATCTTGCCAGACCAACATTCGTGCACTCTAGAATTTGCCTCCAATTGTTTATTGCCCAAAGACGCAAAGATTTCTGTTGAGACAAGGCCTGGCCTCTGCAGCCCTCACGGGCCAAGGTAGCTTGCTACCTTGCTTCATCAGTTCTACTGAGAGCCTAATCCAAAGCACGAATACAGCAGTGCAAGCTTCGACATGAACATGACAAGATATCGCAAGGTGTTGCAAGATACCTGGGGTACCCTTGGGGTTCTTTGGTAGGTCCTGAGGTGCTGAAGCAGCTAAAGGTAGTATGCATCAATTTATTGCGCGTCCTTCGCTCTGAAGAGCCCTTCTAAACCAATCAATCATTCACGGACACAGACACCCCTCTGAGCCCCATGCAAAATCCCCCTCAGCTCGACTTTTCTTTTGCTGCAACTTCACTGCCAATGGATCGTCAAGCCAGGCGACTAGTGCGACCGCCCAGCCAAGCCAGCTAGGCCGAAAGCATGGCCAGGCATGGCTGCATAATCTTTGCATCTGCTCTCATATGCTCTCACTGAGCATGTTCTTCGACCGGAACGCCACTCAGTTGTGACATGTTGTGACCACTCTTTGTACAAACGGCCCGTCAGGTTGCAGGCCAGCACTGGTAGGACTTCCATCAAATCAATACCTGGCAGTCGTCGTGGCGGCAACCATTGCAGAGCACTCCTGACACTTCTGAGCCTGATTTATATTCATGTACGTCAGCAAGGCTGATAGGTTCCTGAAATCACCCCAATGCCTTCATAAAGATCATGACAGGGATTGTAAAAAGGACCACCTGGCATATGCCAACATGCATGTTGGCAACGTGCAGCAAATGAAGGAGACGACCATCTTGGCTTCATTTGGATTCTATCCAGGGCTGGGGTCAGATTAGAGCCTCCTGGGGGGGGTGTAGGTTAGCAACCTACAGCGCATGGAGACAACCATGCTGGCTTCATTTGGCTTGTATCTGCAGGGTTGGAGCCAGATTAGAGCCTCTTGGGAAGCACGCAGGCAACAAGCTTGGCTTTTGAATGCAGGGCTGCGGTCAAGGGCTGCGGGGCGACAGCCTGGAATTAAAGCTTAACAAAGTAATAAAAACGCAACATCAACACCAGGCCGGGCTGTCAGGCAGCAGTGCTTGCTTCTGTACTGTGGACCAGCCCAAGACACAGCAGGCCTGGGTGACATGTCGGTGACAACCAATGCAAATCGCAGGCGATCCAGTTTGCTGGAAGATGCAGCTTAAGGCATGGAAGGACCGGGTGATATGATTTTGAGCTGTGCGGTTCTCAATTTGCTTGTTGCAGAAAAACGATTGTTGTCTGAGGATGCAGCGAAAGCAGCGGCAAGAAGAATTCTTCCGCCATTGCTGTGGAAGTATCTAACCTCAAACAAAGGGAGCACGTGAGCAAATGGGCCATTGCAAACCGAAACTATGCATTAGCGAACTTGGCCGAGTACAGTTTTGGATGCCTTCATCATCCCGATGTGTGGGTCCTGAGCTCTCAGCTGACTCCCTCGCGCAGCGTAAAGTCAGCAACTGAGAGTCATGCGAGAAGCCCTGCCCCAGCGACTGCTGAGCAGTAGGTCCCGAGAAGGATGAACAAGCCTGGCCGTTTCATGCTTTTCTCAGCTGCTGTCACTTGCCTGATGCATCTTTCTATACATGTAATCTGATGTAATATATGTAATGTGCACGATGCACCAGTACATGATATACAAATATATAATATACGCCTATGTGTCTGTGTATGTGTGTTTGCGTACCGCATGTATATATAATATTATATAATCATTATTATACCATACATGCATGCATAAATAAATAAACAAATAGAGAAATCATACCCGCAGCACGTGCGCTACGCCCCACAGGTATTTCACTCTCTCTCTCTCTCTCCCTCTCTCTCTCTCTATACATATATATATATATATGTGTGTGTGATTATATGTGTATATATATACACTTTCATATGAATTTTGCAGGGTTTCTTTAGGGTTTCTTTAGGGTTCATTTATGATTTCTTTTGGGTTAATTTAGGGTTTTTCCTAGGGTTTTTGTAGGTTTTCTTTAGAGAAAATCAGCCGATTCCCCGCAGAGGGTCGGCAATCACGTCCCTCACGAAGCCTCGTGAGGGACATGAAGTTTAACCATCTCAACATAGTGGAAGGCTACAAGTACCGTAACGGTCACCCAAAATGACAATCATCCCAAAAGAGTTTGGGGCATAGCACAAGTGCTGGCCGAATAAACAATACATAAATGAATAACCATATATTGCACACACACATATATATATACATGAATAAAATTGAATAAATAAATAAATAATAAATAAATAAATATGTAGATAGATATATATATACACATATACTTATACATATATACATGTATATATATATATATACATAGATATACATATGTAAATATGTAGCAGCCATCCTGATGTGGACAGCGATCTGCATCCTGCGGTCGCAGCAATGCCTGAAATTCCGTGCCACGTTGTGAGGTGAGGCTTTCCATTGACCTTGTGGCGAAGCCGCGAAGCCAGTGGAGTTCGCAAGACCGACCCATGGCACTCCAGCCTCCTTGTTGGAATATATCACGTACCAGCCTGGGAAGTGAGAAAGAGCCGATGTTGACGAATGTCAACCAAAATAACCAAAACATACCAAAACATCCAGCTAAGCCCTCCAATTACTCTGGCACACCGTCCAAGAAACTGATATAGAGAAACGGGCCCACACAAAAGGACAGAAACATAAAGAAACATAAAGAAACATAAAGAAACATTTAGGGAGGAAAACATAAAGAATCATAAAGAACCATGAAGAACCAAAAAGAGACTCGGACATATAACATATATAACTTATATAACTGAGTAAATCAACAATACTCAAAATCAAAGTACCCCATCACGCTGGGCAGCACACTGAGTTGCCAGGCCAAAGGCTGTGACTATGCTTCCGGCGCCCATCAAATATCCGTGGATTTTCGTTGCTCGGAGGCCTCACTTTGAGCTCCAGAATGGGCAATGCGATATTTGGGATGCTTATTATGATTTATTATGATATCTTATGATGCTTGGGGTATCTTGGGGTTGTATTTGAGTCCATAGTCCAGCTGGGAAATATGAACTGCATTGACATGTTCGCAGCATGTGGCGGAAACATGTCGGGAAAACATGCGGCCGATGTCAAATGATTGTCATGGTACTAGTAGGATTTGATCTTGTTTCTTCAACCCCAAGGTATAGGCCTTCTCTAAGGTACCAGCCACCAATTTTCTTCACCAAAACAGCATTGCCCATCAAAGCAACATAACCAAGCAACCTCAGACCAGCTTCAAGCACTAACCGATCTGTTGAGCGATGCACCGATCATGATCCATTCTGATCATTCTGAGATTGGCATCTCAGCCCAGCGCATTGCTGCAGGATGGTACCAAAACCAAACTGGCCAAGCCGGCGTCACTGCCTCAGCATCGGAGCAAACTGGCGGCCTGGTGTTTTCTTTGGCCCAGACTAGCACGACATTGATATTGTATGATATTAATTGATATTATGGTATTGTGAGGGTATCGATTGAATCAAATGTATTCAACATATTCAAAATATATCAAATCCATTTGGCAAGAAAGAAATTGAACGCAAGTAAGAGGAAGTATCATCAAACCGATGTGACACGTCTACCTGTAACCATACTTAGTGACAGCAAAGAAACATTAGGGGCTCTTGATATCTCTTGATTCTTGTGTCAGGAAAGCAATCTGAGATACCTACTGCTGCGGCCACACAGGCAAAAATCACCAAAGCAGGACCCCATATTTTAAGCCTCGATGGCACTTCAGAGGTGTGTGGCATTGTCATGCATTGTCATTCACAAAATGACATGAAACTTCAGAGAGTATGATTCAGTATTTGATGGTGGATGATGGTGGTATACACGCTTGACTGCCATCGAGACAATGTCTGTGGAAATTTATCCAACATGGCCACCTTGCGCACCTTGGCCAGGGCGCCAGCGAAAGCCAACCATTCCTGTGCAACCGCAAGCGTCACCAAAATCACCAACGACACAGTTCCATCGGTTCCATGTGCATAATTCATCATGATTCATCATAATTCATCATAATTCCCACCAAAACTTGCATTGTGGCACGTTGCATGTTGCCCGCATGATGACTAACCACAGTAACGACTATGGTACTGATGGCATGGCCCATGGCCTTCCAAGCTTTTCGGCCTTCCAGCATGCGACAATGTTCAATGGACAAACAAGGGCTGCGTAACAGGCAGCCCACACATCCACACAGAAGGTCAAACACCCAATAGAGTTCTGCAGAGTTAAACTGTAAGTGGAACATATTCCATTATTTTCGGTGAGACTTGCGTTGCGGCGAAACGACCCACAACCAGAACGTGCCACAGGTAGCCTTTGAGGCATCCGGCATCTCGGTGCGAGTTTGAATCGCAATGGCTAGGACTTTCATTCAGATTCTACCAGATTCACTAATATACATTAATATACTTTCATCTATTTTCGATATTCTATATATCTTCACCATCTTCGCCACATTCAGATATCTTACGAATTTTGATAATATGCAGTAATTAAATGTAACTAATTAGAACAAGTCGCAGAAGTGTCTCGATGCAATTCATTTGGACTACCCTGCCATCACTTTTCTGGCGCAGCTCCACTTCTCCACTTTGCACGGATTGCTCTCAGGGGCACCTGCCAAACGTGAGTGGGGATGTCGTTCCTCAAAGTGCAAACACTTGAAACACTTGTTTGCTTTTATATGCTTTTATCTTTCAAGTTCCATCAAGTTCCCTAGTCAGCCTAGTTCTACCATAACTTTTCTGATCAAAGTCATCTCTTGCCCGTGGCATGCTCAGGACGTATCCAAAAATGCGGCTCTGAGATTTGCGCCAAGACCCGTGTGGGCTTCTCGGCCAATCCTCAGGGTACGCCCGATCCACCAGGTGGATCGGGTGGATCCAGATGGATTCAGATGGATCCAGGAGGCATAGCTGGCATAGCTGGCATAGCTGAGGCCATCTGAGGCGCATGCTGATCGGAAGGCCCAGTGCGCGCACCATTGCCGCAACGTGTGCCGAAGCCGTGCCTATGGCGAATCGGTGGAACCATGTGGAACCCTTCGCCGCATGGCTGTGGCATGTCGAAACACCGAGACTGTGGCCCTTTCCGTTGAGGATGATGCTGAGGTCCTTCACCCAAGAGATCCCAAAACAATCAAAACATATCAAAACACTATAAGACATGGCGGCATGGTTGTGGCAGGGCAGGGGGGCCAAAGAAGGACTCATGTTTGTGCACATTACATCACATTACAATCTTTTCATGCATTGGACTCAACACGACTTAACAAATTGCGACAACATGCAACAAATGTATAAAACTATCAGAATATTACACTGTCATTGGACCTTTGTTCCTACATGTTCCCACAACATCCCACAACTGTTCTAGGCTTGGCCACACCTGCGCTTTGAACTTCCGGGTTGCGGCCTCTTGAATCGCCTCCATGAATCTGAGACATATGGGAACATAGGTTGATGATGGTTGATGATGACGGACAATGCATGGTGGGGTGAGATCGGTGAGATATCCATGAAGCTCTTCATACCAGTGACATCCTGTGACCTTTGATCTTCTGCATTGCACAAAGCTGCGGTAGTCTCGCGGTAGCGCTCAGAAGAGCGAATGCAACAAACGCTGACACATGTATCCTATGAAACAGTTTATCTAAGCATATCATCCCAGGAGATCCCGGGAGTGCATGAGTGTATGTCCTCGAAACAAAATGCACTGACCGCCACTGAAAAACCAACTGCTCCAATCTCCTCCATTCATTTCAGTGGCACAGGCTGTGGACTTTGGGCCCAGACTGCTCGTGCAGTCACCGTGGCAACCTGCGGATAGTGTTGAGAATAATTCTCTAATATAATAATGTGCTCAGGATGGGGAACAAATTAGGGTATGGCCTGTGATGTCTAAGGAAACCAAAGGATGAACAAAAATTACCACAAATCGCAAAACAACCCGACATGCTGCTGTAGACTCGCGCCTCCGCAGACATGTTCTGCAAATCCAGCTCACCCCGGCCATCTGCTCTCAGTGGTTGTTGGAAACCTGTGCTACAGCGGGGGCACGCAGCATGTCCCGCTTACGCGACGTTGAAGAACAAAGTCGAGCCTTCCCCCGCAACTGTTCCAGAGACCTGCACAACGTGGCATCCCAACATGTCGCTGGACAAACACACCAAAATTAAAACTGCAGTGGGCTGCACAAACAAGTGAAGACTAAGAATGTGAGCATGTGAGCATCTTGATGATTCTTGTGATTCTTGTACCATTCTTATATGATTCTTATCATGTCATCACGTACTTCATGAGTCGCCTCACGAAGAAGGCGTGAAGCCTCCTTGGCGCGGCCTGCCTCAAGGTGTTTGGAGCTGTGGGACATTGTAGGACATTGTGGGAGCATTGTGAGCACCAGCGAATCTGATCAACGCATACCAACGCTCTGTGACTTAATTGTTGCTTTTGACCAGAATGCCTGGTTGCAGATGAAACTCAAAGTAAATAAATAAATAAATAGATCATAAATAATTATAGATAGATAGATAGATAGATAAATAGATAGATGGATAGATAGATAGATAGATAGATAGATAGTATCAGATAGTATGTGTGACGGTACAGTACGACTGTATGATGAAGAAATCCTAGCAGGTCCTAGCAGCATCTCTGGAAGTGAACCTTTGACCTTTGATGAACCTTTGGCCGCGGCCTCCATCAAGGCCAGTGTCACCACCCGCTGACATTCAGGATCTGGCCTGTTCTGTGCCCCGTATGCCCAGTGATGCCCAGTGATGCCCAGTGATGCCCAGTGCATCCCAGGCCATGCAGATGTTGTGAAATTTGCCACTCGCAAGAGCTTGGGCTGCGGCTGAATGCCGAGGAGGGTCATCTTCTCCATCTCGGCACCGGGGTGCGTTTTGCTTCACTGATCTCTACCATTTGTACTTCGGATTTCGTTCTCGATCTCTGTTGGAGCTCTGCCTCCAGTGTAGCCCATATCGTCCCGCGGTTTTTCACTTGGGTTTTTGCCAAGGCGACAGCCCTTTGCCACTGCGTTGCGCGCCTGCGAAAATTGGGATTAGTTTGCTGCTAAAACCCTTGCTTTGGCTGAAATCCGCGGCTTGGATCCATAATGATCCACACAGTGCATGAAGCATGTGATGAAATGAAGAAACCAAATAGACGCCAGGCAACAATTGCGTATCAACAAATAACTGCTCAAACAAATTACATGTAAAAACAGTCCTGCAGGCAGTGATGGCTGCCCCAAAGGTGACCTGGTACGGTGTGAGCACAAAGCTCGGCTGAATTTCATAAGTTGAAACATTATATTACATATAATATATACAAGGTATGTATACCGTATATATATAATATACACGGATACTCACATCACTGTTCAAACTTTAAGCTGCGCATTCCATCTTTGCAATCTAAAAATGCCTTGGGCACCTACCACGTTCAGCTGTTGATGTGCTCGGTAAGCCTTTGAGGAGATTGGAATGAGAACGATGTGCAAGAGTCTGGCTCCAGCTTGTAGTATGTGATCCCATATGATCCTACATTAATCTATATTGATCTATATTACTATATTGTATATCTCGATAAAATGTTTCCAGTAAAGTCTGCCCCTTTGACACCATAAAACAATACAGTACCAGCTACAATAGCCTTGCGTGCTGCAGGGGCCTCTTCCATCAAGCCAAGAGCTGCATGCCATGCGAAGGCTCTCTCGCAACCTCAGACATTGGCATCGTATAGATACGTCAAGAGAAATTAAACAGAACCATTGCGTGCAACAACAATGCGAATATTGGCTACTTTCAGCTTGTTTCAGCTAGTGGTCCACAGGGTTGAGAAACAAGTTGGCCAACTTCTGGCCCCAAACCGTCCCACGCCCACGCGTTTTTCAGCTCTCTGCAGGTGATTGCGGAGTTGAAGGTTACAATGCTTGGAGCAGCCTCAGCCACGTGCGACCACTTGCCAATTCAGTGCAATGCCGTCATGCGATTGCAGCCGATTGCACGCTTTGGGTGCCGCATGATGCATGCATTTGCTTGGAAGCAACTCGCCTCCTCTGGCATTTTGCTCAGGAGCCTCTGCAAAAAGAGGACTCAAAGGTCTCTTGAAATTTGTAATTTCTTCAGTGCTTGACACTGCCCTCCAGGACCCATTTCCGAGATAGCGGCCTGAGCACATGCTGCCACTCATGGTCGCGCCTCAACATGTCGCGGCAATTCGCAGCAGATTTCCTGGCCCTGGATCTTAGGATGCGACCTGCAGGCATTGATGGCCTCCAGCTTTGTCAATGGGTTTGCTATGGTCGCTGCCCTGACTCAAATGTCTGATAATGTATGTGTGTGAAAAACCTCTACACCGCTATATAAATAACTACTGTATATTACATATTACTGGTGTTACACATAGACGCCCTAAAGTTTGAACATGCCATGTTGAATCAAGTAAAACAAAGCAAATAAGAATAACGGGAGGCGAAAGCAGAGTAGGGGTGTTGAAAGATCTTGCAGTATGCAGTCATCAGAGTCAGAGATTCAAGAGTCTCGTCCAAATCAACCAACTAGAAGCTAGCATCTAACAGCCAGTGACGATATGTCACGATACAGCTCAGCTATGCTCAGCTGAGCTGGCTCACCGCGTTGAAGCAAACTGTTGAAGGCTGAAGCCTCAGTAGACGAAGAATTGGCGAGGACCTACGAAGGACCTACGAAGGACCTACGAACCTCTTTCAATCCTTAGCTGTGCATAGCTGTGCTAAACCATCAAAATTTGAGGAGGTCCAAGGTCCAATAGGTCTGGCATTGTCTATATTGTCTGGCTGTCTAGCTTCCAAGCCACAAGAAAATCAAGTCATCACAGGCAAATCTTGCCACGGCCAATGCAACAAGATGCAACAAGCCTCTTTTCCTTGCGGAAACACTGGTCGAACTGTTTGTATTAAGTTGCAATTCGGTCACTCAAGACCTGCTTGAGAACTTCTTCGCATATCATGCCTGAATCATATTGATTTATCAATATTTATCGTAATTCATCTACCTTGGGCAATTGGTGTGTGTTTTACGTGTTTTCAGCGCCATGAAGATCTCCCCTCGAGCTGCCTTTTGGCACTAGGAAAGCTGCATGAAGCCAGCTGTTGATAGGCCGACAATATCCAACACCAACAAAGCCGTTGCTGAACCTAGCAGGGTCACCCTTTCTGACAGATTCTTGAATAGCTGGCTTCAATTTCATCTTTGCAGATGTGACTGCTCACGTTGCGGCATCAGCTGCTCTGCTGGAGGCTGCCTGACATATTCGAAAATTTGGCTCCAAAGCTCGTCAGTAAGCAGTGAGCATTTTCCAACAGCTGATCTCGAGACTTTGATTTGATCCAAAGATATCCAAAGGATTCAAAAGGTCCAAAGGAACCAAAAGGAAAGTGGAACTCATCGAAAATCATCCAAAGGGGCCCGCCAAGATCCGCGTGAGAGTCATGGAGTTCGAGGCTTGCAAGCAAGAGACAGAAGCATTTGCAGAGGGCTCACCATTCTCGCTATTGGTTTCAGCTCCTTCCTTCACGTGCCCCTTCCTCGTTTTCCAAAACCATACAGAACAAAGACACACTTTGGCCGCCAAGGAGATACCATATGAAATCGCTGGGCCCGTTCAATGCGGCTTCGGCTATTCTTCAACTTCATACCTTGTAATTACACTTCAGCTCTTCTACAACCAGTTTACACTCCCATCGGTTTGAAATGTTTTGAAACTTAACGGAACTTATGATTTATTATATACGTTGAGACGTAGCATTTTCAAGAAAGAAAAGAAAGGACACTGCAGCGACTGCACACGAACAGAATGCACTGTCTCCCATAAGTTCCGTTGCCAAGAATCCTCCAGTTTTGGTAAACCTTGGATGCAAGTTTCTTCCTTGCGAATTTGCCAACAATTGCTTTCAGGCTGAAATGGCTGAAAGGCAAGTGTTGGGTCACTGGCTGTTGATTGAACTGGACCAATTGAGGGCAGCAAATTTCAATTTCGAAGTGGAACATCGCCATGGTCAGGTCATGTCAGGTCAAGGAGCTACTGGAGTGCCATAGCCTTGAACATCCTTGCTGCAGCCCTTGCGCCATCATTTTTCACGGGGAAGTGATGGGGCAGACACGGGCAAACATGATACGCATGGAACTCATTCAAAAGTGTCTCACTCTCAAACGAGATCGGACAGCAGCCAGACTGCCAGTCTGACCAGATGATGTTTAGCGGTTTGTTTTGTGTTTTGTGTAGCATGGGTGTTTACTAGATCCATCTAGATCCTCTTGCCTCCACGTGGTTGGGCTCACTGATGGAGGATGCTGGAAAAGATTCGCTCCGTAACAGTGGCCCACCTGAAAGAAATCTCCGCGTTTCCAAATGTGGTAGCTCGGCTGTGCATCAAAGATGCATCTCAAACTAAATCAGTGTGTGGAGACCATGTTAATTGCATCGCAATGTCCTCGACTTCCAATCCATCCGCTCAGCTCAGCTTAAAAGCTAACCAACTAACTGGAGCGCATCTCATGGTGCAGCCCTGTTGCTCGGCTTGCTGTCTTTGCGCTCCAACTCTGGTGGTATGGGCTTTGGTGGCCTCACCCAGTCCATATTCACACCACCCTGGGACCGTTTCCATATTTTCATATATTTTCCATGCCATGAGAGGGAACCAAATGGGAACCCAATTACAGTTCACTTACTATTGGATTAGTAATTATTATTAATGGGAACTAAATCCAAGTACAGTTAACTTTAGCTGTTGGATGAGAACAAACCCTAGAGATCAGATGCTGAATGCCCAGCGACAATGTTGTGCCAATGTTGTCAGCCAATTCCCGCCTCAGTTGAACAATGACCAACGGAACCAAGATTCCAGCTGGATTTTGCCCAAACCGTCCCAGCCGTCCCAAACCTAGCATTCCGGTTCAAGGAGCAATGTATCCTCAAGCTTGGTTTTGGTGTCTGAATGCTGCAGCTTTGTCCTCGCAAGCAGGATAGAAGGCTAGCTATGGCCAGCTACAGTGTGAGGCAAAGGAATTCAGTTGTACAAAGGTAATTCAAACACAACTGGCATTCACTCGCCTCAAAGAAATCACGCCATGAAACAATATGAGACACAAGATGAGGGATATATTTTTTAAAATACCGTATGTAACAATGTATGTGCAACTATAAACTGCATATATAATTGTGTAATATTATGTATATATAAGAGACTCACGGGCAAGCATCGCAAGCGTCCTTGCACCACTCGCTGCCTGTTGCTGTGGTTGCTGCGGTTGCTGCGGTTGAAGGGCTTGCTGCGGTTGCTGACTCGGCATCTGAACAGCCGCTGGGGGCTGAGTTGGCTGAGTTGGCTGAGTTGGCTGAGTTGGCTGAGTTGGCTGAGTTGGCTGCTGATGGGCAGCCGACGGTGACTGTTGCTGCTGCGCTTGTGGCGGCACGACCTTTAGCTGAATCTGCGACGGGCCCGAAGGCACTGAAAAGTCCGGCAGCCTTAGTCTTGCAATTCCCTGCTATATCTGCTTGTTACGGTAGATATTGATGCATATTGTAGCAGTACTTGCCATGTTGCAAGCAGCAATGGTTTCTCAAACCTGGCCTAGAAAAGGTCTCCTGTGGCAGAAGCAGCCGAGGGACAAGTCAATTTCAGATCCTGGTGCCACTGACCCAAACATAGGCCTTGAATTTGCAAGGCGCCACTTGAAAGTCGTGGCAGCTAGAATCTGGGGCAAGCTCCAAGAGGCACTACTTGACCACTGATAAACAAGATGGAACCGCCTGGCCGATGGTCTCTTCTGCAAGTCAGATTTCCCTATCAGTCCTACGGAACTAATAATAGTATTGTGAATCATCCTGTCTTCAGCTCGGCTCCTGGAAAATCTAGTAGCTAGTAAGATAGATGCAGGGAGATCATACACGTTGCACATCAATTTAAAATATAGAAAAACATGAACACCCTTGAACGTGGACAGCATGGCTGAACCGAGCACACATTCCACCAATAATCAGCAACAAATTAAAGCAAACAGAAAACAAAAGCCGGTTGAAGCGCTCACACTTCCCTCACCTTCTGGGGGCAATGTGGTCGGATAAGAGTAACATGCCCTATATATCCCTATATGAACATGTATTGAACGTGCATGATTACTACATGTACATGTTCCTTGACAAGCTTCGTGCAGGCAACAGCTGCTGGAGATACCTCAAAGCATCACACGTCAAGGTATCGATATGTACATCTGAGAATTACAGCTAAGTTGCTACGGCTACGGTAAGAGACAAATATATATCTATATAATATATAGATAAATATTAAACATATATTTAAATTTTAAATATTAAATATAACATAATGTAACATCAGTACTATCATTTACCCATGTATGCGCTGGTGCGATGCTTCAACTGCATGGACTCCAGTCGACATAGTCGACCATCTTGGGACCGAGCGTTGCCCCGACTCAAATCGGTGGAGGCTCCAGCGCCGTTTGCGCCTACCGAAATCTGAAAGATTCTGAAAGATTCTGAAAGATTCTGAACGATTCTGAAAGATTCTGAAAGATTCTGAAAGATTCTGAAAGATTCTGAAAGATTCTGAAAGATTCTGAAAGATTCTGAACGATTCTGAAAGATTCTGAAAGATTCTGAAAGATTCTGAAAGATTCTGAAAGATTCTGAAAGATTCTGAAAGATTCTGAAAGCACTCAAAGGTCATCAAAGGATATCAAAGGTCCATCTGCGGAATCTCGGCGCCGCTTTGGTCCAAAATCACTTGGCGATGCTTAAGTTTGTATTGTGGCCATTTGTGGCCCAATGGTCAAGGACTTGTGCTAGGCAACTGCCTGTGGTTGAACTTGAGCTGGCTGCGCTGAGATTAGAAGCAGACAATTCCTTGGCACGGCGGTCAGAAATCTCACTTCTGCATGTTCCACAGCATCCTAATTTCTGTAAAAGTAGAAAGTTGACTTGTAGGGAGCGGCAGCCATGGTGCAATGCATTGCATCCGTATGCATCCGTTTTTGAGCTCATTGGCACGCAGTAGAAAAACATGAGATACCTTAAGACATCTTAAATATCTTAAGACAAAACACAAGCGGCAGCCCTGCTTGAGCGGCTTGTGATGAACGAGCCTTGCAGCAAGCTCACAGAAGATCACACATTGTTACATACGCCAGTTGGCACTGTATCTGACAGTTCTGAGGGAGTATAGCCATGCGGAAGCATGGAGTTCGAGGGTCAAAGGCAACAAAGCAGAAACAATGCCAATATTCCAATGTGCCCAACCCCTGTATCCGGAAAGCCTTGTCATCAGAGCTTGCTGAAGCACCTGGCTTGGCCCGTCTTTTAAAAGTCGTTTCGAGGTTTTCCGAATTTCGTGTATTGAGCCTTCGTGTCACATGGTGTGACAAAAAAGTGCATGGAATCGAGAGGTGTGAGAGGACCTCCCAAATGCCTTTGCAACGGAAAAGAACAAGGAAGAACGAGGAAACAACATGAAACAAACGAGCTGCTCAAGCTAAATCTCTAGATATGTCCTTGGTACGTAGAGGACTCACATTTGACTCACCTCGTCCAGGCCAAGCATTCGTAGCGTCAAGAGAGAGCAACACCTCAAATCGCTCAGCTTCAATGGCCATATGAGATAGCCATGATCAAAGTGTGTCAAAAACATGTAAGTACAATTTTCAATGTGTTCTTCATTTGGATTCACAAATTTTGGATCCATCTTGCCCGGCATTCCAATGTCGAGCACCGCTTCCGACATCAGCCGAACTGTTTCGACAAGGTACATGCCGTGATCCGGAGTTGCTGCTCGCAGCTTGCTGCAATGAATGTAGCTGACTTTGCCGTCGAGCTACCTTGATGTACTGAAACGGAAAGCACAAAGCTTGGTAAACCAGCTTTGTACAGACCCTTCCAGTGCAAAGACGCAGCAACACAAATCCCACTCGACATGAAGCAATGTACAGTAGATGTGTAAAGAATTGCAAAATGTCGTAAATGCAGAATGATCTGCACATTTCTCTATTTGGATCTGTTTGGTATGACATATAAAATCATGCATATAAAAATACGCATATTATGTTGTATATTTGTATCATGATCATGATACAATATTGATTATATATACGTTGCGGCTGCTGTACACTGCCCGACAGAACGGGCCTGAAGCACTGCAATGATCTGCAATGCATTTATGTGCTGCAAACAAGAGACGGCATCACGCAAGCGCCGGTTTTCACTCTCTAGCTCCCTGACCCGGCTGGAGTGGCATGTAGTGACACCACGTTCGACGGGCTTCCGTTCATACCACTCTGCAAGGTCTTAAAATGAAGGGTTCCGGGTACCACCGGGTCCTACGGTAGTGCTTCTTGTCTTAGAAAGCCGGCTGGCAACCTTTGCAGGAGCACACCCTGCCTGTTCCTCCACAGTGCACCCATCATTGGCTGCCCCAGTGCGCCCCACGTCTGGCCAAGCTCACCTGGAGCTGTGCTCCTGGTGGATGGTGCAGACTTGAGACTGCCACTAAAACACTGAAGAGAATCCGGGCATGTATAATCTGTATGCAAATTGATGTAGTTCAAATTCAACGGTTTTGGCACTGAGTCAAAATATCAATCTGCAACCCTTCTGAGGCTCAGCTGCAAAGAACGAGTCTTGAGTCTTGCAAATGACGCGCTTGCAGTCCTCTTGGCAAGGCCCTGCCAGCCTAGCATGTTTGCCATTGCCAAAATTATCCAAAATGCATCCATATTGGACCGTATGTGGACCGTCAGCTTTGCGGCATTTTGCTGTGTCAGAAGAAGGGCTTGCCTGTAAAGGCAGCAGCTTGTCTTGATGGCTGATGGCCGATTACCTGCACGAAGTCTGCAAGCTACGATTCTCAATGTGTCTTGCAATACGTAGGATTTGCTGTGAAACTGAAGCTTTCTGCACAAGACTGACTCGTTGCAGGATCGTTTCATCACAAACCCGCACCTGAGACAGCTGTTCCCTCAAGCGCTGCATGTGCAAGGCGAACTCCCTCTCTTTCCTCACAAGACAGTCTTGAAATGTGCGAGTGATTGCGAGTTTGCCTGCCAGGTGCTGGTTTTCTCAGGACAATTGCAAAACCCTGTAGCAAATGGAATGCGTGGTTGGGACTTTCAGGTTGTGCTTGTTTTGTAGGCATATACTGTTCCCCCCTACGCTCCCGTTGAGTTGGCAGAAGATGGAAAGAGTCCATCACACACACTCCGCTCACTTGCTAAGCTGCTAAGAGCTGAAGTCAAACTGCAGCCAAGTATCGCGTCCAGCAAAGCCTCTAATTCTTGCCTTGGTTGCGGATTCATGGCATTTTGATGCATTTTGGGATGCGTATGTATGCATACAACCCAACCAGCCATTCTTTCATATTCATATCGGTCATATCCTTCCATGTTCTAACAAGATCTAACAAGAACATACAAGAACTGTACAGCAAAGCCATGCAAAGATCTGCCTTGGTTTCACATTGCTGCCAAGGATCAAGGAAGGACCTTGGTCAATGCTATGGGCAGATTTTGTTGGTTGAAAGTCAAGTTTAGCCCTGGTTGCTGCGAATGCTGAATAGCCTTAAAATGTCCCAAATCCGACTAGTATCGATTACTGTTCTGGGTTGTGAAGTATGGTTGAAGCAAACAAACGGAGAAATGGAGAACACAATTCAGCAGAATGCCTCCCAAAACAAGAAAAAGCATTCGCACCTTCTCTCCCACCTTCTGGAGCTTCGCCACGGCCTGCCATGCCACAAGGCCTCAAAACAGGCGCAGCCAATTCAGGTTCTCAACAAGCGCTGCGTTTGGGACCAAATGCTTTGGGTCTTTCATGGTCTTTCAATGCGTAAATTATCGTAAATTATCATACCTGGAACGTTCCAAGATCGAGGATGATGGATTTCCGAGGAGCTTGCAGAATCTCCATCCAAGGTTCACATTTCGTCAAAACTTTGGATTACAAGATTCAGAAGGAATGGCAGGGTCGTTCAATCACAGATTTGGGTAGCAAAGAGGATTGCTCCCAGTCTGGGTGGCGACTGCTTTGCAAAGCTGAACTATGACACTGCCATGATCATGATATACAGATGTCACAAGACTTTGGGCTACCATCTGACCGCGATCTTGTGATCGGTAATGCCTTCTCTCTCCCCAATATCCCCAATTATTGATCCGTAAGACTTACAAGCTACGACTTTCTCATATTTTGTCTCAGTCCACCCTTCATGATCTTCATGATCTTCATGCACTATTGGCATCCCGCTATATCCCGCTTTAGTCCATGGTGCGGCCACCGTGGAACTGGCTGCAGCTCTAATGGCACATGGCAAGGCTACATGGGCTGGGGAGCGCTTGAAAGCGAGCAAAGATCGAGTGTGGAGTTGCTGAGATTCTCAGGTACAATGGCTGGAATAAAAGTTTAATAGTATGTTACAGTGTGTTCGAATATATTCGATATCTAGTACAGTTGGTGATCATCATTGAATATCAAATCAAAGCAAATACTATGGTGCTTGTTTTTTGGGTTTCTTGGGTGTGCTAAATCCAGTGGTTTGGTTGGCAGTGACTTCTCATTGCAGCATTGGCCATTGGTTGGACTACTGTAGCCAGCAGCTGCAGGTCCAAACAATCCAAGTGAGATAGCTGAACCCAAACATACCCTAACTGTGTTTAAAAAACAACCTGGAAGTAATTAAGTAGCCCTTTTGGGACTTCAATCATATCAAAATTGCGTCTTGACATGTTTGACTTCTTGGGGGAAAGACATTAAAAAAAAAACACTGCCAGTGTACTTGCAATGACATGTGCAACAAGAAGTTTTAGCTTTGGATTGTGGAGGCCCGTTCCAAAGGCTGGGAAACACTTGGTTTTGCATGTTGATCATGTTGTTAGCGGTTGAACTGCAGTTTTGCCAATCATGCAATACCACCCAAGCCTTCCCCGGAAATTTTGAAACGAAAAATGCTTCTCAAACTGATCACTGCTTCGCAGCTCAGCTGAACAGTTGCGAAAGGCAGTGGCTTTTCAGACTTCCTGGCTGCAAATGCCCGAGCCTGCCCCAGCTCAGTTTCACAGCATTGGCCAAACAGCCAAACAGCCATTTCTTTGTGATTCTTTTTGTTCATCTTTTTAAAAAGAATGCTTCTGAGTCGTTCTTAGCGTCCAGCTTCAAAGCCTTGCCTTGCCGTTCGCAGAAACAAAAAAAAGCCAAGCATTTGGCCATCCACCGTCACCAGCAATCCACTTGCCATTGCCATCATGTTCGAAACCAAAGAAACGCAGGCAGCAACATGAAGCAACTAGCCGCGCCCAACAAATGAGTAGTGACTATGTTACATATGTGACGTGAAGCAAGCCGGTGGATCTTGCCAAACCATTGACGGTCTACGGTCTACGGATGTGGTCGATGCGCTCAGCGACATAGACTTCAAACCTAGATGTGCAATGATGCGCTAGATTGGGGCACTCTCGCAGTGCTCCGCATTGTGTGGCTGCCCGTCCAAGGAGACTGTCCTCTGAAGCGCTCAAAACAGCCAACTTGAAATGTCCAAACCAGAAACTGTTCTTGTCTTAGAATTTAGCATCGTAAAGGACCCGAGGAGCCTACACATTAAAGTCAGGAAATACACGAAAATATAACGTCGGCAAACCTATGCCATGCACAACTTCCAACATGAAAAGCATTGCTCACAACATATCACAACAATGCGCACAACCCCCCCCATCGATCAGTCACAAAAAAAGGTATTCCGAGAGGGTGAATTTAAGAACCATGAAGGAGAACCCCGAAAAAGATGAATCCGGAAAACAGGAGACACATCCCAAAAATGGATAAAAATGGGGGCATCCCTGAAAGAATAGAATCCGAAAAAATGGGAACCACCAAAAAAGATCAAAAAGGGGAACTGGAATCCACCAAAGGCAACTTTTTTGAAGCCGGAAGCCTCAGCCAGATCCTCAGGCAACAGCCAAACGGAATCCACCAAAGGGCGAATCCATCAAAAAGGCAAAGGCAGAGGCTTTTGGCCAGGCAAATCCAGCAGTGTCTTAAACGTGGACAAAAAGGGAAGGCATCGCTGCAGCCAAGGATCTCGGCGATATGGCTATAGGCCGGCACTGACAGGAGCATACCCGGAGGTAGAAATCGCGGTCGACGGCCGGGCTGAGAGTGGAGGCAAGGTGCTTCGTAGCTTATGCCTGAACCGCAACTGCACCCTCCCAGCAAACCACACCCTCATGCACATCCATGTGGCATTATGTGTCATTGTACTGCCATGACATTTTCGTGGATTGTATTCTATGGATTTCTATGGCCTCTATATGTCTCTATGATTCATGGATCAAGGGTGCCACAGTCTATCATGCTGATCACTGACAATATCTGGCCATGTTTTATATTTGGGGCCAAGTTGCACGCTTGGAAGTCCTTCCTCACTTTCTGCGACCGTCTTTCTGGTCTCCTTCAAGCCCCGTGAGAAGCCTTTCCAGTACCTAGGCTTTTTTGGTTCCAGTATGACCCAATCAACAACTTTAGCAGTGGTAACATCGGAACAAAGGGAATGAAATCATGACCAAACCAAATTAACCAGCTCACTGTGTTGCTTTGCCTCTCTGATCCTCAAAAGGCCAAGGCACTCCTGATTCAAGTCAAGACCTTGTCCTTGGTCAAACGTCTGTGTGTTTTTCAGCGGCCAATTCCTCACAACCCTCAAATCCATGGCTGTCAAGGTGCGCTGTCATGAATCCGACCGACGCTGCTTTGAAACATATTGACACTTTGATGTTTCTGACAGCAAGGTAAGGACCTGACTCAGTTTCTTCACTTCCGAGTTCAAGGTCTCGATGCTGTCTTGAAGGGTTCCTATCCGAACATCTGCATCGCTGAGCCGGTTCTGGTCGTTGACAATCATCTCCTCGAATGCTCTGCTGGCAGCTCGCGAACATGTTCAGACTGCCCAACTAGTTTTATCATTCTCATCATTTCTCATCTAATCTCCTATGAACACGAGAAGCAGATGTGCCCGGGAGTCTAAGCGAACAAGATGAACAAGACCCCGCTGGTCAATGAACGCACCTTGTGTTGCTGCAATTCTGTAGTGTGCTGGATTACTGTCTCCACGGCTTTGCGTGTTTTGGCGTCATAAGATAGGCTGTCATACATACCTTGGCTTTTGCATGGCGCTGCTGCATGCCCTAAGAGAGTTGGCTCTTCACCAACAAAGCTGCATGCATAGAAAATCATAGAAACAAAGAGAAGCAAACACTCGCAACTCGTCCCAAGTGCTCTGGAGCATGCGTTCCTTATCAATTTTTCCATCAGCACCCAACATCTTCGTCAGCAATGCACAAAATTCGTCAAAATCCTTAGCAGAAAGTTCCCCTCAGATCAGATTTGATCAAATGGCCCCACACCTGTGACCACTGCAATGGAGCAACAAACAGAGCAGCACAACCAAAGCCTTAAAGAGAACCTCTATTCATTCTATTTCATTCTATTCTACAGTGACAGGGACTCTTTCAGCTCACTTGCTCGCCGAAGGCTCAATATCACCACTCTTGTCCATATCAATAGACTCCAGAATCGAATAAACGATGTCCATTGGTGGGTCTAGGCCACCTTTCTGCATCACTCCATCCAGCTCCTGCGCTGGAAAAGTCAACATGGAAAACTTTCACGCAGGTCAAAACGTGATCATATTCGATATGTTTCGATATGTTTGTATGGGTTGATTGGAGTACAGCATGCCTCTGCCCTGCCAAATGAACAGTGCAATCTCTTGAGCGATTGCCGTGTGATTTGGGCCCAACTCGACCGCACTTCAGACTGCAGTTCAGATATTTCGGTACCAAGACCCACAGAGATTTGATGAGATTTGAAACGGGACCTGGTATAATTTGTTCAAATTAGAGATGAACCAGAGCTGCCCAGAGCTGCTCCGTGATGCAGATGGTGCCCGAGCTATCAGCATCGAATTCTTCGAAAATTTCTTTGAAAGACGCAATTTGCCTCAGGATCAACCGCGACGCCGTGACGCTTCATGACTGCCATGAGCACCCATCTCGACTATTGGACGTTTCCCTCACTTTAAAGTGCCACTTTACTATACTTTACTCCATCTACTGGCTACTTTAAGATACTTTAAGTGCTTCTATACAAAGCATGGTAGTTACTGAATGCCACTGATCGAAGGTGCTGGTCTGTGAGGAGAATGCCTCCCTTCAAGACCATGCCCGGCGATCCTGGAGAGGACACGTCGTCCTGGCAAGTGTGCAGCATTGAAAATAACATCAAATATAATAACTAGACTTATAAAGCTTAACTAGAGTGAACCAATGAACCATTGAACCATATTAAAATTCAGAGTATAAAGTTCCCGAAAAGAATCTAACTTGACTGGAGCATGGATGCTATTGAGGGGCAGATTCAAAGCAGTCATTGGGCTGCGGCAAATTCTCTGATGGAAGTGAAGTGTACTTACGTAGTTAAGTAGTTATCAGTGTGTCGACGCTACAGACTACAGCCCGCACAGTTGCAGAGATGGTCAAATTATGTCAAATTACATCAAATTCTATATTGGCATATATTGGCAACGTTTCAAAGTTTGTCATCAAGTTAAGTTATGTTAAACTATGTTAGGTTACGTTGAACTATGTTCCTGTGTTTGAAATTGATGTTGGACTCCCCCGCCTGGGAGATGGGGTCCAAGCCGAGAATACTTTCGACTCTTTCCGACTGCATCTTCAGCATCTCCAGGGACTCAATTAAGATCCTGAGCCCAGGAGATCAGTCGGAGATAAGTAGAGTCAGTAGAGAATAGCTGCATGATGCTGCATGAATAGCAGAGATCCAGAATGATCCAGACCCCCCATGTTTCCCAAGGCAACAGTTACCGTGATGTCACGTGATGTCTCATCATGTTACGCGTCTACCTCTCAACATGTTCAAAGGCAGGCCATGGAAGTTGTGAAAGGCTGCTAAGGCACTCAGTCTTGAGCTGAGCCTGGCAGGTGATGGCAAGATATGGCAAGTGGCTAGCTACACAACATTCCACGGCCAAGGCAGCAAAAAACACCAAGATATCCCAATTTGATCCAATTTGTTGAGCTTGCGACATGCAACATGACATCATGCAGCATCTTACAGCTACTCAGCTCTGATGTCAGTCACTTGGTTGAGACACCTTGGAATCTCTAACGATACACTCAAGTGATTCAAATGTCCGTACATGATTAATATTGATTAATCGTGATAACATGATCTTACAATATATTACAATGTGTATGCACGATGTTTCAAGTGTCTAAGGCGTAAAGCGCTGGCGCCTTGTCCTTCTCCTCTGTCAGCTCTTGACAACGTCCGTTCAAAGATTCAATTGAATCGAAGTTCTGACGAATACCAATTGACAGCTCTTTGATCCCTGTCTCCATGTTGGTTAAGACATCCTTAGTGATTGCACATCGTCAAAAGAAAGAAACATCAATTGCCGGCTTTGCTTCACTACTATACTGCTCAACTCTCCGTCTGTTTTGCGCGCGGTTCCGGAACGGAGCAACTGATGCCAACCCTGCCCACTTCAGGGTGTCTGAATCAAAACACATCTGAAAGCAAACGGGTTCAAATAGCATATTTGGATATTTGATGATATTTGGATATATTCAGTGACAAGTCAAGGATCTGGACTTGAAACAACCTGCAGCACTCTTGAAATGTTTTCCTTGTTCTCCACAGCAAGAACTCGATAGTCCGTGATGTCGACCTCGCAGCTCTTCAACCTGGCGGCAAAAACACCGGCTAAGATTGATATTGAAGAGCAGCCTCCGGCCCTAAAGAGTCCTAAAATTCCTAAAGTATATCAAAATGAATCAAAATGATTAATCTTCAGGAAGGAATGCACTACATGCCCATCATCTCCCCATCACATACCCATCACATGCATTTTGTTCCTCTGTGAAAACCAACCCGGCTGCGCCATCAGCGCCTTTCTTTTGTATCTTCATGGCCCTTTTCCAATGTGTCAGTCCGCCCTTGCAGCTGTGCAGTGCTTGTGCTACCCATCTGGTGTTTCTCGGCGTGCTCTTTCAAGGTTTTATCCGCTTCCTTGGCACAGCTTTGTGTGAATGCTTGGTTTAAAGCGCAAACTCCAAAAGGTATTCAAGTGCTAGCGGAAACGGGTCATAGTGAGTAAAATCACCAACCTGCTGACCACACCCACCCTACCACCACCATGGAGTGCTGCGATCTTGTAGAATCTTAGTCTTGTAATAAGTCTTACAGGATCCAAATCCATCGAAATCCAGGAACGTCCAGGAATGACAGGAATACACTTTGATCATCTCCTTTCGCCCCAAGATCTTTCTTCGTGCCAAGTCTCATGCGCTTTTTCCTCAATACTCCGCAGCCTGCAACCCACTGGCAGCCACGCACGAAACATAACGAAACTCTACACTGACTTGATACATTTCTTGGCCAAACCATGCCAAACCACAACACCAATCCTGAAAACAATGTGATGCAAAATTCTCGCAGTGCATCTGAAGACATACACACGCAACACTACACAACACTGGGAAAACGAGTCCCTGATCACGTAAAGAGGGCGACGGCCTGTTTTCAAGCTGATTAGCAAATTCATCTGCCGTCTTCTTCTGCTCTTTAAGATCCCGATTCAGTACTTGGATCTCCTGAAGACAGCAAGGCTGCGAGGATGGACAATTTCCAAATATTTCCAAATACCCCTGCTTGAATGCCACATACTCAGCTGTCCTGCAAGCGGGTTTCGAAGTCGGCTTTATTGCCTCGGGAAACAGGCAACAAGTCTCCATGAGGTCCAAAAGGATCCAAAAGGGTCCCAAAAATTTGGCTGAACTTCGGTGCTCCAGCATGGTTTTATTCGAAGCCATGCTGCTGTTGACTGTCTGGACCAGAACTGCATGTGTCTGTTCCCAGGCATCAAATTCAGCCTTTGTCTTCTCCAGCGAAGCACCTGGCGGAATGGTTCCATGCAAAGCCCCATAGCCAACATGCTTTTTTGGGGGGGAGGGGGGGGAAGGGGAACAGGAACAGCATCTTATGTTTGGTAGCAATTGCAGTTTCGTTACAGAAGTCACTACTCCCTTGACCGCATGTGCACTTTGAGTTCGTCGCCATTTTTTCTCTTGCGGATACGGTGAACAAGAACGATCCCAATTACCCCGGCCCTGATACATCCTGATGACATATGATGACCACTTCGGTCTGAAACCACCTGCAGTCTCGAGTCTCCAACATCAGAGTCTGAGCATCCAACGAAGCTGAGCAATATCCCGGTCGGTCTCAAACTTGCCCTCCTCACACCTGGCGCGCGGACCCAGTTTAGAACAAAAAACAGGGATCGTCAACATTCATACTGATCCATACTGATCCCACTTTTGCTGAGTTCCTCCAGCCTGGCGAGTCTGGCACGTGTCTCCTTCACTTTGGGCTGTAGCTCCTGCAGGAAAACGGTGCAAAAGGCGCAAAGGCGCACATTGCAATTTCAAGTGTTTTCATCGTTGTGATATTATGTAATTAATATATATATATATATATTAATATATCATATCATATCACATTACATTACATTACATTACATCATATCATATCATATCATATCATGTTACATTACATTACATTATATTACATTACATTATATTACATTATATTACATTATATTACATTATATTACATTATATTACATTATATTACATTATATTACATTATATTACATTATATCATATCATATCATATCATATTACATTACATTATATCATATCATATCATATTACATTACATTATATTACATTATATTACATTATATTACATTATATATTATATTATATCATATCATATCATATTACATTACATTATATTACATTATATTACATTATATTACATTACATTACATTATATGTTATTATAGTATATTATATCATATTACATTACATTATATTACATTATATTACATTATATTACATTACATTACATTATATTTTATTATAGTATATTCTATCATATATATATATATATGTGTGTATGTGTGTCTAGTCTAGTCTAATCTAATCTAGTTTATCCGATTTCATGTGTTTTCCTGTGAGCGCAAACTGATAGCTGTGAACGTCTCCTTAAGGGCATCGCTGGCCACTGCTGCCTGCTGCTCCAACCTTAGTATCATTGCCCAAAGAAACTGCTGGGCGCAAGTGAAAAAATGCACATGAAAGATCCTGACAATACCAATCAACATGTCAAAATCATGCAAAATCTAGAGCCTACATTTTGATACACTATAATCGTTATATTACATATATATATATATGTATGCATGTACAATCATGTACACATTTATGTTTGTGTTTCAGATTCATTTAGTTTGATTGGATTCTGGGCTGTTTGATGCATCATACTGTATCAATTTTGAATGGCAAAAGCGAAAAGGTTCACTTCACTGACGTGCAACAGAAGATCCTGCTTGCAAGGGAATGGAGACAGGAGCTTCAAATCTGAGACTAGCCACTGATCCACCCTTGGTTGCAACGCAACCAGCTGCTCCTCCATGGAGGCTTTTTCCTTTACGGTGGTGTCCAACAAACTTCGTGCTTCAAGAACCTAGACTCAAGTGCAACTTGCAGTGCGATCAAGCCAATCAAACCCGAATAAATCTGATCATGCATGATCATCTGCTCTTCTTCCTGAGGAACTCGGAAATTCATAGCTAGAAATCCATTGGCATTCGAGAAATTGGTCAGCATGCCGGCCGACACTGATTGTCACACGTTTCAAGCGCCAACTGACTGTCGGTGAATGCATATCCCGACATGTTCCCAGCCTGCTCCGATGTTCGGTCCAGGTCCGCACGTAGGTTCTCAATGAGCGCTGCTTGCTGAGACAATCTCGTTTCGTGAGCATCAGTATCAGTACCCAAAGAGCCTGAAGCACATGGCGTCCATTGCCGTCTATGTGATCCACGAGTTGCATCGGGTTACCACCCGATTCTTATTCTTTATGCTGCCATCAGAGTGGCATCGGAGTGATATTATACAGCTTGCTGCAGAATACTACTGTTAGATCATATTATATCTTGCATCCATGCTAGGAGATCAAAGAGAAAAGAACTTCGCTTCAACGATCTGGATGCAAGAAAGTTGCTCAAGCTCTCTGACAATGTCGCCACATATCTTAGAGAGGAGAGTCAGTGTCAACCCAAGGTTGTTACAAGGCGGTGGGTTCTAAGCGGGCATGATCTCTCCAAGTACCCGAGCAATCCTATCTTCGCAGGCATGAACCACAAAACGTCTTGGAGTAACCCACACTTGAACTCCTGGGTGTTGCTCAAATGCCATGAAGGGAAAAGTTGGTGCCGTTGCTTGCTGCGAATTCTATGGGCAATTCCAAGTTTTGCCCGTGCGAGTAGTCGCACAAAACCGTCAAATATGTTTCCTCTGCCGTGCCACTTCTGCAGCTCATCCACAGTTTGCCCGAAAGGTTGCAGTATGCTCGTCATGCAGGACCGAATGAAGGCCACCATACTGTCCTGAACAACTTGCAAGGGCAGTTTATTACTTTTCCTAGACACATGAGCTGCGGAGCCCACAAAACCCTTATATATATTCAGAAACTGAGTACCTGCTTGCTACACTGCTAGAGTCAGAAAAACATGAGTCTGAAGTCAATGCTGCAAATAGCGTCACAGCAGTATGCAAACCCAAATGCTCCAACACTCTTGCAGTCAAGGTTCTTCCCCCATACCAGCCTGCTCCTCAGGCACAGGACTGTCAAAGTTCAGTCTGGCTGAATGAGATTGATATAGACTGGTGGAGAAAACATTGAAAACAAATATGAACAAATATGAACAAATACTGATGCTCACAAATGGCCACTCATGCTGGGTACAAGTACCACCATCCACCACAATGTAGCTGAGGTGCAGAAATTGACATCGCAGTACCAGGCCTGCACGAAACACATCCTACTCCAACAACACCCAGACTTCCGGCAGCATCCCATATCTCCATATATCTCCATATATCTCCCACATCTCTCAACAGCTGTAGCCACAACTGCCACACCTGCTGATCTGATCTGCTTGCGGCTCGCCTTATCCAGCTGCGACTTGGGCTGCTTTGGGATGGTCGAACGTTATCGGTCGAATCAAACATAAAAAGAATTTAGATGTTTAATACGTTTAGATACGTTTAATATATTTAATGTCTTTAGTTTTTAGATAAATGATGCAAAATTACATTTCTGTAATTTTCACTAGCTTTTCTTTTTAGCTGAATAACAAACCAGGAAGTTTGAAAAGCCAAATCTGTTGTATGGGGCCGCTGGGTCCAAAAATGGAGACTCCGCTATTCCATTATAATGTTAGTGTCTTTTTCAGCGCTGGGATTTTCAGAAGAGAAAGTAGTTGGAGTTTACTGATTTACAGTATATGTGTATATTATGTGCATATACATATATATATATATTATATACATCTCAAAGTGTCATATGGAACAGATACTGTCTCACGCTCCCGCAGCTTTCTTTTTCCACAGCTATGCCTATGCTCAGTCAATTTCACCTGCAATCCTCAGGTTTGCTTTGGGTCGTCACTGTCGTGACATGTACATAGCCCCAGACCAGTTTCGCCACTGGTCAGCTGCCTGGCAACCCAGGCTGGAACCTGCTCTGCAGGTATCACCCGTCCCTTAACCTAAGGGAGGGTAAGCCTCTCTTGGTCGCCCCAAGAGAGGATCCCCAATAGAGGCTATGGACTCGCCTGCCGTGCAGGCTCCCCTAACCTAGGCGGACATCTCCACGGGAGGTCAGCTCTTAGGGTTGGGAGGGTGGGGAAAGAAAAAGCAATGAATGCTATTTTGGTTCAAGTTTACTTGAGCCAACATGATAGCATTCATTGAAGCACTTAAAGATGATACATGCACACCCAAGCCTGCCAAACTCAATGCATGGGTACATCTCAAAGCGTCATATGGAACAGATACTGTCTCACGCTCCCGCAGCTTTCTTTTTCCACAGCTATGCCTATGCTCAGTCAATTTCACCTGCAATCCTCAGGTTTGCTTTGGGTCGTCACTGTCGTGACATGTACATAGCCCCAGACCAGTTTCGCCACTGGTCAGCTGCCTGGCAACCCAGGCTGGAACCTGCTCTGCAGGTATCACCCAATGCACTAAACTCCCAAAGCACTAAAGGTATTCAAAGGTGAGAATGACAGCAACAAAAGGCAGCTGGAAAAAGATTGTAGGGAGGTACGACGAATGAAATTCAAAACCATGGCATCGCCACCATGGATCATCAACTCCAAGTCGGCTGATGTCGTCAGCCCAGTTGCTCTTGCTCTGGACGTACTCCCAATACCCTTGGGCTCGCAGTGCAAACAGAGCTAGATGGATCAAATGACCTAGCTTCGCTAAGTCGGCATTGCTAGAACGTCCTCTCACTAGCGTCATAACTGCTGCCACATTGTCCAAAAACCAGAGGCCGTGACGGTTTCGAAACAGGTCAAGTCTTTCGACTAAGGCGTAGAGCACCATGGAGAGTTCCAGTTGGGCGATGTGTGTCTCTGCAGGCTGCCATAGTTTCTTAAGCTCTGCACAATTGTTGGCGACAAAACTGTGACGAATTTGTGATCCGTCTGGTTGGAAAAAGATCAGGTGAAAACCACCCGAACCAGGATTGTCTGCTTCGACCGCTGCATCAGATGCCGCAAGGAAGCGCAGATGATCCAGGTGTAGTACGGGAAATTCCCGCTTTGGCTGAAAGCGCATGACAGCTTCGATCACCTCGAAGCATGCTTCAATCTCCGGGGTCAAGGTGGTTGTGGCTTCATCTTGTCTGGCTTTGATCGCCATAAGACCGCCATATCCCACTCGGCCGTAAATGCCCTGTTCCAGGAAGTTTGCCAGTCCATACAGCTTCGATGCTGTGCCTCGACTGAAATGGCCAGTCGCCCTGGCAGTGGCCAACAGATCACGTACTTTGTCGTGGAGACGTTCCCGAGCCCAAAATCGTACGTGCCCTGTTTGGTTGATGCAACTGAGTTCGTGGGTCAGCCCTAAGAAGGTTCCTGTGCTCTGCATTGACTGCTTCTTGTCCTCGGCAAAGGGGGAGCCGATCAGGGAGCACAACTGGTTCATAGCCCATTGGCCAGAGCCTTTAGACGACCGCAGATCTGTGATGGTTGCATCATCAAAATAAAGGGATGTCAAAACTCAGCAAAAACGCCTGGCTAGCGCCTCCAACAGTCTGGAAAATTTGTTGAAAGATGTGACTGCTAGCGGAAGCCCGAAAAGCAATCCAGCATAGACTTGGTATGCAGGGGTTTGCCATTCGTGATGGTACCAAACCACCACGCACCCCAAACTTTCCTGCATTGCCATAGGACAGTACCTGTATGCTGAAGGCAGATCTTCCTGTCCTGTCTCCCAGGCATCGTGTGCCAGGAAGTCTAAAGTCTCTTCCTCCGTCCAACGATGCATTGCCAGACGAATATGTTGTGCAGGGCGCAAGGGACTGCACAAAGTGAGCTTGTTGGCATCGGATGATAAGGCTGATTGTCCTCCAGTGTCGCCATTGTCGATCACTCGTTGCTTGCCCGAGCTTTGGGTGATCACGCAACGTGGAATCAACCTGTGCGCCTTGTTGCCAATGAGTCTCAGGAAGTCTGGCCTCCTCAATGGTGACGTGCAGAACCCATTGGCCGCATCCTCCAACGATTGTTGCAGAAGGAACTCATCATCCTTGCCTGCTCGCAGCTGGTTCAGAATGTATTGGTTGTGCTCTTGCCATCCATTCAAGACATCAGACATGCTGATCACCTCAGCCGGTTGTTGAGGGAAGATTCCATAAGGTGGTGCGTACCCCACTGCTGGTAGGCCACGGACTAAGCCATAGGGGAAACTCGTGTCAGCCCATGATGTCAGCAGCATAAGCAATGCAATGAAGCCCACGTCGCGATGCCGCGTGACTTGCTGTATGGCGGGCTCTTGAAAAGACCTCAAATGGAGGGTCACCCCCTCCCAACGTCTCTTCAGCTCGCGCATGGCTCCTACTGCATGTTGCCGCCATGGCCTCAGTGGTTGGCCAGGGGCTGCGTAGGCGTCGGCAACGAACTCCAGGTCCAAATCTGCCACTGGGAGATCTTCATAGGGCAGTGGTTGTTGAGCTCGCTGTAGGGCTTGGTTGAAGTGGTCATTGGGGTCCAAATTGAATGGCAGAAGGGGCGGCAATGCTGCTCTGTGTGTCATCGCGCCAACTTGGCACCCGTCCCCAATCCGTGCAAGCTGCCTCACGGACCCGGCCGCCAGATGCGGAACCAGGGGACCATCCCAAGCTTCTCCTCGATCTGCCAGCCAGGCCGCATAAGAGCAGGGAAGAGCTTCTGGAAGGCTAACACCAGTGCTTCCTGGCTCATCATGGGTAGGGCCATACCTTTGGGGATAGCCTGGATCCCCTGCAGCAAGGCTACGGTCCGGCTCCACTTGCCATCATGTGCCCCTCTGCACTGGGTCACCCCCAGGTGCTGTGGCGTCGAAGAAAAGGCCGATGAGCCGATGAGCATATCGGCTTCGCATAATTGCTCCCCAACTCCATGCCGCTGAGCTCATGCAAGGCATCCCACAAAGGTGATGTTCGAATGTGGACAATGTACCTGGCTGGCCATTCTCCTGCCTCACAATTGTGGCCTGGCGTCCATGGTGACTTCCACTTGGTTGTCGACAGTCGGTGGTGAAAGCTGCCCCGACCGACATAGAGGGTTTTGCGTGGCAGCCTGCTGTTCTCGATCATGACATCCTTGACAAGCTTCCTGACCGGTAACCCCGGCCGTTCGGCTCTCAGGGATTCTGTCAAACCCAGCGTCACTGCTAATGGCGCCATTGCCCATTCCCGCATTGCACGCGGGTCCATGTCCAGCCAGTGTTCCCGACGCCCCACGGACAGGAAGGTAGGCATGTGGGGCACATGCAGCTTGGCTAATCCTGTGCGGACTGCCCACCAACTAGCCGACACTGCGATAGAAAAGGCTAGGACTGCCGTGTACTCCGCTTCTTCCTTGGAGGGGTAGACCCTTTGGCCGCCAGATGTGTAGGGAGTCCATTCCTGCGGATCATGCACGTGGTGACACTTGGCCGGGGGCGGGCGCTGGATCTCCTCCACATTGTGCCGCAATACTTGATGCTTGCAGCGCGCCCCACCTAACGTACATGCTGCGTAGGCTGTGTCAAACCATTGGCCTGACTCCCACATGGTCACTTCGGTGGACGTCCACCAGTGCAAAGAACGGGCAGGGTTCTCACGCACGCTGCCTCCACCACGGTCCCGCAACTTCTGGATCTCTCCCAAGATGTAGTTGCAAGCCTTGTTATCCATGTCGACTCGTCTGGCGTCCCGACTGGTGAGGTGGGGCAGACCATCAGGGTAGACCTCTGAACGAAGAGGGCCAGGGGCTGGCCGCCCACCTCCGAACTTCCTGGGAATCTCCCTGGCCCTACTCTTTGTGGAGCAATCGATGGCTGCCGCTATGAAGATCGCCTCTTCGAGTTGGCTGCTCAAGGACTGTTGCCTACGCTCATCGGAGAGGTCATGGCTGGCATCCAACAACCAATCCACGGTCAGACACCGCCAGCCACAGCTGATGAAGGCTTTGGTAAGGGGGGCATTGGGACCTGCCATGAGATCTGCCATAAGAGGTCGCCCCTCTTGCGGCTCTGGTCCATCTGACCCAAAAGAGGCAGCCGCCTCCTCTTCTGCGGTGTGTCAACGCTTGCCGGTGCAGTTCGCCGCACCGTGGTTGAAGGCTCCGCACACCCGGTCTTTCCTGATCACTGCTCCACATCGATGGGCCCCTTGAGGACATGGCTTGGCCTTACAGCCTCCTCGTTGAAATTGTGGACAAAGCTTCGTGCCATCCTTCATTGCCGTCGCCACGGGCTTGCCGTTGATGGGCTTCCCCAACTTCAATGGTGATGTACTTGGTGGCACTTTAGATGGGCTTACCGTTGAAGCTGCGGTGGGTGCCGTGCTCTTCTTGTCCGGGGTAGAGGGCCCTGGTGCAGACCAATGTGCATCCCTGGAGGTGTAGACCTCGCTGA